TCGTCCTAATTTTTGGAGATCAGTGACTTCGTCACTTAGGGGTAACTAAGTCTAATTTTAGACGGGTACGTGTCATTTCGTTAGAAATTTTGGGACTCCCATATTCCGCAAATGTCTGAAAATGTGACGCATAATTTCCGCAAATATGTGAAATGACTATACCCATAATTCTCGCAAGCAAAGTAATTTTTTAATTACATTAAAGTTAATCGACATTGTTTGTTTATATCGGTTTGTACGAAGACAAGATGCACGTGTGGCTATGCTGCTAGTAGATACACGTCATCTACTGCTTTTTTTCCGTCACTATTTTTTAAAAACAAGAACAATGTTCTGTTTTTTGGTAATTTGAAAGGCTCCGGGTTTTATAAAATGATGTTCTTATGTGTCATATTAAACAAAACAGAGAAAATAGTTAGCAGGCTTAACAACGTGCTACGAAAAATTTTCATGGCAAAAAATTGTTATTTAGTGGTATTGGAAATATATTTATACAGTAAGAGAAATTTACAAAGCACATTGTTATTTATTAAATTTCCATTTGAGACTGGAACAATGTTCTTATTTGGTTTTTGGGGCAATAAGTGTCCGGGTATTCTTGTGAATTGTGTCTGGACTTTTTTCTCAGGCAATTTCGTCACACTAACGAAAAAACGCCATCCTTGGTCATACAGTCGTTAAAAATCTCCGGACCCATGTAGGTGAGCCTTGGCTACTTTAGAACATCGTGTCACAAAAGGATGTTGGAATCGAGTGCTTAATGTTTTGAGAATTACAGGTTTTTTTCATGGACAGAAGTACAATCCTTCTATGAATATAAGATTGAGGTGCCCAAGGGACAAGTGGGATTCTCGTCTTGGGTTTGTTTGTATTCATGGATAGTTTAAAAATGAGAAATGCAGTTGTTTTTACATTCTGTAGTATGAGCTATTCTTGCCTGTTTGTCGCATGTCTAATGAGTTGCGTCGTGCATTCTGAACAAAGCCTTCATCAGCCTGACTCTGGTGCTTTCCGTTGTTTATATCCTGTTATCAATGTCTTCCAAAAGTGCAGGAAAGTAAAGTTGTGGTACTTCCGTTTAAAAATTTTAATAAAAACCCTATCTGTCACTTTTGGTTACGTATCGATTCTAAATTTTTTTCGTGTATAATGAAATGAAGGAACGTTCAAATTGCTGCTATAACATCCTTCAATTTGTCATTTGCAACCAAGTTCGAATCTAGAATAAAAGGCTAGTAGACTTGCAACAATCTGTTTTGGGTGTAAGAGCTCGACTCCAAATGAAACAAATAGAGAAAAATATAACGACAATAAGGAAGAAAGAAAAGATGAACCTCTCTACCCCCTCCCCTCCCGGATTTCTGCTTCTTACCTCTTTCAGTTGTGTATCGTATGAGGTTCTAGTGCCTAGGGGTAGCATTAATCGATGTGTGGGTAGTGTCTATGTGAATGTGTTACCTTGTATTTGGTACAGGCAGCGAGTTAGGGCATTTCACATTGTGTCACAATTACGTTAACATATTCACTAGCTCTTCCAAAAGCCCCTTTTCCCCTATGCATTGTATCACTTAGAGCTTAAGTGACAGCTGAACGTATTTTGGTCTTGCAGATTTTGTTCTGTGTGGCAACATAAAATGCTTATGCACAGCAGGCATGTTTTGCAAATATATTTTCGAACAGCCCTTATATCTTACGGCATGAAATAGAAAATACAGCCCATTTCTCCTCGTGTTAAAAAATGCCGGCTGCAAAAGTCCCTGTAAAACGTTTCCTGTGGTACTCACCAATGTGTAATATCGAAATTAAGCCAGCTAGCTTACCCATTCATTCTACTTTCAATGAAATGTATTTTAATACACAAGTGCTCCTGGTCTGGATGTCGAGAATATTTTTTTGTAGGGTACAATTTTAACCTGTTTGGTTTGTTTAGAATGTCCAAGATCAGCGATTGCTTCAAGCTTCACTTGTTTTCGCATGTTTGCTGTGACTTGACATTTTCCTGCAGTTTCAAGGGAACCGCTCAAGAAAGTATATAAAGCTGTCCTTTCATTTGCTAAATTGATTCTTTTTATCTGACTGTTTATATTCTTATACTATGAGCCAAAAAAGTGAAATCATTCTGCGAATCAATTTTCTGTGCATCATTTATTTAGCCCTTTAGCCTCGGGTCTTTTTATGTAGAAAACGATGGTTCACGTTGCTATGTGGACAAGGACTCTCAACTGTACACAAAGCAACAATGCGATGACGTCCGTTGGCATAATTAATCGCTGTTGATCACAATTATGTAATGCAAGGTTAGGGCTCATTATTTTGCAGGTTGTCATACATTCTGGTAAACCAAAATGATTGTTTTTAATTCAAGTTTTCTTTCAGAAAAATTCAATGTATAGAATTATTCTGTCATTTTTTTTCGTTTCCTTTATCTTTCGCGTTTCTATTTTAGTGCAAAAGGAGCCAGTAGTCCTGATGAGAGTCGGCAGGTATGCAAATGTTGGGGCTTGACGTGATATAACTAGTCGAGTAAATGACAAAGAAAAGCTGATTGCTTCAATGTTCCTTTTCTTTAGGCCTATCTGGATTACTCTTTCTTTAATCTTTCGAAGTTTCAAACGTAGTTAGTGAATTGTCCACTTGTTATGCAATCAATTTGATACTGGTAGAGAGCAGGCAGAGTATTGTTTTAATCCAACTCGATTTATGATCTTCATTTTCATGCTTTATGGAATTGGGCATGAAGAAGATCAGAAACCTGTCCAGAAGGTTGTCGTGATGAAGAAAGTGGCGTAAAGTATAGCTACAGCTTGTTCCACTTTGTCTACTTTCTTGGTGTTCTGTATATCATGATGACATTGACGAACTGGTTCAAGTAGGGTCCATTTGTTAATCTGCCATCTTTTTCATCCAATTATCTTGTTAATGCTTGTTGTGTAGCGGGTAAGGACCCTTTGTTAATCTGCAATCTTTTCTCACCCAATTATCTTGTTAATGCTTGTGTGTAGCGGGTAGGACCCCTTTGTTAATCTGCATCTTTTCTCACCCAATTATCTTGTTAATGCTTTGTGGTTGTAGCGGGTAAGGACCCCTTTGTTAATCTGCATCTTTTCTCACCCAATTATCTGTTAATGCTTGTGTGTAGCGGGTAAGGACCCCCTTTGTTAATCTGCATCTTTTCTCACCCAATTATCTTGTTAATAGCTTGTGGTGTAAGCGGGTAAGGACCCCTTGTTATCTGCATCTTTTCTCACCCAATATCTTGTTAATGCTTGTGGTGTAGCGGGTAAGGACCCCTTGTTAATCCGCATCTTTTCTCACCCAATTATCTTGTTAATCGCTTGTGGTGTAGCGGGTAAGGACCCTTTGTTAATCTGCGCATCTTTTCTCACCCAATTATCTTGTTAATGCTTGTTGTGGAGCGGGTAAGGACCCCTTTGTAATTCTGCATCTTTTCTCACCCAATTTATCTTGTTAATGCTTGTGGTGTAGCCTACCCTAACCCTTTCTTCCGCCAATTTCTGCCACTGCGCAGACTGATGACGCTCAGAAAAAAGCTTCCAATGGGCTAGTCAATTCTTTTTGATCATCACGTTAGAAAAAGTATCAAAAATGCAAGATTACTAATTTTGTATATTGCTGGCTTCAAATGCATGCTTGGCTCCTCTGATTCTTTACACTTTTATATAGTATAATCATGCCTAAATTTCTGCAGTTATTTTTTATGTATTTAATCCTTGACAATGCTGTGTGCTGTGATGAGATTTTATATGTGCAAAATAGATACAATGTTAAGTTAAATATGGCACCGTTAGAAGTCTTCGAAACAAACATCTCCAAATTTAAGTTTTAAATTCATAACAATTATTTTAAAATATGATAAATCAAAGTCTGTCTAGTTTCAGAAAATATGTTGCTCTGTTCCCTCATTTTTGTATCTCAGTGGGGAAACCTGCAACTCAAATGCATTAACAAAATTCATCCAGCGAAATTTGTTGAAATTTGTAAATGTTTATGACTTTAAGCCCTTAAGGTCTGACATCAAGTTGAAAAGTAAATAAACTTTGCTTTATAATTTTTTGTTCACTGCTGTATCTAGGAAGAACTTGGATTACAGTAGACATAAAATTTATTCTCGTTTTGCTTTAAGTAAACGAAGAAATGAAAATAAGCCAGACTTGCTAGTGTTTATCATGTAACTTTGAATTTTAGGCCAACTGAGAGTGGCGATCTCTTAAGTTTTAAACCAAGCTGGCTGAATGTTTGGATTCAGATAGTTTCTGCTGGCTCTGCTTCGTTTTCTATATCTGGACTTTAATCGCACCATTTGCTTGCCCAAACAGAGACTTTAGCGGTGGCTCCATGGAAGTTTAAATGGTAAGTTTTATAACACGATTTTATGACAATTATAATTTTTGTTAGATCTCGTATTGAGGATGTAAACGGATAAAATGCAAGTAAATTTTGATCACTTGGCTATAGTATTTAAATATGAGCACCATGGCGAATTTCTACAGCAGCTGAAAGGGGGCATCATGCTAAAAACAGAAATACACAAACAAGTAAAGACTTGGATTAACACTAATAGGTCTTTCACGTTCCTCGACAGCTTAAATTGGCACTTGGAAACTAATATTTTCAATCAATTTTTGGTGATCTTTGTAATTGTAGAAGGGTTAATATCCTGTGAATCTCCTGAAGATTCATTCTCTCTTGTTTTGTAGAATTCATCTTCATTTTTGTAAGACCTCGCTTTCCAATGTCACATCAAACACAACAATGAAATATCGTGCTAAAATAGAATACACAAAACAAGTAAAGACTTGAATTAACATTAATAGGTTTTCACCGTCCCTTGACAGCTTAAATGGCCCCTTGGAAAACTAATCTTTTTCAATCATTTTTGGGGCTTTTTAATAATTGTAGAAGGGTTAATATCCTGTGAATCTCCTGAAGATTCATTTCTCTTGTTTTGTAGAATTCATTCATTTTGTTAGACCGCTTTCCAATCTTCACATTTGGCAAACGCAAACTTTTAATATTTCATTTATCCAATTTTTGTGTCTTTTATTTCTTTATTTATAACTTTTGAATCAGCAAATCAGCGTCAATCTGAAAAATCTCTTTTCATTTAAGTTTGGACATAAACACGCAACGCGAATTGAACTTATTGTAACAATTCAACTTTAAAACGTTTCGTTTGTCCATACGTGCTACCCTGTACTCAAACGCATCATTAATTACTTTTTCATCTCGATTTTATATTATATACCTGACAAGGTATCGAATGGAGTACTAGGCCTGTATTTTTAAGCAGTCATTGTAAAAGAAGACTAAACCAGTGCTGCGAACTGAACATAAAAATTTCTATTGTCAATTCCCCTCTGTAAATAAAGAGCATTAATCGACGCTTAAGGAGTTTGCTTTTTTATTTGCAAGGACGACCTTCTAATTTATGACATGAGTGTAAAGCGAAGGAAACTGAATTGATTTTATGAGAGTACTTTGAACCCACGGGCGCTGATTTAAATTCGTATTGAAACTGCAATGTTTACTATAGATTGCTACTTGAAAACAATTAGGAGGAATTCCCATTCAATCCAGTGCAATCAAGGACATTTTATCGTCGCATTGTGAGCACAAACTGTTCTACTTCTAACATGCCTGCAAAATGGAACGTTTTACCATATTTCGCATCTTAAACTGTAAATAAGCATCACTTTTTGGATATATGATCAAGAGCAGATGGAAAACATTAATTTAGGCCTTTTGCAATGCCTGTGTATCACTTGCTTCAGTTCTACATGCACTAAAAAGAAAGGTACGGAAATGGCTTGCGAAGATGTACTATAGGATGGCAACAGTTTTAAAGGTAATTGGTGATATAGTTTTTAGTAGCGATTTCATTGATAAATCTTATTCCCTGTAATGTAGGTCCGTTATTTTTATGATAAAAATTGGTGATTTTATTTCATTTTTTCCAATTATCGTTATAATTCTAATGATAATAAAAAGTTCGTTTGAATGAAAGCAGTTCTTGAGTTGAACTGCTCCTAGGGAAGTCATAACTAAAAAATACTTTAATTAGTTTACGGAAATTACCTTTGCATTTAAAACACATACAATTAAATATCTCATTAATATAATAACTATGAAATAAAAGCCCATTACGATATAGTCATAATAATGTTTGGGGGATAAATTGCTAGAGTACGGCTAAGCCTCTTTATTGGGCTGTTCCAGGATCTTGCACCCCTGTAGGATTAGCAGTTGTTATTTTTGAGGCTAAATTAATATTCATTTGTGAGATTCTTGGAACTCTTTCTTGTCAAAAGGAAGCTTCATGAATATAGGCTTCTCTTCTTATCGTTAAATCGTTGTTTTCTATTTCTAATCCTGTCATTGCCAGTTATTTAAGCCATTCACTGCATTTTTCGATGGTCTGTTCAATTTCTTTTATTTTTCACATAATTTTTTGTTCCTTCGACCGTTAATTAATTTTTTATTGATTGATAAACAAACGTTGATGCATCGTTCTTTTTGTAATTCATTTGGATTAACTTTGATTTACAAAATCTTGTGGTCTATATTTTGTAACATTTATTTATGTATAGCATGCGATATGTATGCTTGTGAATTATAAATACGTAAAAATTACCAGTAGTTACAATAGTTGGTGTTGGAAGTACCCCGGATCTGCAGTCACGTGTTAATGCAGCTTATAAAAACCTTCAACCTATCTCCCTCAATCACGTGTCAGTCTCGAATTATCTGCAACACGCTGTTTTTATAAGCTGCATAACACGTTGACTTGCAGATCCGGGGGTACATTCCAACACCAACTATTGTAACTACTGGTAATTTTTACGTATTTATAATTCACAAGCATACATATCGCATGCTATACATAAATAAATGTTACAAAATATAGACCACAAGATTTTGTAAATCAAAGTTAATCCAAAATGAATTTACAAAAAGAACGATGCATCAACGTTTGTTTATCAATCAATAAAAAATTAATTAACGGTCGAAGGAACAAAAAATTATGTGAAAAATAAAAGAAAATTGAACAGACCATCGAAAAATGCAGTGAATGGCTTAAATAACTGGCATGACAGGATTAGAAATAGAAAACAACGATTTAACGATAAGAAGAGAAGCCTATATTCATGAAGCTTCCTTTTGACAAGAAAGAGTTCCAAGAATCTCACAAATGAATATTAATTTAGCCTCAAAAATAACAACTGCTAATCCTACAGGGGTGCAAGATCCTGGAACAGCCCAATAAAGAGGCTTAGCCGTACTCTAGCAATTTATCCCCCAAACATTTTAGTTATGACTATATCGTAATGGGCTTTTGATTTCATAGTTATTATATTATAGGATATTTAATTGTATGTGTTTAAATGCAAAGGTAATTTCCGTAAACTAATTAAAGTATTTTTAGATTATGACGTTCCCTAGGAAAGCAGTTCAGACTCAAGAACTGCTTTCATTCAAACGAACTTTTTTATTATCATTAGAATTATAACGATAATTGGAAAAAATGAAATAAAATCACAATTTTTATCATAAAAATTAACGGACCTACATTACAGGGAATACGATTTATCAATGAAATCGCTACTAAAAACTATATCACCAATTACCTTTAAAACTGTTGCATACCTGATAGTACATCTTCGCAAGCCATTTCCGTACCTTTCTTTTTAGTGCATGTAGAACTGAAGCAAGTGATACACAGGCATTGCAAAAGGCCTAAATTAATGTTTTCCATCTGCTCTTGATCATATATCCAAAAAGTGATGCTTATTTACAGTTTAAGATGCGAAATATGGTAAAAACGTTCCATTTTGCAGGCATGTTAGAAGTAGAAACAGTTTGTGCTCACAATGCGACGATAAAATGTCCTTGATTGCACTGGATTGAATGGGAATTCCTCCTAATTGTTTTCAAGTAGCAATCTATAGTAAACATTGCAGTTTCAATACGAATTTAAATCAGCCGCCGTGGGTTCAAAGTACTCTCATAAAATCAATTCAGTTTCCTTCGCTTTACACTCATGTCATAAATTAGAAGGTCGTCCTTGCAAATAAAAAAAGCAAACTCCTTAAAGCGTCGATTAATGCTCTTTATTTACAGAGGGGAATTGACAATAGAAATTTTTATGTTCAGTTCGCAGCACTGGTTTAGTCTTTCTTTACAATTGACTGCTTAAAAATACAGGCCTAGTACTCCATTCGATCACCTTGTCAGGTATATAAATATAAAATCGAGATGAAAAGTAATTAATGATGCGTTTGAGGTACAGGGTAGCACGTATGGACAAACGAAACGTTTTAAAGTTGAATTGTTACAATAAGTTCAATTCGCGTTGCTGTTTATGTCCAAACCTAAATGAAAAGAGATTTTTCAGATTTGACGCTGATTTGCTGATTCAAAAGTTATAAATAAAGAAATAAAAGACACAAAAATTGGATAAATGAAATATTAAAAGTTGCGTTTGCCAAATGTGAAGATTGGAAAGCGGGTCTAACAAAAATGAATGAATTCTACAAAACAAGAGAGAATGAATCTTCAGGAGATTCACAGGGATATTAACCCTTCTACAATTATAAAAAGCCCCAAAAATTGATTGAAAAAGATTAGTTTTCCAAGGGGCCATTTAAGCTGTCAAGGGACGTGAAAGACCTATTAATGTTAATCCAAGTCTTTACTTGTTTTGTGTATTCTATTTTTAGCACGATATTTCATTGTTGTGTTTGATGGTGACGATTGGAAAGCAGGTCTTACAAAAATGAATGAATTCTACAAAACAAGAGAGAATGAATCTTCAGGAGATTCACAGGGATATTAACCCTTCTACAATTACAAAGATCACCAAAAATTGATTGAAAAATATTAGTTTTCCAAGTGCCAATTTAAGCTGTCGAGGAACGTGAAAGACCTATTAGTGTTAATCCAAGTCTTTACTTGTTTTGTGTATTCTGTTTTTAGCATGATGCCCCCTTTCAGCTGCTGTAGAAATTCGCCATGGTGTCTCATATTTAAATACTATAGCCAAGTGATCAAAATTTACTTGCATTTTATCCGTTACAATCCTCAATACGAGATCTAACAAAATTATAATTGTCATAAAAATCGTGTTATAAAACTTACCATTCAAACTCCCATAGAGCCACCGCTAAAGTCTCTGTTTGGGCAAGCAAATGGTGCGATTAAAGTCCAGATATAGAAAACGAAGCAGAGCCAGGCAGAAACTATCTGAATCCAAACATTCAGCCAGCTTGGTTTAAAACTTAAGAGATCGCCACTCTCAGTTGGCCTAAAATTCAAAGTTACATGATAAACACTAGCAAGTCTGGCTTATTTTCATTGCTTCGTTTACTTAAAGCAAAACGAGAATAAATTTTATGTCTACTGTAATCCAAGTTCTTCCTAGATACAGCAGTGAACAAAAAATTTAATAAGCAAAGTTTATTTACTTTTCAACTTGATGTCAGACCTTAAGGGCTTAAAGTCATAAACATTTACAAATTTCAACAAATTTTCGCTGGATGAATTTTGTTAATGCATTTGAGTTGCAGGTTTCCCCACTGAGATACAAAAATGAGGGAACAGAGCAACAAGATTTTCTGAAACTAGACAGACTTTGATTTATCATATTTTAAAATAATTGTTATGAATTTAAAACTTAAATTTGGAGATGTTGTTTCGAAGACTTCTAACGGTGCCATATTTAACTTAACATTGTATCTATTTTGCACATATAAATCTCATCACAGCACACAGCATTGTCAAGGATTAAATACATAAAAAATAACTGCAAATTTAGGCAGTGATATACGAATATAAAAAGTGTAAAGAATCAGAGGAGCCAAGCATGCATTTGAAGCCAGCAATATACAAAATTCAGTAATCTTGCATTTTTGATACTTTTTCTAACGTGATGATCAAAAAAGAATTGACTAGCCCATTGGAAGCTTTTTCTGAGCGTCATCAGTCTGCGCAGTGGCAGAAATTGGCGGAAGAAAGGTTTAGGGTAGGCTACACCACAAGCATTAACAAGATAATTGGGTGAGAAAAGATGCAGATTAACAAAGGGGTCCTTACCCGCTACACCACAAGCATTAACAAGATAATTGGGTGAGAAAAGATGCAGATTAACAAAGGGGTCCTTACCCGCTACACCACAAGCGTTAACAAGATAATTGGGTGAGAAAAGATGCAGATTAACAAAGGGGTCCTTACCCGCTACACCACAAGCATTAACAAGATAATTGGGTGAGAAAAGATGCAGATTAACAAAGGGGTCCTTACCCGCTACACCACAAGCATTAACAAGATAATTGGGTGAGAAAAGATGCAGATTAACAAAGGGGTCCTTACCCGCTACACCACAAGCATTAACAAGATAATTGGGTGAGAAAAGATGCAGATTAACAAAGGGGTCCTTACCCGCTACACCACAAGCATTAACAAGATAATTGGGTGAGAAAAGATGCAGATTAACAAAGGGGTCCTTACCCGCTACACCACAAGCATTAACAAGATAATTGGGTGAGAAAAGATGCAGATTAACAAAGGGGTCCTTACCCGCTACACAACAAGCATTAACAAGATAATTGGATGAGAAAAGATGCAGATTAACAAAATGGACCCTTACTTGAACCAGTTCGTCAATGTCATCATGATATACAGAACACCAAGAAAGTAGACAAAGTGGAACAAGCTGTAGCTATACTTTACGCCACTTTCTTCATCATCGACAACCTTCTGGACAGGTTTCTGATCTTCTTCATGCCCAATTCCTAAAGCATGAAAATGAAGATTCATAAATCGGAGTTGGATTAAAACAATACTCTGCCTGCTCTCTACCAGTATCAAATTGATTGCATAACAAGTGGACAATTCACTAACTACGTTTGAAACTTCGAAGATTAAAGAAAGAGTAATCCAGATAGGCCTAAAGAAAAGGAACATTGAAAGCAATCAGCTTTTCTTTGTCATTTACTCGACTAGTTATATCACGTCAAGCCCCAAGCATTTGCATACCTGCCGAGCTCTCATCAGGACTACTGGCTCCTTTTGCACTAAAAATAGAAACGAAGATTAAAGAAAACGAAAAAAATGACAGATAATTCTATACATTGATTTTTGAAAGAAAACTTGAATTAAAACAATCATTTTGGTTTACCAGAATGTATGACAACCTGCAAAATAATGAGCCCTACCTTGCATACATAATTGTGATAACAGCGATAATTATGCCAACGGACGTCATCGCATTGTTTGCTTTGTGTACAGTTGAGAGTCCTTGTCCACATAGCAACGTGGAACCATCGTTTTCTACAATAAAAAGACCCGAGGCTAAAAGAGGCTAATAAATGATGCACAGAAAATTGATTCGCAGAATGATTTCACTTTTTTGGCTCATATATAAGAATATAAACAGTCAGATAAAAAGAATCAATTTAGCAAATGAAAGGACAGCTTTATGATACCTTTCTTGAGCGGTTCCCTTGAAACTGCAGAAAATGTCAAGTACACAGCAAACATGGAAACAAGTGAAGCTTGAAGCAATCCTGATCTTGGACATTCTAAAACATAACCAAACAGGTAAAATTGTACCCTACAAAAAAAATATTCTCGACATCCAAGACACAGGAGCACTTGTGTATTAAAATACATTTCATGAAAGTAGAAATGAATGGGTAAGCTAGCTGCTTAATTCGATATTACACATTGGTGAGTACCACAGGAAACGTTTACAGGGACTTTTGCAGCCGGCATTTTTTAACACGAGGAGAAATGGGCTGTATTTTCTATTTCATGCCGTAAGATATAAGGGCTGTTTCGAAAATATATTTGCAAAACATGCCTGCTGTGCATAAGCATTTATGTTGCCACACAGAACAAATTCTGCAAGACCAAAATACGTTCAGCTGTCACTGAAGCTCTAAGTGATACAATGCATAGGGGAAAAGGGGGCTTTTGGAAGAGCTAGTGAAATGTTAACGTAATTGATGATCACTATGTGAAATGCCTGAACTTCGCTGCCTGTACCAAATACACAGGTAACACATTCACAAGACACTACACACATGATTAATGCTACCCTAGGCACTAGAACCTCATACGATACACAACTGAAAGAGGTAAGAAGCAGAAATCGGGAGGGGAGGGGAGTAGAGAGGTTTCATCTTTTCTTTCTTCCTTATTGTCTGTTATATTTTCTCTATTTGTTTCTTTGGAGTCGAGGCTCTTACACCCAAAACAGATTGTTGCTAACAGTCTAGCTAGCCTTTTATTTCTAGATTCGAACTTGGTTGCAAATGACAAATGAAGGATGTTATAGGCAGAATTTGAACGTTCCTTCATTTCACTTATACACGAAAAAAATTTAGATCGATACGTAACCAAGTAGACAAGATAGGTTTTTATAAAATTTAAAACGGAAGTAACACTTACTTTCCTGCACTTTTGGAAGAATTGATAACACGGATATAACAACGGAAAGCACCAGAGTCAGGCTGATGAAGGCTTTGTTTAAATTGCACGACGAACTCTAGAACATGCGAAAACAGGAATAATAGCTGCATACTACAGAATGTAAAAACATGCATTTCTCATTTTTAAACTATCCATGAATACAACAACCCAAGACGAGAATGCCACTTTGTCCTTTGGGCACCTCAATCTTATATTCATAGAGAAGGATTGTACTTTGTCCTATGAATAAAAACCTGTAATTCTCAGAAAACTTTAAGCACTCGTTCCAACATCTTATTGTGACACGATTTGTTCTAAAGTACCAAGGCTGCACCTACATGGGTCCGGAAGATTTTAACGACTGTATGACCAAGGATGCGTTTTGTCGTAGTGGACGAAATTGCTGAGAAAAAAGTCAGACACAATTCACAAGAATACCCGGACACTATTTGCCAAAAACCAAATTAAGAACATGTCCAGTCTCAAATGGAAATTTAGAAGAAAAACAATGTGCTTTGTAAATTTTCTCTTATGTATAATATATTTCCAATACCACTAAATAACAATTTTGCGTGAAATTTTTCGTAGCACGGTTGTTAGCTGCTAATATTTTCTCTGTTTTGTTTAACATGACACATAAGAACATCATTATAAACACCCGAGCTTCAAATTACCAAAAACAGAACATTGTTCTTGTTTTTATAAAAATAGTGACGGAAAAAAGCCGGTAGATGACGTGTATGCTACTAGAGCATAGCAAGGTTTGTTTGTAAGATATAAAAAAATGTGATTTAATTTTTATGTAATTAAAAAATTTTATTTGCTCTGCAGAATTATGGGTATAGTTTTCACCATATTTGCGGAATTATGGGTCACATTTTTCAGACATTTGCGGAATTATGGGCCCAAAATTTTAACCGAAATGACACGTACCCGTCCAAAATTAGACTTAGTTTACCCCCTAAGGTGACGAGTCACTGATCTCCAAAAATAGGACGAGGTCATCAAGTGGTTAAGCACGAGAGATGTCTGTGGATACCGAGTCGCTACTCACTGCTATAGTGCGCGTTACTGCAATGGAAATGGAAAAGAACAGAAACGGAAAGGAGAAGCCAGACATCAAGTGGAGTTTTGAGGTAAAACTCACTAGCCATGATATTGTCTTATAGTTCAAGAGTAGATTAAAAATTTTTCATGGTGTAAATGAAAGATGTGAAGAATTGCAAATTTATAAATTTACATTAAAACTGCTGAATATGAAATCCGTCCCCAACTCAAAGGACAGTGCAAGAGATGTGGAAAGATGTTTTCACCAAATTGATAAATTCTCAGCGATGATTGGTTGGTAAGAAAAGAAAATTTCAGATCATTTTTAAACTAAAGAAAATAAAGAAAATTTCGGAAATGCGGGCTGGAGGTCTTGATATGCCTCTACAGTTAGACTTCGACAGAAAATTTCCAAAAACCGAAAGGGAAAGGCTGAAAAAGCAGTGTCATTGCTGTTTTGATTATTTTACACATGCTGACTCATATTATCCTAAAGTTTCGTCTGAAGTCCAATTTAATGAGTTACCCATGGCACCCAGAATCAAGCCAGTCTCGTTATCAGCAGAGAGCAGTGAAAAATGAAGAAGTGGCGTGGAGAGTTTGGACAGTGCGTTCCACAAAAAACAGCTCGCAACTTATCAACAAAAAATAATCCTGGTACCCTCCCCGTGAATTTCTATGAGAATCCTGGTGTGCCCCCGAAATTGCTCGATATGAACTCTTTTGAATCCAATGAACAACTGAAAAACGTTACAGCAGCTGCAGATGAGAGCATTCTTTATAGGCAACATTATTTTGTATGCATCAAAAGTCGACGTTTACAAACTTTTCAACTGCGAAAAAGCGTTAAAATTGTAGATGGAGCCACAAGATGGAGTCAGATGACAAAGTCAACATATAAGATAAAACAAGATAGCTGCCAAAACATATTGATTTTTTGTGTTTATTCTGATTTTCTGCGAAAGTTTGTTTCATTCTCTCTGGTTTTTTTAGATACATCTGAACGTAATGATTTGAAGATGCCAAACGAAGTTTCACAAGTTTTGGTAAATGAAGCTTGACGAATTTAGTTTGACAAGTATTTTTGCAGGAAACATTACGACCCTCAGCATTCTCAAATCTCCCACAATTTGTTACAGTTCTGTAGGTCGTCACATTATGCCCAATTGTCGAATCTTACTAGGAACATCCTTTTGAGTCCTTTTGACAAAACTTTGACACAATTGTGCAGCGATAAACCTATGATTTATGAAGCTGGTTGAGAGTCCTCACCTCGGTAAACATGACATACATAACAATGATCCCACCCAGTGTTGCGGCATAGAAAATCAGCATGAATATAAACAACGCTACGAGAATAAAATAAATCAATCTAAAATGTCATTTAACTTTAGAACTGAATCAATATTTTGCAAAAGTAAGGAGAACGTTTAAAACAGGTTTAAAAAAATGAAGCACTCGCAAAAAATCATGAATAAGAAGAGAAAATGCTAGATTTGCTTTTTATAGCAAAAAGAAATTACATTGCGACCAGACAACACTACTGTGAATCAGTAGTCAAAAATTGGAAAGCAGAAAAACAATTTCGAAAATACAACTTTGTATAGCTTGATGATCAATATGTTGTTCTCAGTAGAAAAGAAACAATTCTTTGGCATCAACAAACAATGAAAAAGTTGCATAAACATATAGGTTTAAAAAACACGTCCAATTTTCTTTAAAAAAGAATAAGAGATGAAAAACACCCCAAAATTGAACAAAAATGAATATAACCAACCTGTATACCAAAAGCTATTCTCTTCAGCCTTTTTTGTCCTAAAACACAAATTGATAAAATTTTATTATTGCAGGACCAGGTGCCTGGTAACTTCGTGTAGCATAAACAAACAAACAAAAAGCAAAAAGGCAAAGGTATCTCGTTTGTTTGACAAGATTAAAAAGTCTTGCAAAGGCGAAAGGGATTAGCAATAACGCAACACACTAGCACATAGATCAATGATATTTCGCCTCTGCCCATACACGGCATCTTAAGAGCTACTAAATTAATGGAAATCTTCTCAAGATATGTAGCTCTGAGGAAGCCTTGAAAAAGATAAATATCAGCATACAATTAGTGCTATATCTATGAACAGTAGTAAATGTGCCTATCTATCTTCTGGATAATACCATTAAAGTTGTAAAAATGATGGGTTTGGCATTTAATTTCTTATATTTTCAATGGTTTTTCTCACAGTTGCTGACCATGAAAACCGTAAATAATTAGTTTGGATTGAAGATTTCACTTTTCAATAATCACACTTAATGAAAAATTTTCATTGTCAATTCCATGAAACTACAATTACAGACCGATCTAATACATATGTAGCTTGTAACTGGCTAGCCCATGTTACAGCATAAGACTAAAACAATTGTATTATAAAAAGGCAAACAAAGAAAGAAAGAAAAAAACTGTAAATATATCAACTTAGAACCATCCTTTTCTGTACATCAAAAGCATGCACAGCCCTGCCTGTACAGCATCAAGCACTTTGTGACAACCCATAAACAGTAATTTTCATGATTTAATATTCTGATGACATTTTGACAAGAAATATTTGAGGTTTTTTGAAAATATATGTTATAGATTGACCAGGAGAACTAAAAATATTTACCAGCTCTCATTCCAACTGTGTGCAAAATCAACCAAGTAAATAATTTGAAATAATATAAAGAGCAAGCCACCAATCATTCCAATGTACATCCACACTAGAAAGGTGAAGAGAATGTAAAGTATAAAACAAAAATAAAATTTGCCAATTTATATAGCTAAATACTGCCATACTTTCTTGGCATAAGATGACTAAAAACCCAATTATTCCTTTACTAGAATCCAACAAATATATCCAAATATCAGGGAAGGAGGCAACATAGGGGACAGGGCAGGCCTTTTCATGAAGAAATTTTCACACAGGCATTGAACTGCCCACGTGGATGAGCTTATGAGGGTAATCATCTGTCCAAAAACATTTGTTAAAGGAGTAGCCCTCTAGAGCCTAAGGGGGTACTAGGGTATTAATTGTCAACAAATGCCTAACTTTTGATTTTTTTTATAATGTTTAAAGCAATAATGTTTTGTTTTCATTAGAATTGTGATCTTTTATTCAGGAATGCCAAAACTTATATATTAGCTAATTTTGCTGCAAGGAGGTAGACCTCATTGAATTTTCCATAATTGCTTTTGTGAGTGAACCATTTTTGCAAGAGCAGTCAAAAGCCCATGCCAATAATTTGGCCAGAGAGTTTGGGGAAACTTGCTGTCCTGTTTTTTTAAAAAAGCATGTAAAATATCAGTTGAGATGGCCCTTAAAGTAGGCTACTTCATTGTATTCTATAATTGAAATGGGCATATTAAAATGATTCTTAAAGATTATGTTGACCAATCACTTTTCAAATGATTCTTGCATTCTGTTCTAAAAAGATTTAGAAGCATGCTAAAGAAAGCTTACCAACTTCCTTGAAGACATTAATTTTGGTTGAAACTCAAATAAACTGAAACTCTTATATAATTATTGCCTTACTAACAACTGTGGGATGCAACACACCTTCATTAAACTTTTCATGCTTGATGAAGAATGCAGCCACAATAAGACCAATTAATGCAAGAAATTTGAAACACCAGAATCTAGAAGGATAACAAAACTATGAGTGAAGGGAGGAAATATGAGTGTTGGTTGTGAATGTTTGGCCTATAAATATTTTGATATATACTATTGCTTGATAAATATTACCAATTAATAGGGCAAATCAACTATGAGAAAATAAAATATCATTAATAATTATCGAAAAGGAAAATTCAAAAATGGAAGATGCATGGTTTTGCAGAACATGAATCGATTGTACAATATTTGACTGCAATAAGCATTCGGAAGGTAACTGGGAATCCAATAATCTTAATAGGAGCATTTCTATTCACTTTTGCAAATTTTTAATCTGCTCTCTTTATCCCACAATGATAATTATCCACATAATGTCCCTTGTGTAGGAAAACAAACTGCCTAAAGAGAAGATCTTTTTCTTAAAATCGATACTAGGCAACAATCATACTCAATGGTTAAATGGTACAAGGATTATCCCCACTCTGACCTATGGTCAGCTAACACTTAAGCCATGATTCGTAGAAATAAAAATTAAAATAGGAAACATGGCAGTTGGCTGTGAAAAACGAGAAAAAACAAAATACATCCTCATGTGACAATATGCTGGTGCCACTATACAGGATATACAGAGCTACCCAAAAAATTTTGGTTACGGGGCTATAGAACATTTATTGTCTGTCATTCATCAACCAAGAATCCTATTCCAAATTATACTTATTCTACTTAGTGCAAGGAGTTACAAAAATATATCTATGAAGCATATATAAAATTGTGCAGCTCAAACCATCAAATATTATTGAGAAAGTTAATAGTGTTAAGAATAATTGTGTACCCATTTTGGAGACTTGCTCTACAATCTTTAGAATCTTTCACACCAAACATGATAATCATCAATATCACAAACATGGCAGCATATCCAAATGATACTCTATACACTGCGCCATAGCCAAACATATGTTCACAATCATTTCCAGCACCAATTTTGTCACAGGCACTGGAGTAAAAAGGCACCTAGAAGCAGAACAGAGTCACTTGCTGGAATAGAAATTAAAAGATACCTGTACCACATTGAAATTACAGAAATATACAATTATATACATTCTAGATAAAGTCAAAGAGCAGCTGACAAGCTGCTTGCTAGATCAATTGGATCACGCAATCAAAGTTTTGAAAATCTGCTTAATAGGCAAACAAAGCTACAGCCTTTATAAGAAACCATCAGTTTCTCTTTTTAAAGTTTAATTTAATCTTCTTCACAAATATTGAAAACAGCAAATTTTGGAAAGGTTCTGCTTTATGAATTATAACTTCTCCACAAAAAACAGGTTCAAAAAACCAAATATTTTTCAAAAGTTGCTAAGTGCTTTGAACTCATTTATGCCAATCAATAACATACTTAAATTATGGATTGCCAAAGATTTAAAGGGCATGTGTTGTGATCTGTTTCTTTTCCTACCTTCTCTTTTAGTGTATCAGCAACACTTGGAGAAAGTAGAATTCCAGAAGCTATGATTCCCAGTATGAGAAAGAACGAGTACATAAGTCTTGTCATTAGAGAACTTGGTGCTGATGGACAACAGGCACAGCAAAGGTTGCACGCTGCCCCACAGCAGCAACAAGCAGCCTTGAATTAAATGAAAAAGATCATAAAAAAGTAAAAAGAGATATCAATTGTAAAATAAATCTTATTTAAGTAAGCCAAAGATCCTAATAAAATGCTAGCATCTACAATCAATACAATTTTGCTTTTAAACAATCCTAATATCTTATGTCTAACTGATGTTCTTCTGTTTGATTTCGACCAGTTTACCTTGTATATATATATATGTATATATTGTTGGCTATTGTTTTTATGTCGATTTAAAATAAACTTACAACAATTACAACATGTTCTACTGAGGTTTTCTAAAAGTCATGCTTTTTTAAGCATCAGATACCAACAGGAGGCCTAATAGGGTATCTATCTATATGATAACTCTGGCTGCCAAAAAGAGGCCTCCCAATATAGCATAATAATTCTCTCCCCATGATACACCACAGTACAGGCCTAGCCGTTTGAGGCGAGCGATAGCTCGCGCCTCCACGTTCCCCTCGCAACCTGAGGCGAGCTATGAATTGCTCTCCTAAACAGAACATGAGGGAAGAATGGCTCCCCTAAAATTTCCTATTCAGAGAATTATGAAAACGTACAAGGGTTAATTCGTTTATTTTTGTAACAGCGATTTATCCTATCATTGCATTTTTTGCAATAAACTTGTTGCTTGTTGGGCGGTTTTTGTTATGATAGGCATAAACTTCGATCTATTTGGAAAAGGATAGTTAACTGAAAGGAAAGTTTGTAGTGATTAAAAACTTTCAATCTTAAGAAAACAGGAATATTTTTGGAAGGAAAGTCAAAGAAATTGGTAGGAATTGTAGATTGGGGATATAATAAGACAGTAGGTCCCTTCCAGCAATAGAAGTAAAACTATCCCTCAAAGAAAACAGGGTACTCTGTCTTGCAGATCAAAAATGACAACCAAAACATGGAATTCCACTATCCAGCTGAAAAACCCAGATTGGGTGAAAAACTATAACGGCAACATGTTTCGCATTATTGGCAAAGCATGATCATCGTTCCATCTAGCAGTTTGTGAATCTATCTACTATATAAACATGACTAACCGCTTTTGTGTAGACATAAGTGAGTTCGCTTTCACCTTAGGACTCCGGTGGTAACATTTTCAATAGGAAAGCGGCACTGATTGGACAACCTCAACAGTCATGTGCTCGCGCTTTCTGATTAGCCTATTTCGATCCAAAACTGGGTATCTAGCATAGAGTTTTCCATCTATGTTCTGATGTTTTATTCTCTGAAAAGTGCTAGACGTATAACTTAAGTTTGTTTCAAAATTTGTTTTTCAAAGCCATTTACAAATTCTGTGCAACAAAAAGATTGTTTTGCAAGAGAATTGTTGTTTTTGTGTTGTGCCAGCTTTACATAACACGGAAAGAGTCTGTTTTATGTAACTTCTTCAAGTAAAGGGGGTGCCTGAGTCACCGTTAAAGCAAATACACATTGAAAGAAGTAAAACAGCATACTCCTGACTGAGGCTATTGAAAGCAACCGACAGATACTAAAGGAGCTTATTAAGTCATCTGTCGATTGTCTTCAAAGTACATTCTATATGTTTCTGATAATGAGGGGAGTAATTCACAGCTCACCTATAAAAATACAAACAGCCAGGCCTGCAGTACCTTATAAATTTCAGCAAAGAAAAGTAAAGGTGTCACAAAAGAGCTCTCTACACTCCTGAATGGAGCAAGGGTGACATTTAAGGCTATACAATTTAAGTCCACAACAATAAGCAATATGTGACAATAAGCAAAGATTTGGAGCAAGTTGTGTGCAAAATATCAGATTTTACTCAATTATTTTCACGTACCAGAGATTACTCAATGTTGTATCGTTTTCATTTGAAAACGGAAAAAGCATGCCCGTTTTTTTGACTAACACAAAATGAAAATCAGTTGGAAAACGGCAGGTTGTGATAAAGGCATGACATGTTCAAGGGTTACACTTGAAAACAGAATAACAAGGCTTTGGATTCAAATAGAGGGAAATCTGTAATATAACTGTTCTGGTTCAAGAGTTTGCACTGAAATGTTTGTGTCGTTTTCAAAATTGTTTTAAAGTCCCTTTTGACGAAACATGATTCAAATTAGGGGCCAAAATATAAACATTTCTAAAGGGTTTCCTGAAGACTGCCACTGTGGTTGACGGCAAGAGGGATTGCCAAGAAACTACGTCTAAAACATCAATTTAGACATAGTAAAGATCCCAATGCCAACAGAAATATTTATTGTTGCGTAAGAGAACTCAAGAAATGACTTTTTATGGCTTCATATATGTTATTTAAACCTTTGTAGAAAACACCAATAGCACTCAATCACACGTCTATAACAGCCTGGGGGTGCAAAATGCCACACTTCTGCTACTTTATTCCCAGGAAGGCTTGCAATAACGTATGCCTGCTGCCTTTCAGTAGAAAGGCTAACAGGAAGTTGGAAAAGGTATTGGTAGTGTGACATTCAGAATCCAAGATCAAAGAACAGAAGAAATCAAGATCTATGAAACTACTTTTTAGAATTTTATATTCTACAAGCAATGCAGAGCAGGAGGGCTGGGGAATTTAGCCTCCTCCCTCCCACTTACAAAATATACAAAATATTAAGAAATGAACTACCAGTGAAGTTTCTTTTTATTCAGCTTTAGCCCCCACATTTTTAGACCCCCATTTTTCTTAATGGTCTGCAGTGTCTCTTTTAGGTGGAGGAAAGAGCAAGTTAACATGTTTTAAATCTTGGTTCAACTTCCAAATTTGAACAAAGTGTCTCTGGCAACAAGTTACATGTTGATTCTCCTAACAAATCTTCTTTTAAGCCCTCAAAATAAAGAAATAAGAAATCACAAGAAGCTTCACTTGCAATTAGCATTTCAACTTAATCTAATTACCAGCAAGTTGCTGCAATGTTGTCAAAATTATATGGATGTCACAATGATAATCAATACAATTTTATAATCAAAAAGTTTTTGTACTGCAATGCAAATTCGTGCCATTTTCAAAATTTATAATCCTTAAGCAGTTTTACTTCTTTTTTATAATCTAAATCTGTGTATTGTGTAACCTTTCTCTGGTTGCAATACTATTAAATTGCAATTAAATCCATTTACTACAGAATAAATTTGAGTTTGACAGATAGATTCAGATGCATCTTTTCTTTTTACGCACAGTGGGAGCTGAAGGAGCAAAAAGACCATTATGGCATAGCATTTGTTCTCACAATAGCTTGGAAGTCTTAACACAATAGTTCTCACAATAGCTAGAAAACTTGGAACGCATGCCTGAAGTATTTTTATCTTCTTATAAAATTTTAGGTATTACACAAAATTTTGCGTATTACATTATCTTTTATACAGCTCAAAGTAAAAGTTTAGACTTCGGCAGAAATTTTATGAAGGGTAAGAATATTAAATTTTCATTATATTCACTTTTATTTATTTTGAAGAGGATGTAGAGAAATTTTATTGTTTAGGCCTTGTTTTGACGCAACTCGTCGAGAGAGACTACTCATACATGCACAATGTGAGTTTTACAGTCTTAGTAAGCAGAGTATAAATGCGTAAAATAAAATGAAAGAAGATACTTACTTGGGCAGCACAAATACTTAACATACAGCCCATCTTCAGGCAAAAGTTTATCGACTTTATCTACCTATAAGTTGTTATTAGGGCTGGTCTTTCATTACAGCGCCAACGCAACGTCCTTAGGAACAGATCACTTTCCGCGTACTTTCGAACCAGATGACTCACCTTTATCCCAATTTTGAAATTGTGACAAAGAGCACAAGGGGTGTCCTATAATTCTCAAAATATATCTGCTTGATAATTTCTCTAAACTGTTATTTTCGTATTCAAGACAATTTTTTCCATTAAAAACCAAAATAAATTCACGAAGCAATGCCTGAAAAGCATTGGGTTAGATTTACTAGGGTGTGGGGGTGCACAACCCCCAATATTTTCGTGTTTTCGGTGAATTTTGCTTCCATTCGGTGAAAATCATCTGTTGGTAGTCAGTAGAAACAAAATGATGCAAAGATTTACTTATTTATCGTAATTATTTTAAGAACTGAATACTGAGATAGAGCAATACCCATATTTTTCATGCTTCATAATCAGAACAATCCTTGCTGCTAAAACCCGTCCTTGGGAAAGCATCACATCAAAATTAGCATGTAAGCAGGGATTTTTTTCCGCGTTTTTTTAGTTCTTCAATTGCAGAACTAACTGAATGAAACAGTCAAGAAAAGTTCAAAGAGTATGGCATCTAGGACTTCCAGAACATCACAAATTATATTGTCAACATGAATTTAAAGAGTCTTTACCTTAATTGGCATCACTGATTTTGCTCACCTGGGTTAAACATATAGTTTTTATTCCAAAAGGGAACGTCGTTATATTGTTATTTTTTTGTACTTGTTGTTACGAGTGATGTCTGAAAAGGGGAGGACAATAAAAACATTCAGAAGCAGTAAAGTTGAACAAAAGTATACTGGGATGTAGGGGTATGTGCCACCCACCAGTTTTTCAGCTGAGTGGTAAAATTTTCAGTTGATAAAGAAGGATTAAAAGAATTATTCACATATCTGTCATTAAGCACTCTATGGCGTTATTGGGAGAACTGTACTGCCTTTCTCTGATTTTCATGCTTAAATCTGAATATCACGCAACTCAGATCTTGATCAGTTGATATTCCATTTCATGACTGGTATTGTTTACTCTGAATAAAATCCTCTATTTGAAGGCACAGTCAAGAAAAACAAAATGTCAAATTTGACAGAAACTTTAAAACATCATACCTTTTCTTTGTGTAATACAAGCCATATCTAGAAACAATTCCACTTAAATAACACTTGAAAAATTTGGATAAATTCATGCATAAGCACCAAAATATCCCCTACTTTTGCTTGTACATTCAAAGAGGAAAGACAAAATTATCTCAAAATATAAATAACAAGAGATGTGCCCAAAATTAAACCTATGCCAAAAAGTTACTGTAAAATAGTTTATTACGCCCTCCAGCAATCAGAATTAAGCAATTGTTCAATGCGTTCGGTTCTTTCAATCCTCTTTCTTGTCATCGTCTCTATCAGATCTTGTCGCATGCTTAATAGCAGCTTCTGTTGCCTTATCCTTTGCTGTAAAACCAGAATAAGTAGCTATTAGCTATCAAAATAATATAAGCCAGCATGAAATGTAGCTTCTTAAACCTATAAAATGCTATTTAAAAGTATACTAATGAAGTTACTGTTAATAATGCTAAGGCTGAGATGTAAATAAACTTGTATATAAAACCAATGGAAAGATTTGAAAATTTTTCAGTTCTACTTAGAATATCGACAGGTTGAAAATAGAACACATAATCATATAACAGAGGGTTATTTCTTGGAAATAAATATGAGAATCTATTTTTCAATAAGTCAAAATATAGTGATCATAGACGCTGGCCACAAGCCAGGGTTCCTAGAAAACAAAACAATATATAATTACATAAAAGCTGTACTACATCTACGATTTTCTAAATTTTCTGAATACTTCTAGCTCAAATTGATTTTCCAAATTTATCATATACATGTGTAGATAATTTAGAAATGAACTACAAGTAAGGCAAGTAAACTGCAAGCAGCAATTTGCACAGTCCATACCCTCATCATATAAGTGACTTGCCCTTTCTTTTGCCTTCTCCAAATATTCATCAATCTTTTCACGGTGCTCCTTTACCCATGGTTTAAGAACTCTGTGGTAGATGAACTCAGATCCATTCCAAGAAAATGGTGCCATGCACCAGACCAAGAAACTGCACTACAATTGGAACAGAAAATTAAATTGCAATTAGCTACTTAATTCAGGCATAAAAAATGTGCCAACAAATACCATTACCTTTGCTAACAGATATCAATCTTTAATTAAATTTCTCTTTTGCATGTTGAGAAAATGAAATAATTTAGATAAATACGTCCCTAGTAATGCATTTTTTCCTCCTGAAGAAGAACGCAGTAAACCAGAGGTGGTAAAATCAAACATACAAGAGCTAAACCCTTACATCTGACATACCTAAATACAGACCGCACAAATGATTGGTTGCTTCATTTTCTCTCAACAGTATTTATTTTACAGTTAAACTTGACACCCTATGTCTAAAGCTCAAATAAAAAAAATGTGGTTTTGATTTGTTTGCCAAAACTTTCTAAAAACAGATTGTTCATAATAATTTCTATTTCATCTATAATGACATCTATTTTGCTTGTTAGTGGGCCACACGCATGGTGATTTCCTTATGACGAAGACTGTCGTTTTTATAGATGCCATCAATTTTTACAACAAAAATAACAGAAAACCATTATTTCTTTCATTTGTGCAATTCACACTCTTAAAAATAAGGCTATTTCGGACCCCATATACACAGTCCTGTTCAAAAACCGATCCGCAACAGTACAAAATTCATTCTCTTTCACAATAGGGTCAAAACCATTCTGGATGGCAGAGCAAAATTAGCTTGGTTCCAGAGTGCTAGCGTGAACGAAAGGGCAAGCCTCAACCATTTTGTCACGGTTCAAAACTTGCATGCAGGGCTGCCTAGAGAACTGGAGGCCCTGGGGCAAAAGCGGAGAATCAGGCCCCTGCGAGCAAAGCAAGCAAAAACTTTGCGACCACGCCCTTTAAACTAGCTTAAATTCTTCCATTCGCTTAAAATGTCTTACTGTTTACGGACATAATTTTTTACTTTTAATCATTTTTATTTCAAAAAAGGATTCATTACTTTTTAAGGCCTGTTAACCTTACACCTCGAGGCCCTGGGGCAATTTGCAGAGAGCTTGAGTGTTTCTGCTGTGTTCATTCCGGGAACATTCACCATTACAGGACAACTCTAGGGAAATATTGATTGATACAGTGGCGCAGATAAAAGGGGGTCAAGGGGTGGGACAAAACCTGTGATCTGATCTGAAATTTACATGGTTGTCTATTTAAATCCAAATGTTCAATTTTGAGAAAAAATATTCTAAAGCTGAATATGGTGATCTCTTCTGTTGTTCTGAGACAGATTGGCAATCACTTTCAATAAGGTATAGAACTAAAAAAAACTTTTTTCAGAGGAAAAGACAAGAAAAATCTTGTCTTTGTGATGTCGACACGTGACTTATGTGAAGTTATGTCCAAAATTTTGAAAAAATAAAAGCTCTTATAAAATTTTTGTTGGGAAATCTAAATTTTTTGCTCCTTTTATAAATTTTTCTATCTACATCACTAGATTGATATTAACCTTGTTTGTAGGAAGATCTTCTTTTTCCTGGTATTTTTCGCCTGCCTCCCCCCATTTATGATAAAAAAGCCCATTTTCTTTTGAGCAATTTTATAGATATTTACCCCGAAAATGGCAAAAACGGGAAGGTAAAAGTTTAGAGCACTATCTGACGACCGCCATGTTTCCGGAAGAATTTGAACAAAGCAAAGCGATAAGCCACGATAGAGAGCAAAATAGGCACTATTTAAAGGATTAGCCGATTTAAAGAAAACAATTTTACTCAGGTCAAAAATGACGGTCAAACATACAACTCATATGTGCGATCAATCGCTTGCATTATTAGAGCCATGCATGTGCTGATGCGTTTGCGTGCAACCACACACATTAATCAAGACTGAAACAACAGAAGTGTAGCAAATGGTCTCAAATATAAATACCTTGAATAAGAAGTAGAGAGGGAACCATGAAAGGAAAATGTCTGAGAAATACTCAATGATGCTGAATGTAGAATAGACTGTCCAATAGGTAAGCCACTGTGTGTCATCATCTTTACGCTCACTTTCAATTGCTTTAACCCTGAGACATTAAGAAGGAGTTTAGTATACAATAGACAATTGGTTTAGCAAACAACTACAAAGTATTTAATGCATTCAAATAAAACAATACAGTCTTCACACTTTGATGCAAATAGAACAGGACAGTCATATGGTGCAACTCTGTTTCACACTCAATGTGATCATCAGGGAGCTGTTCATAAACAATTGTTCCTGTTCCACAAAACACATTTCAGAACCAACCATATAGTATATTTTATAAGAACATATAAATACACATATTTCAACAGACTTTGGTGTATGTATTGAAAAGGACAGTTATAAGGTGCAATCAGTAGCAGAAACCTGGGAGGGCAAGGGGGGTGGTTGCCCCCCAATACTTTAGAGAACAATGGTCTTTCGTTCTAAAACAATAGGAAATGTGACATCATCTTATTTAAACAATAGGCTTGCCCCAATATTTGAACAAGTTTCTGGGTGCAATGCTGAATCATTATCATCATTAGATCATGAGAGGTGCTTTCCAAAATACAGTGAGACACTTAAGTATACTAAAAAGTATAGAAAATATATATATATATATATACAGACAAAGAGACTTACGAAGCATAGGCTGGATAGCCAAAACCAAGGATGGATACAACCAAGCCACCTGCATAGCCAATTACAAGGTACAAGGCCAAGAAAGCAGCTGCACCTAAAAGGAAGATTATAACAAATATGTCAATGGTTGTAACCAAAGTTTAATTGTCTTTTAACCTCTTTGATTGAAAAATGACTTTGAAAAAGCTTTGGATTTAATAGATAATAAAGCTATTTTTGTTTATCAGTCTGGTGTGACATTAATGCTGGGGGTTTTCTGTTAGACGGATTTTGTGATGTGGTTAATATTTACATTCTTCTATTTTCATTTTTCATTCCTCTTGCAATCTCTTTTAGGCAGAGACCTTGTCTAGGCAAACTTGATTCACCTTGCAATCAAAAGTTTCGTAGTTCTGATCTAAAAATTATCACAGAACTTTTCAAATGGCTATTTCTTCCGAAATATCTTAAATCATTGGTTATTGACATATTTGTCTCTGTTGAGAAAATGTATATATGTCAAACTGAAAGTTGTGCAATGTCTTCTTTTCAGCACTGGTTCAGCTCTCATATAACTATACAGGGAAATACTCTATATCAGGGTATTAAACAGTTGGTTTTTCATTCAAAGCATGTCACAGGCATCAAATAAGTAGACTCTGTATTTTGATGCTTGTGACATGCTATTTTGAACTCAAAGCAGGTTAATTTCTGGAACATCAAATGGTCACCTGTCACTGCTTAGCCCTTTTTGCTCAATCAAACAGTTTTCATCTTGCTTTATATCGAATTATCAAATTATATCAAATTATGCCATTTTTATTTGATAAATTTTAGTATGGCTAGGCTGCAACTTAAACAGAGCTGTTAAAGATCAACAGGTTTCTATCATGCTTCACCACTAAATTGAATTTGATGGAAGGTACCTGTTCTTTACCTGCTGGATCACAATTTAAAGTCAGCAGGTAACAATAAAAGCCAGCCTCCCAAAACATACACCAAAACAACACTATCCGATAAGAAAATATTTTTTTTATAAAACAGCTGTATGGAGTTTCTGTTAGTCTAGACTGATCCATTTTGACTGATCAGACTGTTTACATGATTAGCAAACATGGTAGTTTCAGAAAGGAAGAACATAACAATAAGTTGAACCTTCTTAACAAGGTTTTTGAGCTGGGGGCCAAGGGATTTGCTTGAAAGGACCTTTGATTGCATAAAACCATCTGTTTCGCTATTACTTTAAATGCATTTTTGTATGAGCCCCCTGTTCCTTTTCCTAGTGCTACAATTCCAGTTATTAGCACCTTGCTGTGCTCCATGAGCATTAATGCAAAGATATGTTTCTTACATATATTGAGATTCTTTTGTATAATGAATCAATTCAACTTAAGAGTAGAAAAACATATCCCTGGAAGACTTCCCATTTGAATTTTTTTGCATTCTTGCTGCTTTCTATCAAAACTGAATGCTTTTGCAGACCCCTTATCAATTTTAGAACTAAGTCCCTATCTCAGGAAAAACAATTTGGGCTTTTGGTGGATTAGCCCTTGTATTGCCTGAGCATCTCAGTTTTTTAACCAGCTAATCAGGCTGATACACCTGTCAGGCAGTGAATAATGTGTGAGAAAATTAGCTGTACAAGAGAGGTAGAGGAAAGTGTAATAGGAGCAGGTAGAGAAGAAGACTAAGAGAGAGGTGTGTCTGAGAGGGAAAAACGCATACAATGCAGCATGAACCACAAACTGCCAAGGTCGATAAATACAGATATGCTATGGCCCTGCCTTGCAAATGCATCACAAGGTAACTAGCATAATTATGGGTTGCAAATTAAGATTGAGGGCCTAGTAGGGATGTATATGCAGTACAGCAGGATCTTTTAAATGAGTATGATCACCGTTCTTGCAGGTATTAACTCAAATTAAGAATCAATCCCAATTAAACAAAAGGAACTTATGCGTAGAAGCAACAAAAACTTCTGTGCAACTGTTCATCAAATTGGAACATTTCTAAAAATTAATAAAAGATATATAATATTGACCCTTTGATCAATCCTTTGAAAACAAAAAAACCAAGATATATATATATAAATATATATAATAAAATAGAATATATACTAGAAATGAGACATGTTCTCCGTTACTCCGAGTTTCGTGCTTACGCACTCATCAGACAGACTATAAATCTGTCTGATGAGTGCGTAAGCACGAAACTCGGAGTAACGGAGAACATGTCTCATTTCTAGTATATATTCTATTTTATTATATCTATTGCTCTGTGCTTTTGCACATCGAGCACTGTTCACGTCAGAATAGACAACGCAATCTGGAATATATAAATATATAAATATAAATTTAACATTTTTCAATAAACTGAGAAAATCTCTAGATCTTCATTAAAAAACTTTTCAAATTCCAAAAATGTTTCTTCCTATAAATCTTGAATAAGCCAAAGTTACACTATGAAACAGATGTGGAAATCACAATAAAAATATTGTAATGCTAGATCTGAAAGTTTAAAAATCCATTCGAGTATATATATATTTCTTTTTGTAAAAGTGAATGAAATTTGAATTGAATTGAAGAGAAATTTCTACATTTGTACTGTAAGGTTTGAGGATTACAGGCCAACAGCTTGCAACATGAGAATACAGTTTTTCTGGCAAAAAACACTCAAGTAAAATATACTTAATGATTAACAGGTGAATGAAAAAATATATCCTGGAGCAGACAAAAAACTTAATCCTTGAAAGTATTTACCTTAACAAGGATTTGCCTTGATTGAAATGTTTTTTGGTATCTAATTTAGCTGTGAAACTTTTCAAAGCTTTTGAAATAAGGCTCTAACTGTAAAACCGTTATACAGTGTGAAAACCTAAATGTTACAATGTTTAAGGCCTGTCTTATGTGCTCTATTCAATACTTTGTATGAATTCTTATGAAATTTTAATGCATTTATCTATCATATTTCAAACCATTGGTATAATTGTATTTGATTAAGACACAGTGTGATACATCTTTTTAACTTTACAGTTGTTAATTACAATCATAAGCAATTAAATGAAATACTAACAGACCAACAGACCAACACAAAATAAATAATTCATCGCTTTATATGTCTTTAGATGTTTTTGTAGGCGCAGCGTTCTCCATTAAAAATAATCACTTATTTGGTGCTTGTTGTTTAGAAAATTAAATAGCTTCTCGAAAAGAAAGAAGAAAGCGCCATCGAAGGTCAAGCAAAAGGCTATGCCACACCCAATTTGATGGTAAGTTTTGAATTCACTTTTTGGATTCAGAACAAAACCTAGGTAATTCATAAGAGATTTCTACTATTGAAGATGACACTGCCTCAGTTGGTGACGACAGCGGGATCATGAATAAAATTTTAGGCCAACCGAAGTTTTCAGGAAGTTGGTACAATACTTCTGAAAAAATCGACCTGGCAAGAAGTTTCAACTGTAGCAAAACTATCTTCTTCTTATCGTTTGAAAAAATCTTTACTTTTCCGAAGGAAGAAAACACAGCGGGAGAATATACGGTTTATTGCGAAACCTGTGGCAAAAGGCAGTTTACTATCTAATCGCCAAATTACGAAGTTGAATAATAATCAGGCCCAAAGATATACATCTTTCGGGTTTTTAGAGCAAATTATAAATGAAGGTTAATGGGCACTTCACAATACGACAAAATGTTACCTGAAGGGCAATATTTTCTCGCCGTAAGACAATAGAATTCACGACAAAAAATTTAGGCCATCTTACCAATACAAATGTACAGCCTATTAACCCCTGTTTTCTTTTCCACGAATTCCAGTCCATCTGTTAAATAGTTCTTTTGGTGGAGAAACTCGTCTAGTTTTTCCCTGATGCTTTTTTCATCTACTTTCGATGTCATTTTGCTTTCCTTTTGTCTTCACCACCCAGTCGTACAAAAAATTTCCAGAAGAGCTGGCCAAAGTGCACTTCGCTTCGTCTATGCAAGTCACGTGCGTAAGGGGGCGTTGCGACAACGAGGCAAGTCAGAGGGGAGGGGGGGGGGGCAATCAATAATATTGTCTGAATAAGGACAAATAAAAAGCATTTTTTCGAATGAGCTTTTTCTATAAAAGGCAAGAAGTTCATCGAACGCAACTTTCTGCATCAATCACGTTCTTAATTGTCGCTTCGATTGTTGCTACGGGCCTGGTTTCAGAGAAGTGTTTTATCTTTCTATTTGATTTTTATCTCTTTCCTAGTGTCTTGGTGTCATTATAATGTTGTAGTTTCTTAACACCCTTCAACTGCAACAATGTCTTCAAACTTTCTCTTGGGATGGCACCATAAAATCCTGGTTATTGTCCGAATTATTTCGACGTTTCCGATGTCCTTATAATCTTACATTTACTTGCATTGTTTGTAATGATCCTTATGTAGAGGGAGGGTGTGATTGTAAAAATATCTCAGTTGTTGCAGTTTCTCGCATACTTAAAACGGTAACGTGTGAGGTTGGGTACCTCTGTAGGATTTTTAGAAAGCGATTTAAATTTGACATCGTTTTATCTTCGCTAATCTAGGGTCGCAAGGAGCACCCCTTTATTATTTCGTTGGGTTAGAGGGGGGCTATGGAAGTTTCTATAAGATTGAATCTTATTTTTTCATTTTTGAAATTTGTATACATAAAGATTGTGTACACACCTTTTATAAGAACATCTCATTTTTTCTTGAGCCTCAAAGTCCTAAAGTTATTCTTATTTTGAGCATAAGATTATTCTTTTATTATTCTTAAGCGACACACGGTGTAGTTGTGTCACACTAGAACAGGGGTTGGCAACCTATGGCCCGCGGGTCAGAATCCGGCCCGGGTGGAGCATTTTAGTGGCCCGCGAGATGAAAAATGTCATAATATTATTTTTGGGTTGGTTTGATTTGAATGAAACTTATCAATTCAAAATTAGATACTCCAAAATCATCAAAAAACCTGGGAAACATGGGAAGATTTGCTCGCTATCCGTTGTCATGAAATCATTCTGGTTAAAAACAGGACAGCAGTATCTTTGATTGCAGGGGATGAAGTGCAAGGGTGCTCAGCCTCCCTTATTAATGCCGAAAATTGGCAAAATTTATACTTTCGCTATTGTTTTCGCACGCAATGTTTTGAGCAAGAGCCACCCTTGTTATTTGATAGCACTGCACCACTGATTGAGAGACTTGGCGAAAGTTAACAAATGCAGTCAGAACGAATTTTGCTGAGCGCACTCATGGCAGTTGAGCAGGGATCACGGTACATTCCTTTTTGTAAGCACATTAAATTTAAGTTCAGGCTGACTGTTTCTTAATTTTTTCGAAAATCTGAGACTGGATTGTTCTTAAATTAATGGGGTGTGAGCAGTGCTGAGAAGAGGGGGTTAGGGGGGGTCACTGATCCGGGGACCCTTGGCTATAGGGGCTCATAAATAATAACTCAATTAAAATAATTTCTAAGTAATAATCCAGCAGTTTGAGTCTTTGACTGCCTGAATGTTAAAGATATTTTTGTTAAAATGAATGGCCGGAGCTAAAAGGCCGATGCTAAACGTTGATAGGTCGATAACTCTGTGTTTCCTTCCTAGGATGATTTCTTCAAGCCCTGAATCGCATCCTTTTTAATTTTGGTTGGTTTCTCCGATTTTCCTTTTGCACTGACGATTGTAACAGTCTTGTGTATCGTTGCAAACTTTCTAAGTAAAAGAGAGATTTGTCATTGTAGCGTTATTATTTTCGTACTGTTATTTTAGTTGTAGTATAAAAAGTAGTGTAGTTTTCCTTTTCTATTATCATCATTTAATTACAACTATCGTATTCATTTTTCTTACTACCTTGAGCCCGCTTGAATAGTTTGAAAGATCTGGCCCAGTCTCCAAAAAGGTTGTACACCCCTGCACTAGAGTGTTAATGACTGCAAGGCCAGATCATCTATTTCAAGGCATTTAGGGTGAAACTCGCATATTTTGTGCTTCTGAAAAACTCAAATAAACAAGAAATTTAATTCTTGGTGCAATTGAACCCCAGGTTTTTCTAAAATGAGTCTTAAATTTCAAGCATTTTGAGCCTTAACATTTTTATAGACTCTGTTTTTATGGAAAAACTGTGCTGGTAAAGAAAGATGTTGCTCCAGAAATTCTGTTGTTTTTGCAATAAACCTACGTTCAAAATGAAATGAAAAGAAATACAAAATTTCGAAGATTTTCGATGCAACGAATTTTGGCAGATTTTTAAATAATAACGACTCGTGTTCCATTAAATTTTAACGAGATATTGTTAATGTTTTGAAGCCTTTCGGGTATCCTAATAAATCAACAGTAAGAATTTATTACGGCTTGAAATGCAAACATCGGAGCTACAAAATACGCCATCATTGGAAAATTTCCAAGTACACTACCGTGATAGATTCGTAAAAATGTAAGAAGATCACCAAAGGATCAATTCTTTTTCAAATCCAACATAATTTATACATCGAAGAAATTGGCGTCTTTTACAAAGTATTAGTTAAATTTAAAAACCATTCACGTTCGATAGAAAATTCCATATTAGAATATAGATTTTGCAGCTGAAACGTTTTGTGTAGATAAGCAAATTTAATCAAAACGGATCTTCTTCTTGACATTGACAAGTTAAAAAATAAAAACTAAAAATATTGGACTCATTATAGAAAAAATAAGACCTATGTTGATTAAAAAACAAGAACATACTGGATTAAGAAAGACCGACCAACTTGAATTTTCATTTACTTGTTAAAACGCTGCGTTAAAAACGTAAGAAATACTGAATCAGTGGGTGATGGTGTCCTACACAGGCTATCAATATATTTAGCATAGTAGCTATCAAACAAGTGTTTTACTGTTCATGATCAAACTCAAGCAGCATGACAAAAACATATTGGTTGAGAATATTTGAAAAAATAATTGGCAAGATATCATCTCGAGATCAAGATATAGGTTTTCCAATAAATTTGTGTATGCATTAATTAACTATATATACAGAATGGTTAAAACAACCTTGTAATAAAACACTCATACGAATGGTAAAACCCTTCAAAATTAAGAATGTCCTCATCTTTTAATCTGTCCATTCGATATTGCAAGTTCTGTCAGATATTGCCAACTTCTGTTGTCATCGCAAGTGGTGTTAACAACGAGGCAGTGTGTGATAACGAGATCATCCATACATGCTGTAAGATTAAGATGGCTGCAAGCGCATTAACTTTCCTTAAATAATGCAGAGACTCGCCATGGCTGTTGGGAGCTGGCTAAAAGAATGCTTTTGCAACTGAGTGTTGACTTAACACAGTACTAGCGATTCTTTAATACAAATGCAAAGAGAAGGACGAGGAAAGAAACGGACAAGACCAAGAGGATGTTGTTTTCGAGCAATGATGAAATGTTCGATTTTAACGTTTGCTGGGAGTGTACGTCTTTGAAAGAAAGAAGCTTCCTTATGAATGGTTTTTCTAGTGGAATGACACACTCTTTGCTCGCCGTGTCCATGACGTAGGGCGATGTGCAATTCTCTCTACACGTACCATTCTGCAAAACAAAATCATCATAACAAGATATACATTGATCCATACTCCTTTCAAAGCATGTCTTGCAATTTTCATTACACATCACGCAGATACTTTTTTTTTCAAAGGTCATCTTGTAAAAGCCATCAGGACATTCTTCAATACACGTCGAATTGTATAGAACCAGTGTATCATTACAAAGGAGGCAGTCCTTAAACTCTTTCCCATCACATGAATGACATGTTTCATGACACGGGAAACAGGCATCATTCTCGAAATACGTTCCTGTGCTGCAAACATAAGAACACATTTTCATGGAATGGTCAAAAAAGAGGTTATCCGCGCAAATTGTGCAGTGCTGTGGTCCCGTTCCAGTGCATTTTTCACATGTTCTGTCACATTTCTCGCAATCAAACGTATCCATATTCATGAAGTACCCATTTTTACAAGTGCATAAATCACCCATTAATTTATCACTGTACTTGCACTCGTTGCAACTACCTGGACCAGGCCCATGGCAGCCTAAGCAAGCATCGTGGCATGCTCTGCATTTGTTTTCTGTGTCAACATAACCATCCAGACAAGGCTGTATACAAGATTGTCCTTGAAGCTCGTGTCCGTCAATGCAGGAAGAGCAATTATCAGACCCCGGCCCAATGCACTCCTTACACGGGCGGTCGCAACTTTGGCATAAGTTTCTGTCTGTGTCCAAGTAGGTTTCTTTTGAACACAGAACCTGGCACACTCCATGTTTAAGGGAATGCCGGCTATAACAGTCAGTGCAGTTGTTCTTCGTGGGTCCAGAACACTCTCTACAAGTCGCATCACATTGTACGCATTTAAACAAGCTGTCGTCTGGGTAGGACCCTGTCATACACCAGAGATGACATATATTTTTGCTAAGCAGGAAGTCTTCTCCGCAGCGCGTGCATTCATTTGCACCTGGACCTGTGCATTCTACGCAAGTTGGATGACACTTTCCACACTCTTCAATATTTTCATCAAAATAATACCCACGAATACACTTTGAAACACAGGCACCATTCATCAGCCGTTTGTTGTCTCGACAGGCCGTGCAGTCATTGGTGCCCGGACCATGACACGTCTTACATGAAGAATCACACGCCATACAGTAATCCAATTCTATATTTCTGTATGTGCCCTCTTTGCAAAGCTGAACACAGCTACCGTTTCTGAGAACAAGAGAATCGAAACATCCGGTGCAGTTGCTTTTTGTTGGCCCGTTACAAGATAGGCATCTGCTTGAGCAAGGCAAGCATCTGAGCTTGTCTAAGTCAAAATAGCTTTCATCTGCGCACTCAACAGCACAGAGGCCGTTCTTTAGCATGAAACCTGGAGGACAAGAGGTACAATCTGTCACATTTTGCCCGTCACAACTAAGGCAGCTGTCATTACACAGCTCACATTCTTGTGTTTCTTCATTGTAGTAACTACCTACTACACATGTATTTCTGCACGTGTTTCCGATCAATATGTGTCTTTTTTGGCACGACGTACAGTTACTTTCGCCTGGACCACTGCATGTCTTGCACAGCTCACTGCATTTTTCGCATCGACCATTTTCGATATCATAAAAGCTACCTTCATGACAGATGTTGGCACAGGTGTTATTCAAAAGCTGATACCCATCGTTGCAAGACAAACACTCCTCTTTCGATGGTCCATCGCATGACTTGCAATCACTGTGACAAGATTTACATCGCCATGTATCATCATCAAAAAACCTTCCTTCGGTACACTTAACCTCAGTACAACCCATTCGATCATTCAATTGGTATCCTTTTTTACAGATGACACAGTCTGCTATAGAAGGGCCCTGGCATGCCAGGCAACCTTCACTACAATTGAGACACCTTCCCGATGCATAGTCCCTATACTCTCCTCCTTCACACATCATGAAACATGTACTTTCAATCAAGGTAAAACCTGGCTTACATAAGGTGCAATTCTTTCTCGCAGGGCCAAAGCAACTTTCACAAGCATTGGCGCATTTTTTACACTCCCAACTCTTTGCATCCAGATATTCAGATCTCTTGCAAATAGGAAAGCAGGTGGAATCAATCAAGTTAAAGTTAGCTCTGCAGGAAATACATTCGTTTATACTTGGTCCATAGCAGGTAGCGCACGGATTTGTACACTTCTCGCAATTGCCTGATACTTCGTTGTAAAAGCAATCTTCATTGCATCCTGCACCACATTCGCTTTTTCTCATAACAAATCCCTGCTTACAACTAATGCAGTCGTTCTTCTTCGGGCCAGTACACGCCTTGCAATTTGATTTACAGGGCAGACACTTTCCCTTTTCCTCATCGGGGTAAAAACCCTCATTGCAGAACAGAATGCATTTGCCATCAAACAAGGCGTAGCCCGTTTTACATGAAGTACAGTCAATGGCAAGGGCCCCATCACATGTTACGCACGATGAATCACAAGCATTGCATGTTTTCTGCATTCTGCTTGAATATGTTCCATCAGGACAATTCAACACACATTCCCCATCAATAAGAATACTGTTCGAAAGACACGCTGTGCAATTGTTCTCGAATGGACCATCGCACATTTTACAGTTACTGTTACACAATAAGCACACTTGTAGTGTTTTATCTGGGTAGCTTCCGTTTGTGCAATCCGGCAAACACTTCCCATCGGTCAAGACAAAACCATCCTGGCACAAAGTGCATTCATACAACGGTCCCTTGCATTCTTTGCATGGCGGTAAGCAATTCAAGCATTTTCCAGATAAAGAATCAAGATAACTACCATCTTTGCAATCATGAACACATCTACCGTTGGCCAAAACAAGTTCATTATGGCATGCAGTACAGTTTTTTATGCTTGGGCCATTACAGTTTTTGCAAAGAGGACTGCAAGACTGGCAACGTTCGGAGATTGGCTCTGCGAAGAAACCAGAGGGGCACCTTTTTACACAGGCCCCAGAACTGCTAAGAATTTTATCACTACGACAGTCCGTGCAGTTATTGTAGTCAGGGCCGTTGCAACCTTTGCATCGTTTGTGACATGGTATACACTGCCCAGTGAACTTATTCAAGTATTTACCATCTGCGCAGTTAAGAATGCACTTGCCATCAACAAGGATGTGCTCTTTGAAACAGCCTGTGCAGTTCCTCGATGTAGGTCCTACACACGTTTGGCAGGACGGGTCACAAAATCTACATATACCAGTCTTCTGGTCTGGATACTTATCAGCATCGCATCCAAGAATGCACCTATTTCTATGCAGGATATAGTCTCCATAGCATTCCGTACATTGTCTTACAGATGGGCCACGACAGGACCTACATGAGAGATGACACTTTTTGCACTTTAACGACTCAGCATCGATGTAATAACCTTCCTTACAGGTTTCTTCAACACAAAGACTGCCAACTTGCGAAAGTCCCTTTTTACAGAGCATGCATTCATCTTTATCAGGGCCATAGCAAATGTCACATGTATCATGGCATTGTTTGCAGCTCTTGGTGTAGAAGTCAGTGTAATACCCGATGAGTGGACAAGACCTGATGCACTCGCCTTTATGAATGACAAATGGATAACGGCAGTGCTCGCAGATTGACATGTTTCCTTCAGCTAAAATGTAACAATGCAAAAATAAGAAACAAGGTTGGCTTAGGTTTTTCAAGATTTCTGATATAAGAAACGGCATGCAAAAAGAGTTCTTGAATGGTAGTCCAAAGTGAATGAGGCAGGAAGATTCAAGGTCCAGTACGTGAAGGAAACGCTTAAATAATGAATAACATGCATCTAGACTAGGTTTTTAAAAAATCCTACGCAACCAATCTTCTGGATAACCTAAACATTCTTTGCGGAAAAGCGATCGTTTCTAAGTAAACAATAGTTGAAAGTGCCGTCCAATGGCAACAAAAAAACAAGACAACGAGTGACTTTCAAGTCAACAAAGCTAGAACAAAGCTCAGAATCATGTAACAATCGGTACAAAACTGTTTTTCGTTTTTGTAAACTGATCATTTTAAACCTATATAGACCGACAATTCCATAAATAAGTATCAAAGTCATTACTGCTTGAAAATAAAAGAAGGTTTTGAAATAAGAAAGTACAGAAGACATTCTAGCGAACCAGAGAGAAGAAAACTCACTAAAACAGGTGATACAGTTTTCTGGGCAGTTGTTGCACATAGACGTTGGTGCTTCTGCGATATACCTTGAAGGGCATTCTTCGAAACACACTGACTTGTAAAGAAGCATCCCGTGATGACACGACAAGCATTGGTTTGCATTGAAACCAAAACACGTCTTGCAGTTACGGTGACACTTCTCACACTGCCGCGTGCCAGGCACTTCGAAGCTACCGTCACCACAGGACACGTGACAACCAAGATCTCGTCTCACGTAGCCTTCCTTACAGCGCATGCATACATCTTCAGAGTACTGGCACTCGACACATCGATCAGAGCATTTGAGGCACCACTCGTCCATTTTGAAATAGCCCATTGGACATCGCAATACACAACGGTTCTCAAATAACTTGAGATCGCTTGCGCAAGAGTCACACTGCGTAGAAAGATTTCCATGGCAAGTTGAACAGGTTTTGTGACAAGGCATACACATTCCACCAGGCACTTTGTAATATCCGCGAGGACATCTTTCTGTGCAGTGGTATTCGTAAAGTGTTTTATTTGGGTGACATGAAAGACATTCCGTTTCAGTAGCGCCGAAGCAGCTTTTGCACTTTGGATGGCAGTTGTTACATGAATTTTCAGTCAGGTTATCAATACATGGCTGTATGCAAGTTGATCCTCGGAGTTTCAAATTTCCTGTAAAGCGGAAATTGGGGCGGTTAACATGACATATGCAATAAAAAATTCAATAAAACTGTAGCCACACTGTCCAATGGCTTGCATTGAAGAAGCGAAAGAGCCTCAAAATGGTAACATTACGGTCTTATTCAACGACGAGAACAAGCTTTATCCTCTAAAAAAACAGCTTTCATATACACGTCTAGCCAGGGCCTACACAAGGTAACCATTTAGATATATTAGTTCCATTGAAACCAACTATAAACAGCCTTGAATTGACTTTGAACTTTGGTGTGTGATCTCAAGAACAATAATTACTCGCAGCCAATAAAATGCACCAAATATTTGTAAAGACAAACACCAAACGGTTATACAACATCTCTTACGGAGTTTAAAATGTTGATAAAGAATTTAATGACAAAAACGCTGCTGTTATTATGCTGTCGTGCTCTTTCGTTTCAAGATACTATCAAATTTAATGAGTGAGTTTAAACTTGTAGGCGAAAAGTTTATTAAAAATCATTAAAAATAGAAGAGAGTTACATATAACTTCCTGTAAAAGACAAAAGGATCGAATATCGGTAGTTCAATAAAGCCTACTGAATAATTTGGAATCTATCTCTCTAGTCCGCCTGGTGTTAGCTATTCCAAACAATCGGTTCAATTTGAAACGGAGATTGGGCAGAACATGCCTTATTTTACTATAATGACCTCGACTAGCTTATATTAAAGAAAATGGGATTCCGTTAATCATTATAATTTGATTAAATAAGCAATTCTTACCAACACATCGCCGACATTCTTTTTCAGTTGGTCCAAAGCACTGGGTGCAAGAAGGGTGGCACGGCTTACAAATTTGTTCTTTTAAGTCTTTGTAGAATGCCCCAGGAGGGCAGGTCCAGGAACATCTCCCATCGGCACGAAGGACCATTTCTCTTGGGCATTCTAAGCATTGGTGGAGATGCTCCCCTGAGCATTCTTTGCAGGATGAGTGACATCTCGTACATCTGAATCTAAAACAACAAAAGATGATTATAATAACAATCACACACCTGAAATTACAGTCGTTAGCGAGGCGGAAGAAACAAATTTGTAACTTGATTTTTTGACCAATTTCTACAGTATTTCTAACGAACATTTTGACCCCGTATGTCCCCCATTAGTCATGCAATGCCAAGCGAGTAGGAAACAAGGAAATCTATGCAGAAATAGCTTATTAAGGCAAATCTGAATAATGATAAGGACTAGATTAATCTTTCTGGTCCACCTAAGTTCTGCAGAAGTATAGCAACCAAGGAGCTATGTTTCCAGTGAATTTTCACAAACGGCGGAGTGGATTTTACGAAAAGCAAACAAATTATAGCAGCAAAATCTAAAACTGAGCTCAAGTAAAAAAGTATAGCTATTTCTTTGAAATATCTTTGACATTGAATATTTCTTGCCCACTTTCAAAGAAGCTTCCAAAAAGGTTGCTAGACTGAAAAGTTCATTGACACTCAATTCCAGTTTAAAGGATAAAAAATAAACCAAATTTTTTATTATTCCTTGAAAAAATAAACCCTTGAAATTGACAAGAAATTAAAGTTGCCAATCTCACCAGATCCAGAACTCCAAAGTACTTTCTCGTAAACGTTTCATTAACTAATTGATAAAAAACTTTCACTCAGGAGAAAACCAAACCAACTTTACATTCGTTATCAGAAAACAGTGGCAATGGTTGCTATTCTTCTTAAAAATTCATTGTTATGAAAGATAAAATGTTTTTCAGAAATTTTATGTTCTCTTTGACAGTTTCTGCAATTATTCCTACTATCTATAAATTCAAATATCCATGCAATAAGCAGGTTGAATATAGCTATTTCTGCGGTCCTTCTATCTGATAAATCTAGATCTGATAAATAATGCTATTTGCTTCATGCTCCAGTTTGTGTGTGCGAGTTTAACATGATCCAATTTGTCATAAAATTAATTTCAAAACTCCTTAAAAGCAATGGAAATGACTTTTTTTCGCTTAAAGTCTGGTTTTAGATCTTGGTTGAAGCGATATATCGTTGAGTACTTCAAATTTAGTTCAGGTAACACACTGTAATATCCGCCATTTTAGGCAACATTCCAAATAAGGTGAATCACAGGAAAAACTGCTTTTTTGTCGATAGCGGAAAAGGCCATGTCACTTGCTTTGTTAAGCTATAGAGACACGTGGTAAGGCCTGTCACCTAAAAACAAAAGAGTGTACACGCCTTAGCAAGAAGAACACAGAGCCTTCACTATTGTATTATAATGAATTGCCGTTTATTTGTTAAAACATGACTTGGCAAGCCAAAAGCCCGGAAATCTAAGATTATTTCTTTTAAGCGGAATGAAAACCACAAGAAGGTGACTAACAAAAGGGACTCGACATTATCATCAACCGATAAACTACCAAAGAGTTGGTTATCCTAAAGACTGAAATATAACCCGTCATTTGGATGAGATGATAGATATGATGATAGTGATGTCAGAGAAGGGAGGGGATGTTGAAGAAGACGACAGAGGGAAAACAGCACATGGAACTCAAGGTAAGGCTTGATCGATTTATCAAATCATCAAAATAATGGCTGGATCGAAGCAACTACATATATAAACAGGAGTAAAGTTTTATCAACTTTTCTTGTATGCAGGATGTGTGAAAAACTTTATCAACTTTCAGTACAGTATTTAGAACATACTGATTATGGCACGAACGAAAGCCTGTTTTTAAAACTCAACCTGATAGTCGAAGGGTCCTTGACTGCCTTTCGAATACATTTTCTTCATAGTGAAAATGATATCCTCTGAACTATAAGTATGACTGGTTTTAAAATGATCAGAGGCGTTTTATAACAGACTTTTTATTAGTTAAAGTTCGTGTACAGTGCTTGCAAAACAGCTAATATTTTGACGGAACCAAAAAACCATAGGAGGGCCACATGCCACTTGCCCAAGCCTGGCTATGCGTAGTTCGCGGTTCAAATGGTCTAAACAATGCTACAATAGAGACAGACTCCTATAGATCTGTTTAAAACATAATTAAGAGGTTAAAGCCTAAGTCAATATGGTCTTCGAGTGTTCAATCAGACATAATACGATAAGCAAAGGAATCAAGAAATCAAGTTATCGAAAGAGGAAACTAGTATTACAATATTATCTTTCACTCTCAGCACTTGCATTGTAAATCAACACTTCTTTCTCTCTTTTAAACGCCCTTGTCTAATTTTTGAAAAAATATGAACTCCTCTCCCTCTAGAACACTCATGCTCCAATGAAGAACCCCTCTAACATCAATTTTATTAACTCCCTAGCCTTTTATTGAAGAAATGACGGTTTTGTTCAACAAATCTTGTTGAAAGTATCAGCATGTGGCTGGGTGATTGCCTGTAAAATAGCAACACTGAAATTTAAAACAAATACATTTATCAATTTTCAAGTCCATCTTCACTAGGTTCTATCTTTGCTGGAACCAAACAACCATTCTACTTGAAAGGAAATCCACGAAAGTAATTATTTTATTCAACAAAAAGGTCTGAAAGTTATTAGTTAGTCAGTTAGTACTTGAAATATATTAGTAGTTATAAAGCAAAGAATAGAGCATGAATAATTTTCCTTGCACAGGTTATTTTTAATGTAGCATATTCTTAACGATCCTTTTATTTGAGGAAGGTATCCATGTCTGGGCCGCTTTAGCTTTAGGCCGTTTTTTAGTAAGCCTGACCTAAACGAATTGACTTTATCTAATCAACTGACTCAACCTTACCACATCCTTACGGGCTTATTCTTGGGCATGAAGTTTTTCGTCGCAGGAACACAATTAACGTCGGATATTTGGCAATGTAGATGAATTAAAAGAAAACAAGAAAAGCCTCAACGACGTGGTGTAGCTTCTTAAACTTGTAATTACAAAGGTAAAACTTTGTGTGTGTTTAGATGTCTTTACAGATTTCTAGAATGGATGGTTCCTTCTTTAGCTAACCCCTCCCTTTAGGTAAATACTGGTTCTATAAATTATTGAAAAAATCGTGATTTCCTTATCCTCTTCACTACCGAACATTTTAGTCAATCAAGTTTGAGATTTCCTTGATAAAAGGGAAGCTGATATCCTTTCGATGTCTGTTCGATAAACGAGCCTTGGCTTCAAGCCTTGGCATCAAGCCTTGGCATCAAGCCTTGGCATCAAGCCTTGGCATCAAGCCTTGGCATCAAGCCTTGGCATCAAGCCTTGGCATCAAGCCTTGGCATCAAGCCTTGGCTTCAAGCCTTGGCTTCAAGCCTTGGCTTCAAGCCTTGGCTTCAAGCCTTGGCTTCAAGCCTTGGCCAAATTTGTTTAACGTAAAATCCTCTTCAATAGAAATCTCCAAAACCATTACAAAATCAGGTACTTTTCACAGCATCAATAATCCATAAAGGATTTACCAAATGCTTTGTATGAAATTTCAATGAAACAAATACCTCGGTTTATATGCAGAGACTATTCGTTGCCCATTCAGTCACTGACTTATTGCAACTTAATCTTATAACTTTTCAAGACCTAAAGTATATAGCCTTGCCGATCTGAATCACTGGCAATACAAACGGTATGTCACAGTCAACAAACTGATACAGCTGTGCCATTTATCAAATTTCATTCTGTCTTCCTATCTCAAAAAGCACATACCTAAGAAGTATTAGAGAGTTCACTAAGTTAACAGCACCCGATTTTTTCGAAACGTTGAACTAAAATAAAGGAAGGGTTTAACCTTTTGAAAAGAATGCATATCTTGTTTATTTCAACTTTTAACTACAAAGCGTACTTCTAAGCCCAATTGCAGCTATTTTGAATGAAATTTTGGATCTCAGTCCAATTTTGTACGGTAAACTTCATCACATAAGCCATTTATTTGTGTTTTAATATAGCTTACGACAGATATTTAAGTTACGAACCTCTGTTCAATATCTCGGAATGTACCACTGGGACAGGCTTCCAAGCAGCGTTCTTCGTTCAGATTGACGTAGCAATTTTCACAGTTTTTGTCCCCCTTGCAATCACTGCACGGATACGGACAAACCTGGCACATGTTAGAAGTACTGTTGGAAAAGAACCCAATGCCACAATCGGAAACACAGGTGCTTTGCTTCAGCATACGGGGGTCAAACAAACTGCTTTTACATGACAAGCATTCGAAAGGCTTTCCAGGGATGCACGACTCACAGTTTTTCGAACATAATATGCAAAGGCCATTCAGCAAGTCCGGGTATTGGCCTAAAAAATGGAGCATGATGTTCTGTGATTAAACAAGACACTACTTACAATATTAGGAGATAGTAAAAACTAAGATCAAGTAGGCTTTTTCAAGTAGATCAAGTAGAAAATAATTCAACAAGGGCCATCCACAATGATCTTAACAAAATATGGTGTGGTTTTGGTTCTTCTCGATCCACTGAACGGTAAAAATTGGACACCTATAGCCATCATCCAACAGTTGATAATACGACCATTGGTGGTTTCCTGTATTGCTATCCGTCCTAAATGAATTCATTTTTGAAAATCTTGGCCTTTTATCATGTTAACTGCCCTCGGCTGAATTGAGGGTTAATGAGCTTTCTGTATAAGCAGGGAATGTCTAACTGTAAACTCACATTTATCAAAATAGTCAACGTTTGACAGTAGTTATTCCACTGTGCTTTCCTCTGGTTTTGCCAAGCATCAGCCAATATTAATACAATAAAATAACTGCTTTGTACACGAATGGTAAAAAGAAGTGGAGTGATGAAGATTCTTTTTACCTAATGAAGACTTATGCTCGAAATGTCGTACTTATCTTCCATTCTTGTACAAAGTCGTTTTTTTATTGTATCAATTTATGCTCGTTACTCGACGTACAACTTGCTCAACTACATTGATTAGCAATAGTATCAGAGAGTTTGCTAACAGAACAACAGATGGTTGTAAAATGAAGCTATTATGAATTGGACCTCTAATTTTATCTAAACATCGAGAAAACATGGCGGCCATAAGGTCAAGAAAGCAAAGAAGGCAGATCGAAAGCAGATTCTTGGAGGAAGATTTTCAGAGCTTAAGGGCATTGTCGGGGCATCGGCATCGTTATCGAGCCTACCGTTTTCTTACCATCTACTCTTTTCTTTTACCTTTACAGGACATCTGCCCACAAACAATGTTGGGTGTGGAGGCAACTCGATAACGTTGTCTTTTGCCTCCATCTCAACAATGATCAACTTGAGTTTTTTTTTGTATTTGTCTTTATTGTGATAAACAAAATCTAATGCTAACGCACTCGTAATTTTCCGATTCTAGATGAAACTTTCGAAAGATTTACATATCTAATCAATTAAAATCCAAAATCTAAAGTAGGATGTGTAAGTTTTAACACTAGATTACAATCGAGTGCTTGAAGTGACGTCACCATACAAGAGATTTTCGCGCTTTCGTGATCAATGCTTGATGCGAAAGTTGCAAATCCAAGATCTCAGCATCTATACAAATTATACACACTTTTTTATGAGAATACTTTTTTTGTTGAGCTGATGAAAGATGCTCTTGAAAATTTAATATTTTCAGCTTAAAATATATTTTCCAATTTTTCTCAAAAAACAAACGCCATAGACAAATTCTTTTAGAGAACGGGAAAAAGAAATGCCAGTGGTTTTTGGTTCAGACACATTCAAAACATATAAGCATAGTTTGCTGTTGTATTAAGGCACATTCAGAACACTTTTCATGCATGTACTAAGGCTGTCTAAGCCTGATTAATAAAATTCTTAGTTTATGTCTGAATTTTTTTAGTTTTTGGCTTCAGTTTTCATTTTACAAAACTGCGTAATCGTGACATAGACACTAGAAACCAATCGGTTGACCTAAGGCAACATAATATCCTTCTGAAATGTAAACTGCAAAATATTTTCCCTGCTCTTAAGTTTCTGAATACTTTTACACAGAAGCATGTTGTAAGGTTACATCACCACGTCGTTAACTATTTCTTTTTACACGCTAACTGAGCAGAGAAATTGAACATACGATCTGACACAAGCTTGACGTCAAATGTCAAAAAGACTTTAATGTTAAAAACTGCGGGTCTATATTTCAAATAAGAGGAATTAACAATAAGACAGGTATTTTGACATGTTGGCCTTAAGAACATTGTCTGTTTTAACCTATGACATTTCTGATGTCAGTAAAAATATATTTACGTGTACAGAGGAAAGTAATATATTTTCTGTAGAGCAACCAAAATGAAAATAAAATTACCTCTAGGGCATTCCTTGATGCAATCCTTCTTGTTTAACGCTGGCAGAAAGTGACCCCATTTACAAGCAACGCACTGCTCACCCTCTGCAACGCACTTTAGACAGTTCTTGCCACAAGGCTCGCACACACCTTTTGTATGATCTCTATAGTATCGGGGAGGACATGTAAACAGACAACTCCCTTTGTAAAAATACATCGTTTTGTAGTCGTTGTTGCTATGAAGACCTCTATATCGACAAGATGTACAGTTACGGTAGCCACGTCCATCACACGTATGACACGATCCATGGCATGGTATGCAGTTTAGGCCATCAAAAAAGTACCCATGACCACACCTTGGGATGCAATTGTGATTGCTTAGAAAATCTTCGTGTCGGCAAGTCGTACAATTGTCTGCCTTACCAGAGCAGGTAAGACAGTTTCCATGACATTTATTGCACTTGAATCCAACTTCGTGGATAAGCTTAAAATGGTCTGCAATAAAAAAAATCTGTAAATAAACTCTGCGAATTGGTCTCAAAAACTCAATAAATTTCTATTGCTTCAAAATACATGATGGTATGATGGTATGATGGGTATTTCACAAAGGTTATCTCTGATCTATGCTGTTCTTCTTCAAATGTAGTATAGAACTTTACTAATGGCTTTAAAAACTTCAGTATATTCAAATGTTTGCTTTTTTCACAGCCATTTTTAACTTTTGTACCACCAAAAGATTGTTTGAGAATTCCAATCCCTACTGTGCATCGCATAAACAATAAAAGCAATCATGTAACAAATTTTTCCATCATATTTTTTAAAATCAACATTCTATCTTGTCGCCAGCATTCAAACACCTCTGAAGATCTGGACACCCAGAATAATTAAGGGGTAACAGAGACCCCATTCTTCAACTGTCAAATATAAACCACCAATAACAGGTAATTTTAGTTTAATTCAAAAAACTTTGATCCAGAATTTTCATCTAATTGCACTTGAACACTTTATATTGTAAGGTGTTTGTATCTCTCTCAGAGCAGTAAGCAGTAATCTAATTTCTTAAACTTTTCATCCTAAATGTTTGCTTTTTCAAAGCCATTTTCAAGTTCTGTACCGCCAAAAAGCTGTTCAAATCTTAATTCTGTCTTGAAGATGTATTGGTTGACATTGAAAAATACTTGAAGATCGCCGAAGAAGAAGTTCACTACAGAGCCACGAACGAACCGTGAAGAATGTTTACACAGCCGTGGGGCTAGGGGTTGTTGCACTAAATCCATTGTACCAATGTTTTTACGTCCAACCCCTTCTTTCTCGTTCTTTTCTTTGCTAACCTTCACACATATTCATAAAAAAGCAATTTTACAGTAATACGTTCTTTGATGATATTGTAAAATAAAGTGCGAAGTCTCTATACCTGACGGACATTGATCAAAACATTGTTTTTTGTGCAGGTGCTTTCCAGTATGGCAAGACGTACACTGAACACTTGAAGGTCCAACACAAGACCAGCAGGCGTTATGGCAAGGTAGGCATAATAATGATATTTCGTCTGTGAAGTACTTGGCGGGGCATATAGGCACGCATGTCTGCAAAACAAACACATTATAAAAATTACAGTTTTGTGGCAGTTAAAAGAAGTATGTTGTGAAATGGCAGTCCAGGATAATTGAAATTATGAGTATCAAAAGACACTTAAAGGCGAATGCTACGATAAAAGAATAGGGTGTACCCAAGGCTATGTCATGTTTTTCATGGTGTAATGCTATTGGTGGACCTTACACTGACCACATGAACCCAACTCGTATCTTTAAAAATAGGGCATACGAAGCAGGAATAGACACTTATAAAGAGATTACTCTTCGATACAGCTGCATATCAGAGTACATGGCAATCCACAATTAGAGTATCCCACAATTCCTCGCAGAGATTCGAATTATTTTTTGGCCAATATCTCGTGACACACAAGATCGATTAAGTTGCAAGAAACATGATCAAACTTCGCTATCGATTCAAATGTGTTTTGGAACAAGATGACCAGTCTGCAAGTGATCTTTTCATCACAGAAATGATCAAATTTCATCACAAAACAACACATGACATGGAAACGACAACAATGGATGGGAGGCTTTATCAAAATAGTCGGTTCCTTAATAAAAATATGGTTTCTTAAAAAGGGAAATGTTCTAATGATGAAATGAATGTCCAATATTTGATACATTATGGATCTGATATTGCACCATTAGAAAGTATAATATAAGATTCTCTTCATGGCAGATAAAACCAATGTTTTAGATAAGGACGTTTTCATGGAAAGCAAGGTTTTGAACTGGTAATTGCATTTCATTCAGTTTTCATTACCTGACAATGTTCAATGCTCTCTGGCAAGGTAAGAAAATGGGGAAGGGCCAACCTCCGAGGCGGACAGGAATATGAAACCAGAGAAAAGCAAATGTTCCTGTAAACAGTGAACGGCTAATGCTGGAAAACTGAACTGAACTAAAGTGAACAGAGCTTCCTTTATTTTCCAACTGACAAGCCTCTCAAGGTAAAGTATATGTGCTGTAATAGAAGATAGATGGTTTACGAAAAATTGACGTACAGAACCACTTGAAGAATTTTCTTCGGATAAATTTGTAATTAAGGAGCTGGCTAAAGAATTTTCTTAGTTTTACTGTAGTATTGATTCGAACACCAGGCGAATTGGCAATCATGTTTTGGAACCGTAAGAGACATTCACAAGAGAAAAAATTAAATCTGTCAAGGTAAGGATTGGATAAATAAAGACACAAGGAAGAAACGCGATGCAAGGGGGAAACAAAAAGGGCTAAGGGATTGTGCAGAAAAGGCAAAGTAGAAGGTGTGCAGGTGTTTCGGGTGACAAGCGCTTTCCAGGAGACTGGAATTGAATCACCAATAATGGGCTGAAGCAACGCGCATGAAAAGTCATAGAAGCTGAGAGGTGTCCTGGAAAATTGTGGCGAAATTGAGAGTAATTGATGATCAAGAAGAGTAGGAATTTTCCCGTAAAATAAAAGGTGATCATCAACGACGTCGCAGAAAAAGAGAGGATGAAAACGAAATTATTTTGCAAATAACCCCTCGAATTTTGGGATACGTTTCTTAGAAGGAAAGATGGCTTGAAACTGATATGCAAAGAGATGACAGGAGTAGGAGTGCTTGTAATTCGGAAAAGGGTTTTGTTAGGAAAAAGCTGAAAGTTGCAAAACTACACGACAGAGATGACATTAACAAGGACAAAAAGGACTTTTAAAAGGTGATGTTTTGAGCGTAATGGAGAAGTAAAATCAGAGAAACAAAAATTTTGCGAATACAAACGCTTCCAAAGAACAACGTGACTAAGCTGGAGGGAGATAAAATGAATGAATGAAGAAAGCTGTAATAATAATTGAAAGTTTATTAATACTTGTAGTTGGATGTAAAATTGCAAAGTGGGTAGAGGTGAAGAAATCGGGTATTACGAATTGTGTATGGTTTTCAAGGAAGAAAAAATAGAAAAATGCATATATAGGATGAAATCGAATTTTTTGATAAATTTTTTATAAGATTTTATAAAAAGAGAAAAAAGGAATAAAACGAACAAATGGAATAAATAAAAAGATGTTATAAATAATGTAGGATGATCTGGCAACATAGTTGCAGTCCGTAAGAAATGTTTGTATGAAAGAAGAAAAGCAAAATCAATGAAGGGGGTGAAAGTGAAGTATAGAGATATAATGGGTAAATGAATTTGAAGGAGATGATACAGAGAGTGATAACAACAGCAGGGTGATAAGGAATGGTCATGAATGATAAATGACTGAAATGAAAAAAGGACGATCTTGGAACTATTTTGCTAACTGTTGGAAAGTTTCTCAAAGATGATGAAGAAGAAACAGAATATCATCAGAAAGCGGCCGAAGAAGATGATCAGATGAAACGAGGTAATGGTGACAAAAGTAAAGTATAATAATGGGGGGGGGGGCTGGTTGGTGAAGTAAGGAAGAAAGGACTGGAAAACTGGAAAAGGTTTTGATAAGTGGAGACGACATGAATCGAGAAAAATGGCAGGAAGTGAAGGAATAATTAAGATCAAGATAAAAGAGGGACTAGTTGTTTGCTGATTCTTGGGAAAAGGTTTTCAAAGAAGGAAAAGATGAATAGCAAGAGAGGAAGCAAAGAGAGGAAGCAAAGAGAAGAAGCAGAGGAAGAAGACGGAGAAGAGTAAGAAAACGAAGAAGAAGATATGGATGAAGATAAAAGAAGAAAGAAAGAAAGAAAGAAGATGGAATGCTAAAGGATATAAAAGGGAGGGAGCAAAGTAAAATATACGTATGATGGGTTAGTGGACCGAAGTAATGGTTTGGAAGGGAGATGATAGGGTTAAGCAGGGATGGAAAAGGCTAGGATTGAATGAAGGGAAATGATTAATGGAGTGAAATGGAGAAGGATGTTACTGCAACTATGTTACTGCTGGTTGTGAGAGGTTACCAAAGAAGAAATAAATAGGAGAAAAGCATAGTGTTGGTGAAGCAAATAGACAAACTCGACTGAACCAATTGGAAAAGGAATGATGCGATGGTTGAACTAGAAAAGAATCTCTGGTAGCAGAGAAATATTTAAGAGAGTAGAAGTGCTTAGAAAAATCGTATATAAGCTTGAAACTTAGCAGTGAAAAGATGTAGACAGTTCTAAAGAATCAGGAGCAAGAAAAGATATAAGAAGATCAATTTGCAAGGTGCAAGGCCTTGTCAAATTATACTGTGACAGGCGAATGGTTTTCTCTAAGCGAATGATTAAATATTTCACGAGGCAGGTTATCAGAGATGTGTTTACGTCATGTTAGAGATATTGTCCTAAAGAACAATTAACGTCAATTGAAACACGACTTGTCAGTGTACCGTAAGCAGTTAAAGGACAGTGACATGTTAAAACGGTAGCATTCAACGTCAACCCTTGTTTAGACACCCTTTGGAAAGCGTCCAGCATGTGATACCCCTGGAATCCCTTCATTACCAAATATTTTCAAATTTCATTCAACATGGCTAGCGCTGGTGTCATTGCTACAGACTAACGGACTTTCATCTTCTCAAACAGATCTAGGGACTCTAGCGTTGCAAGACGCAAGATAGCCATTTTCAAGCACGATTTCTTACAAACGTTTGGTAGTGCTGATGGTAGGAGCATTTTATGTCTTAAAAGCAGAGTAGCTAAGGTTTTTAGGCCACAAATCCAGCAAAAAAAAGATTAGAAATAGCAGTTGACACTTTACAAGAGAGAGCACTGTTGCCGATATTTTCCTTGAATGACTCTAAATTCTTTGCCGTTTTAATTGGCAACAAGTCAAAAGAATGTAACGTTTTATTAAGAGAAATAAGGAGGCCTGATTATATACTTTAAATAATCATAACACTACATGTCAACGGAAGTCTCACGAAAAGTTTACGAAAAGAGCTTGGACACTATAACTGATAGACTTTAGAAAGCGAGGAGAGGCTGCATCTACTATCAAAAACAAGAAATGAGCCCATGACTATGTGGATGAGACTGACAAAGCATGGCTGAATGAGAGGAAAAGCAGCAAATAATACCTATTCTATCATACAACAGCCTGTAAAGAATTTGTCCGTGATATGAGGAAAAGAGTGCAACCTTCCCATACCTAGCCAAAAATTATCGAACAAACCTAAAGTTGGCCTAAACAAGTATAACGAATACATTTGCAATGATTAGTGAGAGATGTGTGTTGGGAAATTCGTTTTGAGAATAAAAAAGAGAAGGATCTGTTCACCTAATGTTACAAAAGGTGCAGCACTTTACGAATACTGATAAAACGACGAAAAACGAAACATCCTGTTCTGATTTCAAATTCCACCTATATCTTATCGGTGTACATAAGTTTGAGATTTTCCTCTCTGGTGTGCTAGTAACGGTTCCTCTTTGTGTGAAGTTTCCAGGCAAAACAAGCAAGAAAAGGCCTTTGAGCAGAAATCATTCTATACCCTAGGGCATTAGTTTGAAGAAGATTGATACTGTCCTTTGATAATGCCTGATACAAATCATAGGCCCATTCACCAAAGTCAGGTTAAACATTGTCACAAACGCAAACAGTGTTTGCCTTTCGATACATCAGAATCATATTTGCCATAACAGAAATGTGTTAAACAATGTCGCAAACACAAACAATGTTTGAACAGGAAAAGGGAAAAGCCTGTTTGAAAGGACGGCTGCTCTGTGGTTCAAACGCACACACATTACAGTCACTTAGCAGTGCCAATCGAAATTTAAAGTGATCGTTAGACATGTCAGACATGCTCCTTCAAGAAATAAATTGCATTTTGTGTAAAAAAGACTTTGTTTGATAAATGATCATATTATAGTTCTGATGAAATCTTTTTCTTTAGAAACAATCAAATGTGTCACCACAATAATGGCACTGAAATCTTTTTCATTTCTCTCTTAGTTTAGTAAACTCTGAAGCATTTGGTGGAGGACATCAATGCAAGGAACTAGTACACAGAGGCAGGAAAAGCGATACACAGTGAAAACCAGACCAGTTTCGATTTGGAAATTTGATTGGCACTGGCACACAACACTTGAAGCGGTGAATTGTTTCGCTTGAATAAACGACGACTGTAGTACACTGTCTGTGACACCCTGAAAGCTGATTAATCCGCTTCATTAGAACCGGGAATAGATCTAATGTTGATATCTGGTGTAGAAATATCAAATGAGAAACCTCCTATTATTCAAGGCAACAGGCTAGGCCATAAAACTCGGTAAAATATAAGGTTGGCCCCAACAAATTCGCGCCCCTAACTTCAAACAGAGAATGTTTCTTGACATAACCCTTCTTGAATGGCCTAAACCATATACCGAGTTATTTTGATCGAGTTGTGTTGCATTTATCATATTGTTCATAGTTTGGTCTTATCAAAGATAGTACATAATTTCCTTTTTGGTCGATCTTCTCTGTTGCTAATGAAACACATAGGCTGGTTGAACTGTTTTGTAATATAGATTGCTAACCTGCATGCCAAAGATCAGTCTTGAGCTACACAAGCAGACATACAACGGTAAGGACGGGACATGGCTAATAGATGAGCCTAGATAATATCAGACCAGACGAACTTGTGTCGGAAAACATAAGAAGTACGAGGAACCAAAATCTCTAAAGTTGCAAGAAAAGCCCGAAATCAGAAACTAAGAATTCTTATCTTCTGATGCTTATAAAGTTTTTCATTTGATTGGCCATTCTTTAATTGCCATACTAATACAACTCAATCGCGTTCTCCACCAGATCATGAGTGGCAGAGCATGAGATCTTTCAATTGCCTTAAAAGCCCATTTTTAAAACACAACCAAAGCCATGTCGGATAAGGGTGTTGCATACTTTATGCCAAAGCTTAACGTTACAAGCCTCTCCACAAGCCTGAGCAAAAATCATTTCAGCGCGCTTTAGTTACATGATTGTATTCTACAAGTAAAGTTCCGAATTGATCTACAGAAATTTGTGCCTAGTACAGCAACAGAAACAGAATAGCTCTGCAAAACAGCATAAAAACATCTGCGAAGTCTATCCAGCATTGTGTAAACAGTATCCCCTTTAAAATACACTATAACCCACGATGCCGTGCTTCTATAGCTACTGTATTCTCTCCAATAAACGCCCCCCCCCCATAATAAAGGCCAAGTCATGTTACTTTCCATTTGTGTATCTCTGGCTTTAAGAAAAACTACATACACTCTTTTCTAATAAGAACCAGTAAATCTAAGTTCAGGCTGACTGTTCTTAATTTTTTTGAAAATCTGAGGCTGGATTGTTCTTAATTTGTTCTTAATCTAATAGGGTGTAAACAGTGCGAGTGCTAGCTTTTTCACTCTAGGGTGGTGTACAGGCCTCATTTGCCAACAAAGTGAGTGAGACAGCCTTAATTTGCTGAAAAAATTTTAATATTCACCGAAAAAGCACCCACACATAGCTACAAATCCTTGATTTTGAGAAAAAACGTTGTTCAAAATTGCATTTTGCAGAAGCTCAGCCTCAGCTTGTTCTTGATTTGTTCTTAACTTTTAACCAATTTTGAGGCTCGTGTTCTTATAAATTTGTTCTTATAAAAAAAGAGTGTACAATATGTGTCTAAATTTCCTATCAACCTAACAAAATTCTGAAAATACAACTGCAATGTTAATTCAAATAGCTTCAAGGCCTAAAAGATTTATTCCCTAATGATTTTTCCAATTTGCATTCGTAAAGCCAACTGGCCTATCTGTAAAATACTTAATAGACACCTCCCGGTGATATACGCCCCTCCCTATAAAAGGCTGAAGCAAAAACCTCTAAAATTCATTTGACACCGGAGGTTTTTATCAAAGAAAACAACACGGCTATAACACAGCCGGAGCCTCAGTGTGGCGAAGGTCGCTCATCTCTGAGTATGGATGGTTGAATCAGCTAATCTCTTGTTTTAAATCATACTGATTGGAATGGACTAATAAAAACAAGAATTAGGACATTATGCAATGTAGCTGTGAACGAGTAGTCTGCCAGGACAGCATTTGGTTTCTCTTCCTTAAGGCTTGCACGTATGACTGTTTTATGAAATAACAACTCTCAATCTAAGACCGCAGTGAATTCCAATCGAAGATCAAATATGATATATATCTGGTAATAAATTATACATTAAGAGCTTCAAAACTTATTATAATAACGGTTATACAAAATTACTGATTATAATATGAGTTAAAAACAGGTTTCAATCTAAAGTATGATATATAGTTTGTATATACACCGAAATATAGTTAAGATCAAAACACTAGCATGGTCCCAGTGTACTTACCTTATTCCCATCAACAAGCATGTAGTTCTTACAGCTTATACACTGATAAGGCTCCGGACCAGTGCATCCTTCAAGACATTCCGGGTGGCATCTGACGCCTTTCTGGCCCGGAACAAGAGGCTGATCGTCTATGTCCGGATAAGGGACTCCGGGCGTAAACTCTGTTCCGTACATCACTAGTTGCCACTCTTCAAGTAAACCGGTTCCATGGGCGCCTGAGGACGAATGTTGTTATGACGTCACGAAGGCACAATATTCATTGATCCAGTTACATAATGCTTGATTTAAAAAATGCCTAGTAATACAAAAATGCCCTCAAAGTTGCATGGTTCTTATTACAAGAATAAAATCCATGATGAAAAATTAAAGGTATCCATGCTTAACCGATAAAACATAAAAAGTCTTCCCTTTTATCGAAAGCCGAAAAAGATTTTCTTATGCACATTATGTTCACTCAATTTTGGGGCATGTCAAGTCAATTTTCTATGTGTAGGGAAGCTACCACCCTGATGCCAGAAATTTAAAGCCTTGGTTTTTAATGGCATTAATAAATAAATAAATTACCACTCAAAATCAAATGAAACAGGATCATTTCATGTTATTCGTTTCGAGACAACATAAGACATTATAACTCACTGTCTATCTCCAATTTCCACTTTCCATAAGGATTTTCGCCCCAGAAGTGAACTGATAAAAATGCCCATTTCTTGAAGCTTCCTCTCCTTGTATCCAGCTTGCGCCTACTTAACACCCTGCTTCGAGTTCCCATTGGCGAAACCAGGTAGATAGAGAGCGCTCCGCGACTAGAATGCACGAGGTTCACAACTAGGTGGGTATGCTCTAAGTAGCGAACGAAGCTGCGAGGATTTGGTATCAATATCAACTATCAGCTTCTGACGACTATCTATAATGCTGAAATAAAAACATTGGACAATATGATAAATAGCTTAGGTATATATCAATGCAGCTAAAGTTACTTAAAATTAACATAGAATCACATGGTCCACAAAATTGTTCCATCAAAAGAACATCCAGGGTCTAAATGTTGACAACAGGTAATTTAGCTATAATACATTGCTACTCTTGCTTTTCTGCTCCATTAAAAATGCCTTGTAATTTCATTTTCTATAGCAATATTTGGTTTCTATCCGTTACACTAACAAGAAAATGTCTGATGAAAATCTATAGGAAGAAAATTGGAATACGTAGGAACGAAAGTCTGAAAATGCCGAAAATACTTACAGTGCCGGTCTAGCAATGGCAGTTTTACATATATGCTGCTCAGAAACCAAGGACCACTTTTCAGCTAGGTCCACCAAAGCTCCCCCGTCCAATAAACCGAACCCAAACGTTGGGCTGAATTTCTTGTTAACTCCATTCACTTGCACGTTGTGTTGATCCAAGTTTCGAATATTGGCGCTATTCACAAGAACATGTTGTACATCTCGCCAAGTAAGCTCTGGTCTGCAAAGCAACAACGCATATAGTAAGTTACATACATATGCTTTAGAATCAATTTTTAAGTTGAAAACTGCTGGGCCTAAGTACCGCTTGAAAATGCAGACCCTCGAAATTTTGGGGCGGGATTTTCTTGGTTAGGTAATGACCGTTTGACAATCTCCTACCGATGTGTTTCTACACTTATGTGTGACTTGTATTGTTGAGAACACATAAGCAACTAACTTTGCTTATCAAGATAAGGTTAAGTTGCTTGAGTAGATAAAATGATATTAAGAGATCTCACTTCGCCTCCAAAGCAAGTGCAATGAAACCAGCAGCAAATGGTGCAGCAACAGATGTTCCAGTATGCCTTAAAGTGCATCCTCCATTCAGATCTGAAGTAACCTATAAAAAATAGATTAGTTTAATGCCTTGACATTGATGCAATTCTCGAATTCAGTCAGCCTGCCTAACAGAAATGTGACTGACATCATTTTAGCCTATACTGCACCTAAATTATCAAGCAAGATAAATATGTATCCAAATTCTGGACCAAAAAAACAGGTTCAGCTTTGTGGGTTCTGGGCTATTATGAACCTCTTGGGCAACAAATGTAGGTATTGGCACAAGGCTCTTAAAATTTCTTCCACTGACAATTTTGTTAATCTTAACGATTGATAAATCCTGCAAATGGTTAAAATTGCAATATAATATATAGAAAAATATTCAGCGAAAATTGGACTATATGAAAAGAAAGTGATATGGTTAAAATTGCAATATAATATATAGAAAAATATTCAGCGAAAATTGGACTATATGAAAAGAAAGTTATATGGTTGATATTGGTTCAATAGTGGGTTTTCTTCGTTGTAATCTAATTAAAAAAACTTTACTTTAGCATGATTACGTCCATCATCATCATCATCATCATCAATCATCATCATCATCATCATCAAAATCCAAACTTCAATCTTCATCCCAACAAAATATTGGTACAGTCAAATCATTCAATAATTTGAACTTTCGAGGGAAAGGAAGACTTAGTCAGATTAGAATTATCAAAAGTTGGCTAAAAGTGGAACAATTAGAAATGAGAGCGTTTAGATACAAATAGAATAGCCGGACTTTCAAACAAGTGGATACTTTCAATGCATTGCAGAAGCCCACACAAATAACCTGCGTAGCCCTTTTAGACAGCACAGTTACAGTTACAAGGTCTGGTGAATAAAGATAGGAAGAGGAGAAATTATACTTGCAATGCGTTTGTCAAGAACGTTGTTGCCACCCCCATATGAAGAGATGAGAGTCGAAGCGCATTCTTCAAGATACCAAGGCCGTGATCCGTAAGACGTCGCAGCGCCAGCTGAAATCGTGTATATGCTATTGGTGTAGCCATCACAGTTGCAGTCATCATTCGTCCCTCCATTGCCAGATGCCCACACGAATATGCTTCCTTTTCCATTCCTTCCCTTCAAGAAGAAATACATTACTCATCAAATCACAAGCAAGAAATCGCGGCAAGATGTACATGACATGTGTAATATCCATGATCATGTTCTTATATCCATTGTTTTATGATCCTACGTATCATCATGGTGTTTTGTTTGTTTATTATATATTTAAGATATTGCATTCGCTGAAAATAGGCCGTATTATAACAACATGTTACACGAAGTTCCTGTAAGTTACAACACTGAATAGGTTGTATTTGTAAAGAGAAAAAGCTTACGATAGGCCTTCTCATTTACAGGGTCTTATACTTCGATACAAATCAGTTGTGGCGCGGTGCAATTACTGCTTTACCTGCTTGGTAGGTTGAGAATTTGCAAATTAGACTGGAACTTGCTCTAAATTTACTTTGCGATATCTCTGATCTTTAACCCAAAGCAATTGCAACGGATCAACAGTGGTTTATGACTTTTGAAATGTCTTCAAACGAAGGCATGATCTTAATGGTTCTAAAGCGCCTTTAGTAACCTGTCAATCAATAAGCATCTGAGTGGTATATCACTTATTTATAGAGGGCATAAGTCACTTTAAAAACTGTCTTTTGTCCTTAAGCTTATTCGTGGCATCAAGAAACATTTGTATCATAATTGCATCATAAATGCATTTTGAGTTTAATCCAGTACTTACAAAGAGAATTCCCTCGATGAGCGCTTGCGTAGTCAGATTCCCAGGCCCATCAACCGTTCTTCCGTCGTCATCAGGCCCCCAGCTAGAGCTGTAAACATCGACATAATCTCTGCGATGCGTCAATGATCGCGCCTCCACAGCATCTGTTACCTCGCCGTCAAGCATCCTGATTCCTATGAAATATGAGATGTGAAGTTAATATTCCAAAATATTAACGTGATAATATGGTAGCTTTATTCAGGGTGCAAGCATTGCTTAATTGTTGCCGTTAGCCTAGGAAATTGAATGCTGGAACCTTTCTCGCAGAACCGAAAACATTTTTTATAGTGGCCTAGGCAGAAACATGTAAAGTTCTCCACAGCAATTCAATCTTATCTCCTTTTGGCTATGCACTTCTATCTGTTTTAATATAAGAAATTTCCATTTGCTCTTCGTTCCTTTCACTTCCTTCACTATTAAGTACCAGAAGCACAAACAAATATATTGCAATTTCCTCTCCCTCTCGATGGAATCCCCTTTTTCCTTTTTTCTATTTTCTTAAAATATGCTTGTCATGTGCTTTATATATTTTTATATATTCAAACATGATTTAAATATTTTTCCGATTAACACCTCAGGTAGTATACACGTCATTTCACAGTCTGGAATTTATTGAACGAGCCATCTCTAGCAAATCCCCATACTGAAATATAATTCTTTCAAAGTCAGAGTGATCTCTATTTACGTCCAGGCTGATAAAAAGTTAAAGTAGGCTTATCCAACAATTACAATGGTTTTCAACTGGGTAAAAAGGTAAACTGCAGTTTTTTTAATCTGAATAAATTGAATTAAACAAAAAGGTATGCAAACGTACCGCCGATCTTTGAATCATAAGCAACGCCAACGATGCAGAACGAGTTGTTTCCAGTTGCGGCTATTTGTCCAGCGCATCTGGTTCCGTGACCATTTCTACGAAATCTAGGTAGACATAATTCTTGCAAAGGCAAGATCTTATCTTCTACAAAGAACTTTTCAACAAGACATAGATTAGGACCATAACACGAAGGAGCAAATGACACATCTAAAGAATGCAAATGTAGATCAGTACTTTTTAAATCAAATGCACTTATGAATCGATTTGAAGACAACTTACTTGTCTATACATCATAATATCTAAGATATTTGTATTGGCATCAAAGACAATTATACTCTTATGATAAGCCAACTTCTTCTTGTTCTCAGTTAAATACGAAGGCGAGTGGTAACGAGCAGTCACTTAAAAAGCTCACATTGGTTTTGGGCGTGCCTCGCAGCTATTCGACCAACATTGTGAGCAATGTTGTAACGCTTAATTTCGGTTTTAAGGTCCACCAGCAGTCCATTAGAGAATTATCACTTGGAAACTCGGGCAGACGAAGCCATAGCTCAGCAAATTTCAAATATCAAACAGGCAAATTTTATGTGTGCAACCTACTACTACAAATAAGGATATGGAATGTGGCAGCGTAGCTGAAGTTATAAACGATTTAGTGACCCTTTTCGTTATGAGCTGCAACTGTTAAAATCACGTTAGTGTTCAAAGAAAGGCAATGACTATACGATGTCCGAAAGTCTTATAACCTTTTTATTCTTATCAACGTATTGTAAAATTCGAAGGCAGCAATGCTATTGAAAACTTTGGAAATCCAATGTAATGTACAAATAGTTTCCAGAGACATTTAACCTTTTAATTAGTCAAAATCTGTTAACTTTTGATAAAACTCATCTAGTAAAAAAGTCACGATACTGCCTTCATTAATAAAAACGCTATCTCGAGAGACTATAAAACTATATCCAATGAACCCTCATAATACCTATCATTGCATTCAGTGTCATTGGGAGAATTCATCCTTAGAAACTAGCCCATAATTCACCTCATAGTACTAATGGTTTATTGCATTCATTTAACACTAGATTTCGGGTTGACCACTTCCATTAGGCATTCAAATGGGATCATATTTTGGAATCATCGAAAAATCAGCCAATGAAAGACCATTAATATCCCGAACGCAACAAATGCCGTGAGCTACAATTTTGAGCATAGGACTTGAGCCTAACCCCTAAGAACCCGCCTTGCATCATGGAATATTGGAGTGCTCGTACTTAATAGCGGGGAAATGAGCAGTGGGGAGGAGTGGAATTTGTTTATAGCTTGTTTACAATCAAGTTTTGTATATCAAATAATCAAATTTAATCAAATAAGTATAAACGATCATATTTACTTACTGGTTGGTTTCCAATGTCCAACGTGGTCGTGGATCGGCATCATTGTCGTTGTAGTCGTAACTTGCATTTCTATCCTAAAAGAAAGAAAAATCTGATTTAAAAAGTACACAGGGTGAAACCACCAAAGAGCGGACTCCTCCACAGTGGCTGTCCGTTGTAGAGAGATGGTAAATTTCTAGAGGTTACCTGACAAAGGATCCAACTGCATAAAAGGAAGTAATGGGCAATAACTTGCTCTTTGTTTTGGAGATCTCAACCTCAGTGTCTATCAAGTAATAACTCGTATCAGTGTCCTCCCCTTGCATGTATTGTTATACTCCGTTATATTCGGTTGCTATACTCCCAAATCTTTTATTAATTCTTGCCAAAAGTAATCAGAATGCTGCAATTTCTTTCAGTTATTATCAATTACAACAAATTAATCACTTAAATCGGATGAAAACCCAGCAACTTACATAATTTTTCACAAGTTCTTTATGTGTGTATTCGATACCTTGAAAATAGAAAAAGCAAAATAGAAACAGCCTGTGATGTACAACGAGTTTGTATTAATTAGAATTACAGAGTCCTGGCGTTAGATAATCTCGTTGAAATGCCTGTAAAAGTAACGTTGCTTTTTACTACCGCGGTTGAATCAATTTCTGCTTAGTTTCACCAGCAAGAGATCGTATGGACATGATCCCCTGTAGTTCCACTCACTTAATTACAAAAAACAACAGTCATATGGTTTCCATAATTCCTTTCACTAAATTGGAAACAAAACAGTAAAAACAATTAAAAACTGCATTCAGCTGCCACGAATCTGATGTTTTTAACTGAGTTGGGTGAGACAATATAATGCGGCATTCGCTACATAACAATACGAATCTTTCTATACTACTTTTATGAAAAACAATCCATGCCATATACTCAAACTGTTGCAGAACATGAGCAACCAGGAACAATTTTCGATATAATGTAGAGTTTTACGTTTGCAACCTCAAAAAGCTTTGCAAAGTAAATATTGCCTAAGGGATGTGATTGCATCACGGTCACTGGTCGCGGGCTCGAGTCCTGCCCTGATCGTTTTTTGAGACAATTTAGCAAAAAACACAGTTAAAACATACCGTCATCAAGAATGGTGATGACAACATTCTTTCCCGTGATGCCCTTCTTCCAAGCCGGTAGTATGTTCATATCATGTCCAGTCATTCCCGGGTCTCGGTTATGCTAGAAGAAAGAAAAAGCGTTAGTAGAGTTCCTTGGCTTTAAAACTATTCTCAGCACAGGGAGAGAGTGCACGACGATTGACCTTAATCTGCGGCTATGTTCTCCAGTCTTGTTTCATTTCTACCGTAATTGCATCATGAAGCGTAAGATGTTCCCGTCCTGCTAGATTAAAACATTAAATTGAGGAAATATCATCGCTAAGAGAGTTCCCAGATATTGGAATTGAACCAACACTCGTCTCTATGCAGCTCCGAGCTACTAAGCGACGAGCCAGTAATTCCCTATTACTAGGCAGGTTGGAGGAGGGGGATGATCTCCGGAAACATCAAATTCTAGAACAGGCTTTCAGTGCAACCAAGAAAGCCTTTGGTACAGGGAAATTTTAAGATAGCATATATCTGACGAAAATACTTTAGAATGCTATGTTTTCATTTTTCCTTGCTATCTTCAAAGTTTCCAGTGCTTTCTAACGTTTGCTTTCTTTATTTTCTTCTGGTTCTCTTGCACCACCTGAAACAACTGCTCACGTGACATCTTGCTTCTCAACCTACTTTGCGTTCTTGCCTCTTTCTGGCACCAAGTTACGTAGTCATGTTACGGCGGTGAACTGCATCTTGCTTCAAAAAATGTGATATTCTTCTATTTTTCCCCAGTTTCGTCCCTTAGATTCGAGAGACTTGACGTTTTTTGTTCTGAGCTCTGTACATAATCAAATTGCAAGGGCAGCAATAAGATAGCAGCTGTGCCATGCATCAAAAAACACTTTGGACATGCTGGATCAGAACAACGAGTTAGAAGGCAGTAGAAGCCACAAAATTTGCGATCTGGCTTGTACTAATCACATTGGAAATACTGACACGAGCCTAAGTTAAATAATGATAAATTATCAATCCGTTATGTTAACATATGTCAGAAAATATAACCTATATCAGGCAGAGCGGTAATCGTAAATAATCCTGTTCGAAAACCGATATACTACTCCCTAACAATGAAGATCACATTGGGATTAAGGTAGATTATGGTCAGCTTACAGGATGTATTCCATGTCAAGGTAAAATATCCACTGACTGTTAGCCTCAATATGCTTGCATAGCAGAGATCCTCTTGCACATCTCACCGAAAAGCAAATCGGCTTGAAAAGCGAACTGTAAGTGAAACTTGGACATCCAAATCGACGCCCACATCTGAGTATATCCAAACGTGTACACTGGGAGACCATCAAATTTCTCAATGCCCTACCTAGATTTTTGGGTTTTGTGACCTGAGTGTGTCTAAACAGAATTGTTCTGTTTGGCAAACGACAGCAACAATTCTATACGATATCAGATTTTTCCATGCCCCCTCAAACCATCATTGGCATGACACCTAATAATTATCTGCACCTTTCACCTACTATCTTGAAGAGTTTTCAGCTTATCTCCATAGGTATAGGGGATGTAAAACGTTTGGGGGGGGGGGGGCTTTGCATGGATAATTTGATATGCCCGAAACTTGATGTTTTATTGGGATGGAACTGCCTGGATGGAGCCTTAAATGCGATTAAGGTTGCTTAACTGGGGGAGTTGCAGCACTTCCAGCCCCCATTCCAGTCTCGTACGCCTAAGCTGAATACCCACATCAACGTTAATTTATCCGGTTTTAAAATGAGGATGCGGGTGACGATAGGCTTCTGACTTTACATGCATGCAACAAAGCACGTTTTCGGATGATCTCTCGCCAGCTGTGTTCAGGGTCGTATAAGAAATCCCAAATCATTGAAGATTTAAAACAGTCACTGAATTGTGCTTGAATCCGACACATAAGGGTCTCTCTTGAGCCAAAAAGCATAGGATTATAGTTCATAACTACACTCTTTTTTATAAGAACCAGATAATTTTTGCCGAGCCTCGATATTCTTAATTTTTTGATAATTTTAAGCTCAATTTATGTTCTTAAAATTGTTTATATTTTAAGAGTGATTTTTTGCAAATATTTGAGAAGTTACATTCTGTATATAGTTTCTAAAATGCTTTACTGGGTAAAGTTTAAAAATAAAGCAATGACTGCTTATAAATTGCATAGTTTTGTTCTGTTGGCATGACATAAATTTCAAAATGCAAATTCTTTTCTTTAAAATTTCTTGTCTGAAGCTGAGCATGTTCTTGTTCTAATTTTTTGGGCAAATCGAGCCTCAGTGTTCTTATAGAGTGTGTATTTGTAAAAAAGAGTGTAGAGATAAATACTATGAATGGCTTGAAATTGAATAAGGTAACATTCAATTAGTGATTCCATTCAAATAAATTGCTTTTTCTACTTATTTCCTCTCCTTGTCTCGCAAAGAAAAAAGATACAGATTTATGGTAACAAAACCTTTTACTGTGCACCCGATTTTCAGAAATCCATGTCCTAAGCAGATTCACGCAATTAACAGAGCATGCATTGAATAGGACAGATCTGAGTAGTTTGTTTCTAATGTTATAAATCAAATGACATTTGATAAGTTCATCGATAGCTAAAAGATTTAGTCTAGTTTCCTGTTTCCTCAATGCACACTTGTTTTTTCTTTGCTACGTAACCGGTGACAATGAACACAGAGTTCTTTGTTAATTAATCATTGCTTTTCCTATGTAAAAGGATAGCAGCGGGGATGTCTTTTCTGAATATCAAGCGAAATTTTCCTATACTTGAATACGGCCGCAATTTTCCCACCTTCCATTTGAGTGACTGTGGCGTGGGCATTTGACTGCTGGGTAGTAACCAGATTTTGCTTGAGTTTTTCCGAAACAGTTGTTTTCCGTCTACAACAGTTGTTTATATCTATTGTTATGCAGTCGAAGCAATTCAACGATACAAGAGGGTGAATTTTTGAGAGAAATGTTACTGAATTTGCTTACCAAATACCATTGATTTCCCCAACAATGATCTGAAAAATGAATGTCCTTTGCTTCTCGTTTGACTCTCTTCTTTATTTCTTGCTGAACAACTAAATCGACCTACAAAGAAAAGAACTAAATAGTTGAAAACAAATATACTTTTTCAGCCTTTCTCGTCGCTTTCTACCTGGGTACCAGTTTCTCTCATCTCCATTCATCTCGTCTCGTCTTCTTTCTCGTCTCCCAATTTCTTGAGCTCTGGTAAACGGGATAGTCGCGTTTGCGCCAGTTAAGGCAAGCAAATGATCCATACCGATGAAGAACACTTCCAAGTTCAGTACTGAGAAAATTATATCTTGTTCAAAATCGATAAACGATTGATAAAATCAAGCCCGTCGGAACCAGAGGGGGGGGAGCGCTGGAGCCCCTAATAATTGTCAACATTGTTGCTCCCTTTGCAACATTATTGCACCCCTTGCAACATTTTTGCACCCCTTGCAATATTGTTGCTCCCCTTGCAACATTATTGCACCCATTGCAACAAAACTGCATCCCTTGCAACAAAATTGAGCCCCTTGCAACAAAATTGCACGCCTTGCAAAATTGTTGCACCCCTTGTAGCATTGTTGCACCTCCTGGATTATTATTGGACCCCTTGCAACATAACTGCACCTTTTGGAGCATTATTGCACCCCTTGGAATCCCAGTAGCAGGTTTCCTTTCCTAGGTTGCGTGACTTCAAGATCATATGGCAGCTGCTTTGAATCCTACAACTGGGTATAAACATTCTATTAACAGAGCAACATGGTATCGCCCAGTGCATAACAGTAGCTTACACTGCTTTGGCTCACATCTTGTGGTGGCGCTCATCCCATCAAAGGGTAACATATTGCACGCGACAGGGAAAGCTAATAATATCATCGTAAACAGAAAGCCGACCGATTTCAAAGTATTCAACAAAGATACAAAGGCTAATAAGGCTTGATACATCCTAAACGGAGAAATGCCGTGCTCCTAACGGGGATTCCCAGTAACAATGACATTAAATCTCTGAATACATAGATCAGTCTCTAGGGCCTTTTCCACTTAACTCCCTTATTATGACAAGTAGCTTGATAACCGCCCTGTCCTGTTATGTCAAACAGATAATTCGTTAATTTGGATATACGAAGATGAAATTTTATCCATCACTTCCCACTCCAGTTGGCTTGACAATTAGACATCCCTTTAGCTGGTATGTGCAATTAGACATTCACGCCTGAATACGCCTTCATATTTGCTTCAGTTAAGTTATTCTGACATGTTATTATACCAGGCTAATTGCAAGGGCTAGATAATCATTCTCATTTGCCCACATTTGGCAGTTCCATGCTTCTAGAAAATAGGTTGCAAAAGAGGTTGTTGTGTTAGAGTCGAGGCTAGGAAATCTTAGGTAGCTTTTCTATGTTTGAGTCTAGCATAGATGATACATACCCTACTTCTTTAACAGGTTACAACCTAATTTGTTGCACTTCCACTTCTAATATGTTCGTATAAATGATATGATTTAAGAAAGGGGGGTGTAGTATGAACATTTTAGCAATAACAACCACAATAATCAGCTTAATAATCACCTAAATCACCAATCACTGTGATCATCATAGTGATAAATAATAATCATCACCATCATCAGGATAATCACAAAAATCATAATGATGATGAAACTAGTTATCATAATCATCATAACCACGATTATTATCGCAATATAATCCTTAATAAAATCTAATTGGTATGACGCGAATGTTTCCATAGTGGATTGTTAAAAGAGTTCTAAACTAAATGCACGCGGAAATTTTGAGCTTCATGTTGAAATTTTCGCCATCTGCAATTACCGTGAGATTAATCATTTTAAATAGACCAGTCATAGTTAATTTTTAGAAATAATGGCTTAAAAGAATCAAGCTTTTACATTAGTGACCAGGTTTGGGCAGGCAAATGTCGATAACTACAGAAAATCTAAACAAAGGGATGCTCAAAGCAGAGTTTGAACGAACATGCAATGTTTCAACAATTTCACGTGAAAGTCAACCAAGATATTCATAGAAGGCTGTTTAATAAATATTTCATCAATTCTCGTCGCAAGAAGATGTTGCTAAGTCATACATTTTGGCTTCAATTTGCCTACCATCAACATCAAATGTAAATATTTTTGGGCCATTTTATACAAATCATGTGCCACATACGTCGATCCAAGTACAACTTATTATTCCTCTGTTGTCCATAGAAACAACGAATGGCGAAGAATTCGCTTGCTTTACAAACAAGAAAGAAATTTTAGAGGAAAATAAAATAGTTTTTCCGTTGTTTTCATATATCCTTCCGTCTTTGGACTTGATCTTGCATTTGCCGATTCCTGGTCAAATGGACAATCACCTTATCGAATACAACTCCAAAAGAATACGGAGTCAACATTCCCTCTTAAGTCAAGCTTTACCATGTAAACAACATGGATAAAAGTATTAAACACGGAGACAGAGCTGTTTGCATTCGGGGATGCTTTTCCTGTCGACAGTAAAAGTACCGCAATCTATACTGACGTACATGGTTGGAGTCCATGTTTACGAGTATAGACTTGAAACTAATTGGCCACCTTGTATGACCCGAAGCCTAGGTATATTACCAATACATATTACCTTGGTCCACTTACAAAGGAAGAGAAATTTTTTGTGTTGTGAGATTCTCTTAAAAATACTTGTTTATCGGGCGAAGAACTCGTCTATTATATGGGTCTGTTAGAGCCACTTTTTAAGGAGGAACAGCCCTAGAGTTCCAGTACATTCAATCAGGTTTTGCAAAAACGCGTTTGCAAGCAAACCAGGGTTATCCCACCTCTGGGGCTACCCTTTATGCGAGGTAGAGCTTTCCTAGAAGCCGGGTCATCGAGGTAGTCTCCTATTCATGGTTCATGCTCTTGAAGTGTTCGTCAAAATAACAAATTTAGGAATGTAGCTACTAAGGACTGTAAATGGTATTACAGCGTCCTTGAAGAAATTTTGGGACATACAAAGAAATATTTAAATATAATAAACAATTGTTTTGAATGTTTTCCAATCTATCTTGTGTTTGTGCCTGCATCTTCTTGTTGAGTATCATGTTTTATTGACTTCTTTATCTCTGGAAATCTTCAAGGTTGAGGTATGGTAATTTGTCTTTTATTCGGGTAATGCTTTATTTGCTGTGACTGAAAACTGAAACTGAAACATGTCTATGACATCTCAATGTCTATGTAATGCTACAATAGCATCGTCGTTGGCATCAAACTAAACTAAAACCTGATGCTTTTATTTACACATTTTCAACAGGCTCTAGGACTAAGAACGAACTGGAGCTCGTATAATTTTTTTAATTTCTTTTTGTTTCAAAAAGTTCTTTCTTTGCTAAAAAACGATCTAAAATCGGGAAATTGGCATGTAGTTTCATGGGGAAATTTCTTTCATGGGGAAAAACGGTTAACAGGCCCTTACATGAAATATGAGTTTCTCTACTTACTCTTTTGTCTCTAGAAAGAACAACGTTCCTAAATGTGGTACTTCTTTTGTACCTGCGAGGAACAGCACGATGTGTGAACAGGTACACATCCTTTAGCATTCCAACCTAAAAAGGATGCATAAAGTCAAAAAATTTATATGGTTAACAAAGATGGAAAATAAAATTATACATATATTATATTTACATATATAGGTGAGTTTGTACCAATTTGGGATAATTTGTACTCCAGATAAACATTTGATTGTCGATTAAAGTTTTAACTGTCTTTTCTGGGTACTAACTAAATAAGCTTGCTTGTTTACTGGCTGACTTGCCCATGTCTCAGTTATTAATCAAAGAAAATCATCAAATTTGAAAAAATTAACAGGAAGAAATGTGGGAAGGAGGGGAGCAAAGGAAGGGGGAAGGAGAGGAAAAGGGAAGTGCGAGTGGAAAAACTTTTCTTTCTCTTCCCTATTTTCTTTTTTGCTCTCCTCCCGCTTCTTTTTTTCTCCTTTTCTCCAGACTTGGGCAAGTCAAGTTTACTGGATGTTTTTGCGGAATGTTTCTGCTGAATGTTTACTAAGTAATGTTTGTTAGCTGTAACATTTCCATACTGAGCCAGTGAAGTCTGCACCCTCCTTTCATAAAACACTAGGTAATTCTTATCGAAGGTCGATGTTCTTAATTTTTGGATAACTCAAGGCTCGATTGTTGTCCTGATTTCAAAATTGATTTTTCTACAACCACATGCACAATATAAACTGTCCCTATGACATTAAATTAAAATAATAATGCCTAACAACACCTGAGGCTCATGGCCTTATTAAGTTGTTCTTACTTTTTTAGCAAATCGAGCCTTGCAAGTTGTCCTAAATGCTGTACATATTGAATATACTTGTAAATATTTCTTATGTTTTGCTTAATTTTTCCATCAAGGCCCATGACAAATAGATTGAAGCCTACTTGATATTAGAACGAAAATATCCTTAGCCAGGCCCGTAGCCAAGGGGTGGCATGGGGTGGCAATGCCACTCCTGGAGCAAGAGAATTGTTTATTTGGATCTCTTATTATCCATATATTACCCATATATTATGTTTATTGGGGCCTCTTAAGATGGTGCCTGGCGCTCAAAAAACTTTCGCTTCTGAGCGAAACTTAAAAAAAGACTTCTGAGCTGAAACGTCTGCCTGCAACAGGTCTGGGGATTTGCCACCCCTACTCCACAGGCCTGGCTACGGCCTTGTCTTTAGCTATAAAATTGAGAGTAGGTCCTCTCGTCAGTTGATCATGGCGTAAAAGCAATACATCATACTAAGCAGAAAAAGCAGCAGGATAAAACACGAACTGAACAATCTTGGCGGCCACATAACGGTGACGCGGGGTCAATTGAGGTGCGTACACATTGAGAGGTATTTACGATGGAACTGACTAGACAATCAACAATACCGTAAGAGTTTTTATCGCTGTCTTGCCACGATCATTCTAATGACCATGGTCATGTCAAAAAACCTTCAGCAACCGCACAATACATAAAAACATCAGCTTGGATAACCAACAGTTTAATCGCATTAAGAAACTTTGCTCTTGTTGAAGAAATGTGATGGGATGGGATGGGAATGGGAAAAAAAATCAACAAGAAAAACTAGGTATCGAAATTATATACATGGTGCAGAGTCCAACCAATCTTTTTAACGATTTGGATGGGCCTAGAAATTTCTAGGTGGCCCTTGAAAGCATTCATTAATAAAAAAAGGCCGTAACCGTTTGAGTCCAAAGAGTTCAACTTCTGGTGGTGACCTATCGTTCCTTAAAACATGAGTTTCTGAACTGATATGAAATTTTACATGAAAACGGAAAAACCAGATGTGTTGCGCTATGAAACGGTTAAGGAAGCTACCCACACCATACACTCACTCACTCGCTCCAGAAGTTTTTCAGCATTCAAAGTTTCTTATGAGTTTTTTAACTTCAGTGTTTCATTGTACTACTTAAAAAAGTTTCATGCTTGGAAAGAGTTTTAATTAAAATCTTAGTATTTTCATCATTACGGAAGAACAGAGATTTTTGAAGTTGCTTGTAGAGAATGAGTAAGACTGGGCAAGAATTTTTATTGTTTGTGTCTAAAAGCTTTATGGCAACCAGTTAATAACGTCGATGGAAGATCACAAAATTTTAGATTCTGCTTTCTTCAAATTTCTGCTCTCTGAGTAACAAGGTTTCAAATTTTTTCAGTGTGTTCAGTAGTTGGTTTACTTACAGCTAGTTTTGTATAAACAAAAACGAATAATCTCCTAAAAATAATTAGAGAAGTGACATTCCGTGGCTTTGGACTACACCCTTGTGAAAGTTTAAAGGGAACTCGTTATTAACGCTCAATCCTGGTTTTATACTAAGCAATAGAGGTTATTCAATCTCGCTACCACGGAAACTGCTCCAGCATAACAAACACATTCCGCGTTGCAAATCAATGTGTGGCCAGAGGTAATCCGTTATGCCACCTACGGTTAATAGGAATTACGCACAAGCAACTCTACCTCTCGGTGCAAAAAGAAATTCATACGTCATGCGTGGGAACCACGATGCGTTATCTATCGAGTCAATATGCCACTGAGCAGCCGCATCTTGGTGTTTTCTAACCACTGCCTTTCCGTCAAACCTAATTTCGCTACGCAATAACTTCCTTCACGGACAACTGGGGAGCCTCAATCAAACAGATGTGACGTCAATTTAGACGCGCTGAAGCTGATTAAATACAATTTTCTGCAACATTTATGTTTATAATTGTGCCCTAAAGGAATCTTTTAGGTATATCCCTGGTCAGAGAATTGGGTAGACTTGAGAAGACAACTCTGCTTCATGGCCTTGAGTAGTTATGTTTTTTGATCATTTCACCCATCAGATTGCGAAACTTAGCAGTGTTGTATCAACAAATGCATTCCTTTACTTTAAGAAAGGTTCGAGAGGTAGGAGGGATATAAAAAACGTATTCCTTCAAAACCTTTTATGGAATGGCATAAAAATTAAACGCCCTGCGCGAGACTCGATCGGCTATGCTCGTTGCACTGCATAAGAAATGAGACCCCAAGCAACCACGTCACATAATTCATGTCTGGTTGAGAGCAGATCTGACCCAAAATGATATCAACCTATCATTTATATTCTAGTCTCCCTTTAAAAGCGAGGCTGGTAATACTAAAAGCAGAAGTCGCTGTCGGCCCCTAAAAGCCTTTTCAGATGCAAGCTTGGGTGGATGGCAAGTCTTGCTGTGATGAGAGGAAACAACGTCACTGGGAGCTACGACATACCGGACAGGAGTAATCAGCTGTCAGTTTCAAGAACTAGCTGTCAATAAAAGAAAAAATTGAGCCATTCTGCCAATAATAACTATATGTATATAATGCTTGATTGATCTAGTGCCCAACGATTAAGATTTTTGATGCATTTCCAAGAAAAGAAGGGCTTTGCAAGCCATACGCATTTAACAAACGTAGAGGCGATCGACATACACTAAAGGGGCTTGCGGAGTTTCAATCAAAAATTGACTAATCAGTGAGTGCGATTCCACTCACATGCTCATTAATTGGCTAATTTTGACTAACAGATGGCTCAAGCCACTTTAACATCTGTCAATTGCCTTTAACAAACATAACATAACATCTATGTCAGCCAATGAACTTTGTCCCGGGAAAAGCGGGGATGTGTCCGTTGCTATGAGACTGGCCATCTTTAAAATCTGGTAGCAAAACGTAGAGGTTGAATAGGCCTTAAAAAATATCTTGATATGTATACTAAAATAACGAATACAGCTATAATTGATTGATAAAATCTTTTCCATCACTTCGCCATATCGAACAAAGTTGCGGCATTTTGAAACTGGTTTCTTTAAACAAACTCGTCCCGAAGTGTCAAGTTTTAAACAAGACACATTCAAAACAAGAAGGTTTGACCTTGACAGGACCAAAAGATGTATGCACCACGCCTATCAACGATTTTCTACCATTTTAGTCTTTAGGAGCGTTCGGTCTAGGCCAGTGAGATGCATTGGATTTACCTCGAGTGTAAATAAAGCTATTTCTTCATTTCAAAGATTATCCAAGTAAGAAGAAAGTAACGAGCTGGGTTTGGGACCCATTCGTGCCCCCTCGTCAGTTCTCTGGACTTAAAAGAACTCCGATTAAAGAAATCAACTACGGCTTGGTCCATTCATTCAAATTTGCAATTAGACAGAGAGACGGTTTATTCAAATTTAAAGCTTCTAAGCTGCTGCATTAAATTTGATACTACCCTCAAACGCTATGCTTGAATGAAAGACCTACATGTCAATTGGAACCAATCGACTTTTCTAGCATCGATAATCCCGTGGCATTCACAACTTGTTCGTGCTATTGCAGTAGAAATTGCTAGCTGCAGGTCAGCAGCGATTATATAAGCATCACGATAAGATATGCCTGCTTTCTATGTAAAATGGTTAACAAAGTGGCACTGACCCGCTTGTCTTTAGGGGTTGGCTCTCAACTCTAACTATCTGAGAAGTGATATTGCCGGAGTTTACTCGTGGAAAGAACTTATACGAGTTAGATACCAAACAATGTTGGACCATAAACCAACTGGTTTTAAAACAATATTTAAACAATCATTGAACCTCACTGAAATGTTGCATTTAAACCCGTAAATTTAGAAGTTTTCGTGTATTCAAAAATATGTTGTAGCGAAATAATTGGTTTTTAGGAAGGGGTGTGGTGATTCAACAAATTTGGGTATTATATATGGTAGAAAACTCGTGAATTGACGAAGTTTGGGTTGGAAAACTCAAGTCAAACTGGAATTGGCAATGACGCATAATGATGCAAACTAACCATGCGAATACATGTGTTTCTCAACTTATGAATTACTAGCATAATCTTATGAATGGTGGGGGAGGGGGCTGAGTTGAGTGTTGAGTCTATTAGCAGCTGAGGATCGTGATGGGCAGAACTTAAGTGAAACGATATCTAGAAATACAGGCTCTGTTAGCAGTCTGGCTCTGCCTTAGCTAAAACACTGATCAGACTATCTACTTTTATCATTACAACTTTAATGTAGACATCGGTGAATGAGACGTCCTTGCTTGAAGACTTACACAAACTATGGGGCAACTTGGGATTAGATAGCTTACACAGAGCTGTATTTGGAATTTTTAAATGCAATAGATAGAACTTGAAGTTTACACTAAGGAGACAAAGCGGGTGAATGGTATTGATGATAGTCGCAGAGGGACGGCGAAGTAGCGGAACCAGGCTCGGCAGGGGTGGTGTTCACGTCAACTTCACATTGTGTTTAGTTTCGTTGCAAAGGCAGTTTTGGGATGAGGTGGTATGAATGAAAACAGGCCAAATTATCGTGCTCTCAATTTCAGCCAATTTTATCTCACTTATTTACTAAAATAGAGCTAGTGAGTGGGGAAAATCACAGTTTCTGCCACTCACTAGATCGAATTTGGCACGAAGTTTCAGGTCTATCACAAATTACCATTACATGACATCAAAGAAAAATTCAATTCTCCACACAGTCTGGAGGTGAGTGTCTTTAACAAAGATCAGGAGGATGAATTTTGCTTAATGGATAGATAAAACCTTTCATTAACACAACTTTTAAATGATGTCATAAGCCCGGTTGGGATTGAAGGATCAAACTTGTCATGAACGCATAGTCGTCTCGCACGAATTGAACTGTGATAACTGTGCGTTGACTTCAAGGCAAATCTGACCACAAAACTGGCAAATATCATGGATGAATTGAGTAGGCCAGTTGGTGGGACTATAAATCGCGCTAAGGTAGTTTCAGGTTATGACTGGCAAGTTTTTTTCGAATTAAACTTCAGCAATTTTTGATATTATGTTTGGCACCATGCAAAATAATTTCTCGATAAATATCGGCTGGTATGGTGCTGCGGCAACAAAAACACAATATCTACCTGGTCAAATTTGGGAACATTCGAATAAAAAGCCGAGAAACTTACCGGGCCGATACAGCGAAACCCGTGCTCCAGTGCAACTTGCTTGGCCACTTCCAAGCCACCGTGCATATATACAGCCCATTGGTTTGCAAATTCTGTATTCGCATACGAGTAACATGAAAAGCCCCAAGCAACAACTACAGCCATTAAAATTGCCCTCCCGTTAGCCATATCGAGAGAGGAGCGAGCACGGCTGCACCAATTGACGAATTTCAGCTTTAATGTCTTATTCAACTGTGGTTGATTGGATCTGTGATGTAAGTCTTGACTTCAAACTTCTAGCAGACTCCTGTGTCCCGGTAAAATTTCCCAAGCGATTGTTCTGGTTGTAATTCAAAACCAACACATGTGATACAATGACTATTGAAAAGGCGCTTGGTGATACATCAGATTCTGTGCTTCTTCACGCTTCGTGAACACATAAATTTTAAAGCGTGCTTGCGTGTCAAGTAATTCGATTTATACGAGCTGTTCAATACGTCGGAAGTTAATGAAAAGCATCAATCAACACAGACCCTTGGCCGTCCGAATACTTACACACTTCCGCTTCGGCGTATACGTCTTTTGTTTTTCTCTGCTGTGTCATGTCATTCGAGCAACAAGCAAGAGAGCAAAGGCCCTCACAGGCCGGAATAAAAAATTCCTATCCAACATAAATTAAAGGACACGAAACACCCAAAAACAAAATTGTATTTGAAATAATTTGCCAGGTTGTTAAGCTAACTGTCGAGATGTGTTTCTAAAACAGGCGAGGGAAACAGGATCTTAGTTTCTGGTCAAATGTTGTTTTCGATATATAGAGCAACTGTACGACAAAATCCCGCTGCAATCAATTAAGAATCAAAATCTATAGCTTAATAACTTAACTTTCCCTTTCCTTACCAATTTGGTGTTGGATGCAAAAAAAATTTGTATGGTTTGTTAAATGAATACCTTTAGACTTCTAATATAAATGAATATTAATCAAAATTGAATTTTACAGTAGCTAAGCCACAGCTTATTCTCAATTTGTTTTTAACTTTTGACCAATTTTGAGGCTCGTGTTCTTTAAAAAAGAGTTTAAATCGATGTTCCATCAAAATTTCTGCAAGAATGCTTGTCTCCTCTAAATATTAACTATTCCACATATTTAATTCCAAATAAATATTCCAAAGGCCAAATGCCCTCTTTTTATTAGAGCGCCCTATTTAAGAACACTGGGGCTTGATTTGCCATAAAAAGAATAACGTAAGAATATGACCATCAACCAGCCACGTAGCTGCAGGGGGGGCACAACGGGGCTATGCCCCCAAGTGAAAATTTTGACAGCAACTTGCCCCCTCTGACTACAGTTTTCCCAAATGATATTTTGAAAAGTTGGCACAACTAAGGTTCAGTCAGATTTTTGCTTTGGCAAGAGAGGATACTTTATTTCTGAAAAGTAAGCAACCCTTTTCGGTGAATGTTCAAACTTGTCGGCTAATTAAAATTTGTCTCACTCACTTTGTTTACAAATGAGGGCTGAACACCAACCTAGAGCGAAAAAGCGAGCAATCGCACTGCTTACACCCTGGTAAGCTAAAAACAAATTAAGAACAATCCAGCCTCAGATTTTTGGAAAAATTAAAATAGTCAGCCTGAACTTAAATTTACAGGTTTTTATAAAAAGATTGTAGCACACCATTTTGTCAAAGTGCCTTTTAAAAAAAATCTATCTCGAGCTATATCTTTCGAAGAATTTTCAACTGAGTTGCTACGGAAAACTTGCAGTTTCCTTTTTTGATACTTTTTATTTGATTCATTGTCCTGTTTCTTGACTCATAATTGACTTGTAACCTTTTGTAAGCTCGATTTTGTCCAAATATATCTGTTATATATTTGTTTTCTTGTTCTAAAGCCTGCCCCCCTCAGATATGGTTTTTACTCAAGTTTGCCCGCTTTAGCCGACATCTACAGCTACGTGGTTGCATCAACCGATGAAAATTTAGACGAAATAGAGCAAAGTGTTCCTGAAAATTTTCTTTTGCGTTATTAAAACAAGCACGATTTTAGCAGCTAATCAACAGTGATACTAAAATTGTCATACAAATAAAGTATTTATGGTCTTAGAAACTGTATAATTGTAAAACAATCCATGTTGAATTAAGAACCATCATAAGAAACACCGATGCTCGAATGTTTGTATTCATTTTTGCATCGATCATAAAAAAGAGACATATCACAAAACCCTTTCAAGTAACTTTTCGTTGTTTTCGACAAAAAATACTAACTGGCCTCGAATTGAAGGATTCTACTTTGGCAACGTTTTGTATTAAGTTATCTAAGTGCTTCACCCGTTTGTCTCTAGAACACGGAACGGATGAACATAATTATTGTGTATTGCTGTCCTGGCAAACTATGAATCTTTTCTTTTGCTTATCGATACAGCCCCCATCTTTTCTTCAATGGAGATGATCCGCTAAAGAGATACCGTTTGCTGGGAGGGCCATTTTGAGATTTTGACCTACATTCAGCAACTTCTCTTTTAGAAAATTGGTTTTTCTCATATTTTCAAATTACTGGCAAGTCCCCCTCCCCTTGCCCTTTAAATCTCATCTTTCAATATTACATTATTCAAAAATATATTATATTCTGTAACCACGTATCCGGCTACTATATAATATCCTTTTCTGAACAAGTTCTAAAAAACGATATTAGCGTTTGTTTAATCGTAGTAGCACACAAAGTCGTTCACATTTGTACTTTCATATAACCTATGGATCTTCTTCCTACCCAGACTCTTATAGACTGTCTTTATCTAGAACTTAAATTAACATACTTGAGCTTTCGTCCTCTCTTTCAAATCCATCCCTCTCTTTCAAATCCATCCCTCTCTTTCAAACCTATCACTCCTTTCCTATGTTAGGGCTCGCTATAGGCTCCCAGACCTTTCTATAGCGTAAACTAAACAACAACATACTAGATCTTATCTTCTTCATATAAATCACACAAATAAATCTTTGCTATGTAGCAAGGGCCGTCACTGGCGATTGTGTTCGGGGGGGGGGGCTTTAGGTCCCCTTTAACGACAAAGTTGGTGAGAAATCTTTGATTTGTTGACAAGTTTGAAAATAAGTCGATTAAGCACTAAAAAGGGGAAAAAACTCCTCGTATTTGCAACAGATTTTTTCCAAAGGGGATATTTAAAACGGAATGTGTTACACCTCTCAGCCCCCTCTCCATATAAAGCAATGGCCTCGTACATAGACAATCTCCTTCAATTCACTTTTGTCATTTTCTTTCAAATCAGCAATTTTAGAAGTAAACTGCGTGCGGCAAATCCTCCAAATCCAGTTGCCTCTAAACTTTCTATGCGGTATACAACAGATATAGATGGTCTGAAAAGCTTTAAAAGGCTAGCAAAGCACACTTTAAATAGTGTTTAACACTGATTCAGTCGTCAACCAGAGGGTTTATCACTTCGCACCCAAATACATAAGAATGAGACTTCTTGGTCAAAATTAGTGTTTCCATGTTTCTATTTTTAGGTACAGCACCATATCATCTCCAGACTGTTGGAGGAACACCAAAACTGTCTCAATTTTACACACATATCATCTTTTTTGCTATCTCTTGTAACATTCGAGCTTAAAGGTTTCATCTAAAATGATTTCAACGAATAACTTTCTGTAGTATCCCTCGTTTGTCAACCAGTTTCAAAAGCTTGTAGTTTCAGGGACTGCGTTATTCGTGCCAGTCAGTAACACAGTTATTTACCATTTTGTGTTGGGTGGCAAATGATATTTGAACCACATTCAATAACATGCTCTTTTTTAGAAACAATTCGATATTGCAAAATCAACCTTCTCGAATTAAGACCTTGTTGCTGAAATAGGTGCTATGTTGATATTTCCACTGTCACAACAACTTACCAATAAATCCTGAGATCCTGTCAGCGGCACCACAATGCTCGGATCGGCATTGCCAATACAAAGCCAATAAGTTGCATCAGTTGTCCCTTGTACGTAAGGCCATATAATAGAATTTGTTGTGACGACATAGGATTCGACCCAGTCTTCCTGTGGTGAGTCTTGCAACAAGCGGCTATGGCTAGGCTTATTGCACGGCTAATCGTCGACGCTTGTATTTGACTAGGTGCAAGCTGAGAAATATTTTGGCATTTTTAAACTGTTATCGATGTAGGTGGCAATCCGAAAGGGTATTATCATAAGAGCTTTGGGAAGTGGAGATGAGCTGGATATATTCTTAGGAGTTTCACAACACGAAAGAGATTTAAACCTAGCAATGTCAGAGTAACAGGTGACCTGGCCTGTAGTAGCGTACGCATCGAGAATTGAATCTCCACGACATCTTGATTAAATACAACTTATAGCTTTTAGAATGAAATGAATGAAGCAATATTAACTGCCTCAACAACTGTTCTCTCTGCAAAAGGGGAATGTTGTGTCCCCGTTAAGGACCTTTCACATCAAGGCTTCAAGGGAGAGAACTAAAGATGTAATAAACTTATTTGGAAACGAATAACAATACTATCCTGTCCAGTTAGTTAGAATGCCACAATTAGAAGATGTGCCAAAAGGTAATGTTACTAACAGAGGAAGGGTGGTACAAGTTACTTAAAAGTGATTTAGCGCCTTACAAAATTAGTGAGAATACACATATGATGAAAATGCTCCTGTAAGATCAATAAATAAACAACTCAAGTAATTCTTGGTTGTAAAAACGACCAAAACTTTCGGACGTTAATATTTTCTGACAGAAGGTGCATCCTTCATTTCGCATTTGTTCTAAGTGGTAGCTACAAAGTATAACAGTATCGCATCTTGTCAACAAAATCCGCTTAGCGATGACAAAACATCCTCGTCATCCTCGACAATTATTTATATCGTCGTCATCATAGTTTCATAGAAGCCAACAGTAATATATTTGTTTTGTTCATTTTCTCCATCCGGCTCTGTTTCGCTCACTTTGCAATTTCCTTGAATTAATCTGTACGGTAGGCAATGTACTTCGTTTTTCATCTGATATAGTGAACTTTGCGGCAAGCGTAAAATGAGGGTGAAAGCTTCTGCAATAACGGGCATAATCCCTAGTTGAAAATGGAATTCCAAGAGGAGCCTTACAAACACTTTCAACGTTTAATCAAGTAATGACTTAGTAAGCTTAAGGTGCAATATACTCCCCAATTTTAGGTAGCTAATGCAGTATGTTTCAAAGTGCTTGCCTTTTTAAAACCAATTATAAATCAATTCACAGATTCTTACTTTACCCGTTTATAAACATGAAACATTTGGGGCTATCAGACACATCTTTCAGCCAGGCTATTGCAATGAGGCTGTTCACTCGACTCATCGCATTGCCTCGGATCTGGAATACACCTTAGGGCGACACCTAGAGGGTAGGGAAGTTTAATCACAGAATAGAAATGGTTTTAATAGCAATCTAGCATATTCAAGGCACCGGATACTAAACAAACTACCTCGCCGAAATTGGCGACTAAGTTTTGGCTAAAATCATACTGTACAAAAGAACTGAATTCACACAAATGAAAAAAAGAAATCAGACAATCGTACGGCAGTAAATAATTTACAGCAGGGAAATATAAAGACAGACCGCCTGATTTTATTCAGTTTTTATCGCATGCTGAAAGGGAGGGGAATGTCTAGAATGTACATAGCCTACGTTTTTGTGGTTAGAAGTTCTTTAAGTAAATTTTGGTAACAGATGCCGCTTGTTGAATCCATCTAATTATTGTTTACTGATACTCGAGCACGAGCCACAAAGGAAAATTGACTTTAGGGCCACGCTGTCGACTGCATCGTTCAGTCAGAACTGCTTCCTCTACAGCTTTAACTAAGCAGATTTTTCACTAAATTGGATACAAATTAAGCTTACCATTGTGTAGGTACAAGACAACGGCAGGAGAGAAAAAGTTGAGCTGCGTCATCCTTCGATTTTCTAATAATCACAAATTCTGTATTTACCGTTTCCTCTCATGTAAGCCTCCTTCTCTAATAACATCCCCTTTGAAGCAGAAAAATAATCTAGAACTTCGCTTCTCTATATAGCTTGTCAATTAAAAGTATTAATACAAGATACAAAAGATATGATATTGCATTCATGGCTGAGCTTAGTTTGTTGGTCTTTTTCTTATGCTCATTCTTTACCATATATCTCAATGCCTTTTTATCTACAATCACTTTGAAGATTCCTGGTACCAAACGTCCGTCTTTCAAGATCTTAGAACGCACATATTTAGAAAAAGCTCCCTCTCTATTAATCCCCCTCAAACGTATCACGAAAAATTAGCCCCCCCTCCCCCCACCCTACGGAGCTTATAAAGAATTTTCGGTTAACATAAAACTGATACGAATCCCAACAGAATCAGAGCAACGAAACTACGATCAGTGGTCCAACGCTTAGGCCAGCTTTATCACAAGAGTTCCACATTCATAAACTTCCTAACAGCAACTCCTAAACACTTTGACACAATCAACGCTGTAATGGCCTAAGTGGTCTAGGTTAAGGGGGCCAAGAAGAAGGCACAAAAACTGTTAAGCTATACAATAGATTACTAAGCACTTCACGCCTGACACAGCCTTAAAACAACAAGGGGTTTTGATTCTCTAGAATTACAAAAGATCCTTGCTTAAAACTGCTAATGAAGAAACGATTCTCTTGCTGAAAGAATGCTGTTCCTGTTTTCTGCCCTTATTAGTTAATCGAAACCGATTATATTCCGGTTTCGCATTCATTACCAGGAAATAAGAAGATCCGCTAAGAAAAAACAGTCATACAGAGAAGTAAAGGCACCATTGCACCACTGCACGATTTCAGCAGTTAGTGTAGAGGCAAAAGTGAGAGCCACTGGTGAATTCAAGTACAAGAGAAGAAAAGCTAGCTGTTGGTTGCTGCAAAAAGATCAACAAAGAGCAAGAGGAACATTAAGAAAGTGTAGGTATTACCAGTTAGTTTGATTCAATGCCAAACTGTTAAAATAACTTAACAAGTCAATTCATAAATCTTTAAATAATTCATTTTAAATTTTACAGAATTAAATAATAAAGTTTTAATTTACTACATAATAATTTAAGATAATAAATAATTGAATAAATATTTAGTAGATATACAAAATCAAACCTGAATCAGACAACGTCTTTGGGAGTAAATGTCTGATTAATTTTAAAAAGGAAATCACATCATGACTGAAGTTTGGCGATACTTTTAGACAAACTATTGAATGAACTTTGAATGAGGCCAGCATGTGAGTATATGGACGTTCTCTAAACAGGTTTGATCATATAAGTTATTGTGTTATTTACAGATAATAAACTTTAGAAGCCCTTTATAATCTTTCCTGTTATTGAAATTAAAGCTTACAATTCATAAACTTTTTACATTGAATGTAATTTTTAACTTGATACTGCTTGTGACAAATGTGACGAAATTGAAAATCAAAATGGCGGTAACCTCTGAGAGGTCCAAAAAAAGAAATCTGAAATTTACGTCATAACCGTTTCGGAGTCTTCTTTCGCCGTCTGTGTTTTCTCCAGCGCATGCTGCATTCCCCAGATGCTCAACGGCCGCATGTATCCTAAAGAACGGAAATTTCCATTTGCCAAAAAAGCTTCCGGAGTCTGGAATCCGAGACCAAGTTTCTCAAAACATGTGCGGTAAATACCTTCCGCGGTACGAAAGCCCTCTTGAACCATTCCCTAAAAACAAGAATATTTGATAGTAAACTCCGCTAAGAACGTGGCTATTTTAAGGCTACGCTGCCGGAAAGCATAACATTGACAAAATCCATAAAGAAATGAATACTTAAGTAGGCAAAATTAAACGAAATTAAAAGCACCAGACATTTGTCCCTAATAGAAAATATCACTTTAAGTTTTCATTCTTTACTTGGAAGCTATAAACTTATATTACCCCTAGAGTTATCTCAAAAAGTTTATCACTTTTTGAATTCAATATAAATGACATCTTTCCACGTCGTATTGGATTATTTTGAATTAAAGAAATTCAAAGTGCGGATCATTTCTAAATTCTTTAAGAATTCTACATAACAAATGTTCTTAAACTAAGTTAAGGAAAGGGATTTTATAAACAATCTGGTTGACAGAAAAATGTTTGTTACAAAGAATCTTCGGAAGGGATATATGATAAAAGGCCATTTTGGGTGGAATGAGACAATTAGACTTGCAGAGAGATTTTAGTGAAGGATTTTAGCTGCAAAATCTTATTAAAATCTTAGTTACACAATACTATATTCAAATTAATTTTGGAGTGGCAAACACCCAAATACTGCATTATACTTGAAGTTCTCAACTTGGTGTACTTGACGAATGTTGTAATTGTTTCTAGATATTTTAACACATACAACAGAAGTATTGTCCCACTATGTCGCGCAAGCATAACAAGCCTATTTCAAGAAAAATTCGATCTTTTCTAGCCATCTATTACCAACTAACAACCGCAGACGATATTCAGATATGAAAGTATGGCTTATGGTAAAATCACATTTTGCTTCTTGATACACGCCATTTGTAGTAGAATACGGTTATAGTCACGAAATGTTGTTTGAAAATTTGTCAATGTAAACGGAGTATAGTTTCGCATATTTAGGCCTAAATGTTGTGTGACTGCCACCAGTAGAGTAACTTTAACCGGAGGGAACAAGCGAGGTCGACATATAACATTCAAAATCTATAGACCAAAGACGAACATTTAATAAACTGCAAAACTCGCAAAACCTTAATAGTTTCGAAACGCCCCTTATTCTTTGCCTACAAAAGATTACTTAAGTTGGAATCACTTTAATATAGCCATATATAATCACCAAAATAAAGGAAGAACTTAACATCAAAGGAACAGCTATTAAAAAACCAAACATGTTTGTTATTTCAAAGCCATTTTCAAGTTTTGTACCACCAAAAGATTGTTTGAAAAGTTATTAGAGAATTTAACAATTTATTTCCCAAAAAATAAAAACATTGCAGAAAAAACGTATACAGCATCGATCGAAGATGAGGCTGCTGGCCGATGACGACAGGGAAGCACATGACACAGGCTTAAAAACGCTTTCCTACAGCCCACAGTAAAGTCAGGAACACAGTTAAACCACCCAGACTTTTATACGTTCGATATAGCAAAATGAATATCGAATCGGACCTGTCAATTAAATTCATATCTAAATATGATTTCACAGAGTATTGCCTATTTACCTCTTGAATCATTGATGCAGCCACTGCATACGTCACTCCTGTCCAGACCTCTTCAGCTTGTAAGCTACTTGTGTCAACCTTTTGGGAAATAAATTGAACAGTCATGACCTTATGAATATGTTCTCTATGAACTAAGGAGCACACAATGAACACTGGGCAAAGAAATTAGGCTAACAGAGGTCGTTTATTCTACCTCAAGATTAGCAAAAAGTTTGAGGTTTGGTTGTTTTTAAGGTTGCTTTATTTCATCATTGATTTCACTAGAGCTGCATATAGCAAACTGCTTCTAAGATTAGTTTGTAAATAACATTTTTGCATCCCTTTTTTGTAGATAAGTTTCAAAGCTGATAGAGTCTGATATTTCTCGCTCAAATGAAAGAAATTTTTTAATAACAGATTTTTTTCATCCCAACTTTTTATCTGAAGTTGGGAATGCTCTTACGTTGTTCTTATCATTTGGACAAATCGTGCTATCATAAGGAAGTGTGCTATTATAAAAAAAAGAGTGTGAGATTGGTCTAGACCAAGTACAAAGCATTTTAGTACAACAAATTTTTATCTATTGCTATACATTTATAGACAAAAAAAATTCATCAAAGTTAATTGCCAAAAGGCTTGAAACAAACAATTAATTTCTGCTCGACCAAAATTCATATGCCTTAAAACAGTGTCAGAGCTTTCGAATAACGTATAAAATTCAAGCACATTATGAACATTTGTTTAGGTTAAAGATATAAGAATGGGAGTGGTTGATTCAGGTGAAGGGAACTAAAAAAACGTGGGCAAATCTTCATGGTACAAAAGCAGAGATGGTGGAAAATAACTAACATTAGTGTTGAATAATTAGCTTAATTTTTCTAGGTTTTTTCAATCATTTTAGGATTATCGGTAAAGAAATATCTAACTTGGGATCAAAGTATTGAACAAAAAAATTAAAAATTAAGCAGAAGTATCACAAATTGATATCGACGCATGCTTCAAAACATTTGATATATCTGTTTAGTTCCTGTCCTTCGGTCAAGAATGAATAGGCCTAGCTGGATATGATTATGTTTGGATTATCAAAATGCCGCAAAGACGTCAAGGGGCCCAGGCAATATATCATTTGCTCGATTTTGAAATAAACTGACAGATGAATTAAACAAAGTGACGATAACGCTATCTGATTCTTTCTGGACTCGTTCTTCATGTCAGAAAAGCAATGAGGTTATACCTCATGACAGAAAAGCACGTTTGGGCTTAAACTACACAGACTACAGAGCTTTTCTCTTGTACCAGAAAGCATGGAGTGGAAAATGAAGGGCAACAGCCCAAAGGATCCGAGCCTTGAAGGAGGCCCGCAGGAATAAAGTCGAAATTATAAAAAGCTGCTGTTAGCTGGCGAAAGAATCCAACGTTTTTATTTGGAGCAGCATCTAGCCATACTCTGCCCCATGGTCCGACTGCAAAACCACCCCTGTCCGACGTTCTAAGCCATCCCCATCCGGCATTTTAAAGATTTAAATGGCTAAAATATTTGTTTTATATGAAACAAAGTAAAAGTGGTTTTGAAAGCCTACTGTGGTTGCATGCTGGCCTAAGTTTGCCCATCCTGACAGAATTTTCCTTTGCTTACTCTGTACTTAATGATGGTAAAAGGACGGTGGGACAACGTGGTGATGTTGATGATAATGTAACATACAATTAATGTTCTAAATTTCCTTAAAATGAATTTTCTGTCCATATCTTAAAGCAACTTTCCGTCATTCGTTTCGAAAGCATGCAGAGGAGAACGATAGCAGGAAGAAGCGATTAGAAGCAGAAATGCAGTTAGCCTGGGCTATCAATTTAAGCCAATCAAAAAGATTAGCAGTTCACGTGATCGAAAAATGATTTGGATTTGGACGATATGCTGCCGCATGACCCAAACAAACCAAATCATTTAAGCAAGGAAAAAGCTTAAAAACTGAAAGTAACATCCTTGCATTTTATTGAATACATATGAAAACAACTTAATCTAAAGATAATTGCTGAATGGGTTGAAATGCTATCAATGAAATCCATCAAAAACAAGATAGGAAATACTTATTGTGAGTTGAAAACATACCCGTCCGTCAGGCCTCATTCCGTTGACAGCGCCCATAAAGCCACCTTGATATCTCATTACGTTCATTTGGAACACTGTCTTCATGGCGCTCTCGATGTGATCCTTCGGAAATACCTTGCGCGTGAAAGATAAAATTAAGTTTAAACATTTGCGGTAAGTTTAATACAGGAATCTGACAAAGGTGACACCGAAGCTGCATTAAAACAAATTTTCTGACATCTGCATCATTTCCAATGGCAGATGAGACGGTGTTTTCAACTGTCCCAAATTGACTTTTTACTTTGACATACAGAAAAATAAAAAACAATCCAATGTAGACAACCGAGAACAAACTTCAGTTTTGAAAGGTGCTTGAATTTTATCTTATTCCTGCATTTGATTTTTTCAATTAACTTTTTGATATAAAATTCAATGAAATGTTCCTAAACTTTTGCAATCTTACTCCTTCCTATTGTTAAAAGTGGATGAAAATAAGTGTCGGAGCTTGTAGTGGAGTAGAAAATTGAGGAAATGGGAAAATGAGCTGAGAAAAGATGAAAAACCACGTGTATACTTTCCCAAGGCAGAGAGAGCCATGTAAAATATTCGGTGCCTAATTAGAGAAGGTGGGGTTAAATTCAATATTTTTAGAAAATTCAAACCCAAAATCACTTTATTACGACACCCCCATTCAATGAACCGGTTGCTGTACTCTCTCCCATCTTGTTTATTTAGATCCCCTCTAAATGATTCATAAGGAGAGCACAAAGACCACTCTAACTAGTGCAATGTTGTTTTATCACATGATTAGCATAATTCATAATATGGTATGATTTATGCGTAGAATGTTGTCCAGTTAGGATGTTCAAGTTGAGTAGCAACCCTTTCAATGACTCTTAATGAAAGCATAAAGCTCACTCTAATCACATAATTAGCATAAATTATAATATGGTATGATCAAGATAAAATAAGGAACAAAGCCCAAAGCCCTATCTAACAAGTGCAATGTCGATACTGTTATACTACATAATTAGCATAAATTATAATGTTGAATGTTTTGCGTAGAATCTTGTCCAGTTAGGTTTATCTATAACCACGACGAGTAAACAATAAATACTGATTCATGTTTGTTTTAGTTTTTGATTGCTGTTCCCCCTGGAGCTGAACATAATAAACAGGCAATTGATGTTAGGTTGAGATTCAGATCAATTACAAAGTTCAGGCTGCTGCCTTAATTACCCGATCCTCCGCAGATTGACCGAGGTCACAAGCATGGATGTACCACTGACCAGCGCACTGGTGGGCCATGATACTGTTATGATACTCTTTGTCACTGCTGTCGTAATTATAGTAGGTACCTGCCAGGGAGACACGAGAAAAAATATCAACCGACTGAGCTACATTTTTCTACCGCCAAACGAAAAAACTTATATGATGGTTAATCTTTAAAATCAAGGCCCCCAGAGGTACCTCCATGAATACAAGTCAGGTAGACAAATGTTACCTCTCCAAGATGTATCTTCGTCGACCACGCCCTGAAAATCTAATCACCCTTGAGGAACCACAGCCGGGCTCAGCACCGCCACCCCCCCCCCCTCTCTATGTCTTGTGAGTGTTCTCTCGCAATGTATTAAGTACATGGTAATGATAAGCACTGCTCTTGACTCTAGAAGTTATAAGACTATAGTTGCAAGACTCAAAAGGGCGAAATACTTTCAAAATGCAAAGTTTACGACGCATAGGACATAAAGGTAATGCGGAAGGATGCTAGACAGAGGCATAAATGATCGGATATTGAATCTTTAACCTTTGTTCAACCGTATATGACCATTCTTGATTCATGCAACCACAATGGCAGCAGTTTCTTTACAAAGATAGGTTTTGCAGCGAGACACGGTTTCAAACGTCTTTTAACAGTCATGCCAGGGCCCATATTTCTTGACCAAATTATCTATTTATTACCAACCTCTAGCTATTATTGTGGGTAACTAGAGCCTTAAAATATCGATGGATCTCCGAGTGTGAACCAAAAGCATTTCAATCTCGAGCAAACCATCGTTCAGCAATCATGTAATTGCGCTGAAGCAAGAATTAGCTTTCAAAAGCCTAGACCTCGCCAAGGATGTCACGGCGATTGAAATCTGAATTGGACAGCAAAGTTTGACATCATTTTCACTAAGGGGCATATAACTCCTGGAAAAAATCGTACAACTTTGGCAAAAATCCTTTTGCTTTTAGAGAAAGCCGTAAAGATCCTATTGTTCTAAAAAATCTAGTATGCTGTTTAAAACGATTGATTTACACCGATTTAAACATCTAGCATTCTAGTAAAATGACCCAATTTCACCTAACCCCATAATTTCAAAGAAAAGGGGTCACAGCCCTGCTGGTCCCCCGTCTAAGACGCCAACAGACTTCCCAACCATTGTTTCTGACAAAACTATCATATGATTGCACAAAAATACAAGACGCAGTACTAAAATATAATTATAAAACCAAGAAAACTAACCATTCCACAGTTTCCTTTCATATGCTTCCTTGCCTCTACTTAGCATTGTTTTGTATCGATCGATATTGTCGTCCAATTTCAAAATAGTTGCAATCTCGACCATACATCGCAATGCTCCCAGCCACAAACCACCACAATATGCACTAAAATACACGAGATTTAAAACAAAAAACTTATAGTGTCTCTCCGTCTTTTAAAGATCTGACACCAAGCTGTGAGTTAGAGGAATCGCCTATTTTCTTCGTTGCCTAAACTCTTCGAAAAATTAAGAATCTACACTATATCCACTTTCATTTAATCATTTGCACTTTCTATACTCCCACCTCAAAAACCCCGAGAAATTTGTCCAAGCATTCCCCAAATTTGGTATATTTTCTAGGGTGCTTCTACTTCAAGCTTCCAGACTACTCTATTCATGGTGTATTTTGAGAACTTCTTGCATGGTGTAGAACCCTCACCACGGCCAAGAATTAAAAAAGTTTGTCTTAGAGCATGTCTTTAAGAAAGTTTAAGGAATTACGGCAGAAAGTAAAAGACTATGATTCTATGAGACAAAAATACTATTGAGGAAAATATATTGCCTTCATTAGGTTCTTAGGTCTTAGAACTAAAGGAAAATTGGCTCTTAGGTCATTATTAATCTCAACAATTCAAAAAACGACAGAAAATCGCTACAGTGATCACATACAAAGACCACAGGATTTTTTAAGAATTTATCTCAGTTACACATGAATAAATAAATAAAGTGATGTATGAATAAATTAAAAAAGGGTGGGCGATTCCATTCATATACGCATAATTTCAATAACGTTTTTAAAGCAGGAAGTGACGCAATGGTCATGGCAAGAGAATGGGTATAACTACGAATAAACCATGAAGTATTACCTTGCACCCGTCACAACCCAACAGTCAAAGGTTTGGTCTGCGAAGCCGGAATTATCTATCAGTCCATCGCAATCAGAATCTTGTCCTGTGGCTGTTGACATGCAAGCCTAAGATAAAAGACGACGTTTGAAGTACAGAGCAGTTTATATGTAAAGGCAATTTAAAGCACCTCTTTAAGGTAGATTTAACGAGAAGCACAAATCAAACGAGCAGTTGGGTATGGTGCAATTCGATGACGTAATTAAAGGTTTTAACCAATGACTGAGAAAGCGAAATATTGCCCCAAAGGCAACGAATATGTCACTTTATTTCAATTCTTTTCTAATCAACAAAGCCAAAGAGTTTCAAAGGAAGTAGATACTTCATTGGGAAAAATAAGAAAAAGAATTCTGGAAAGTGAAACGAAAAAAGAAGTGGGTGGAGATTGAGAAACGTCGGAAAGGAAGATTCGATGGAATGAATAGGAAAATAGATCCTGTTGTAATTACTATAGCTTAAGATAAAATCCCTCAGTATGAACTGCTTTCATCCATTCGTGTGGAAACTTAAATCAAATTCATATACGATCTACTGCTTTCGGTGGGCAATATTTTCTGCGCATTATATCATATCAGTGGGTGGAAAAAAATTTAGGATAAAGAAGTGATGGTTTTAATGATAAGTGATGTTGAGTGGTCTAGCAACATAAGGAAATACCTTCATAGCGGGCCACATGTCCATAAGGAATTGGAGATTCTTTGTGATTTTGTAGTCCCTGTACACCTGTTTCGAAAAAGAGGCTGTGAATCATGCATCGAAAAACAACTGAATCAATAGAAATGATTAAACAGTAAAATTGATATGAACGGATATTGACATGCCCTAACTATGAATAACAAAAGGGAGCACAGATAGGGAACTACAGGATGTTGCAGAGCCCGTTCAAATAGGCATTATACCTGCGATAGCAATATAAAGCAAGCAAAGGTGTCAACAGTGAAAGGAGTGTTCAGAGGAGAGTATGAGCAAGCCTTCATTCACAAATATTGATCGTCGCATGGATAAAGACGAATTTAATCATAAATATGGGATCATATTTCATCTCAAGAAGAAAATAGATAAACACAAATTCACAAATAGCATAAAAATCAAGAACGCTATTTGGCGTATCGAAGAGCTCTTAGTTGCTATTCCGAGTTTCACGCTTGATGCGATCATCAGGCGACCTTATAGTAGCAACTTAAAACATATATACCATTAAGTGCACCATGAAGCGGGTACAGCTCTGCCTTGACGGCATCGAGCACTTCATGACAGGCCGGTAAACAGTAATTTTTTATTAAAACGGTATTTGAAAAGACTTCATTGCTCCTGATTTTCTTTCAACAGCTTGAATTCTGATGCCCGTTTTTTGAAGGATGAAGGACTCAATCTAAATCATCCTCTCGAATATCAATTAATAGCAAAAGGGTTTTTTCTTGTCGACATAGGAGAATTTTACCTAGTGACAAGAAATTGCAATTTTACATAGAAAATGATTTTTAACTAATAATTAAAATAACTGCCTTGATACCTGTAAAACAAATTTTAGATTCAAGTCTTTCCAGGTTGATGTATCGTGAATGGTGTATGCATTGACCTTAAGAAACGGTTCTTCCTCTAAGGAACAAGGAAATGCATTGCTGTAAAGACCAATTGGAAGTCATAACTTTGTTACAAGCTGAGGTTTAGACATTACTTGACAACGATTCAATTAAACAAATTGAGAATTCAATTAAGCACTTAGGAGCAACCAGATTTCATTTTTGTGCTCTTAATCTTTTAACATTTTAACCTCTTACTTCAATTTTGACATTTTCCACTGAACTTTTATTTATAAGAACAAGATAATTTTTGCCGAGGCTCATATGTTTTAAATTTCTGGATAATTTCAATAAAGATTTTCTACAACTGAAGTAATAATTTTGCATCGCAATTTTAGTAGCACCGTTCATTAGCTAACAAATTCCGCTCTCTATGTTGACAAGGGAGTGAATTAAAAAAACACATTGCTCTCCATCTAATTTTTCATCAGCGGCTGGACATGCTATCCAGTTATTCATATTTATCGAGCCTCAGTTCTGTTATGAAATGTGTTCGTATAAAAAGAGTGTAAACACGATTGAAAACCATGAAACTATGAAAATAGTTAGGCAACTAACTGCTCAGTAAATGTAAGGGCTGGAATCTCAAATTTCAAGCAGCTTAAAGGGCTGAGTCCTAAGCTAAGTCGCTAATTGAAAACAAACTTAGTCTGATTAAGTACATGAAGATATCAAGACAAAGTCATCTTGCAGCCTGTTTGCTGTAAAGATCAAACAAATTTTGTTTATATAAAACAGTTTTATTTATAATAAAGCATACGCTGTGACATAATATATCATACCAGGATCTCCAATGTCATGGGGTATACAGCTGGGCACCTTTCTTTGAGCCATATGCCCCTCCATCATCATTAATCGTTCTTCCGTGTCACACTGCAGGACCGAGGCAGCTAAAAAGAAAGAGATTGCTACTTAGACCGAGGCAGCTAAAAAGAAAGAGGCTGCTACTTAGACCGAGGCAGCTAAAAAGAAAGAGGCTGCTACTTAGACAGAGGCGGCTAAAAAGAAAGCAATGAGGTAAAAATAAACACTAGAGTGCGAACTCCCATTGGTTTCCGTTGACGCGAGTGAGGCCGTCATGCGCACGGCTACCATTTTGAATGCATGGCAAAAGACAACAAATAAGTGTGGAGGACGACTGTTTGTGCTACTGGAAAAACAGAAGGAAAAGGCTTTTTTTATTTCATTTTCGACAAAATTGTGCAAATTTAAACAAAGCAGTGCCGAGGAAGACCTTTTGCAATGATTTCTATGGGAGGTAAGTTGTTTTAACTACACGTCCAATGCACTGAATGTGCATAGGCTTCAGTGCATTGCCTACCTTAATAAACCAAACTAGCTTCGAAGCGAATTACTTTATAAAATATTTCACTTAAAATGAAGGATTTAATATTTGGCGAAAAACTTCTAAACGAAACATTTGAAGCAAACAGCAAAAGCTATGGTTTTTTAAGTTTATGTGTTTTTAAACAAAACTAATTTGTTCATCCGGTGTCGTAAACTTGGTGTGTTTTTCATTACTATCTGCCTTGTGTAATGCTTGGCGTAAGTTTGCATACGCAGAAGGAAGTATTTCTCGCAAATTTTCTTCACAACTTGTGTGAGATGATCATCCTCAAAGACTGGGTCGATTTCGTGTGCATGTTTGGAAAACGATGGAAATAATTTGCTTAGGTTTTCGCCTTGACTTCGTAGCACGCCGTTCGTCATTCTCCGTATCAATCCAACTTGTGAATTGATTTTCATGTCTCCCTTCCTTGTACCTTTAACTCTCTCCCGGAATGATTTCTCGCATAATGTGATTAATTTGTGCACCCCAAATGATACTTTTATAAGCCCTCCATTGTTCTTTCTATCCAGAAACAGGGAAAATGGTGCTGTCACATAGTCATGTTCCTCTGACATGCAATTGAGAATGAGGGCTTCAGAACATTGAGAGCAATCAAGCTTTTTGATGATACGACGAACAATGAATCCTGCAATGTAGTATATGATGTTTTCAGAGAAGTTTGACAAGGAAATCCTATCAAGACTCTCAGACAAAGCATTTGCGTCCTCATCAGTCATTTCATCATCATTGCTTGGATATTCGCATATGGGAGATCTATGCTTTGTCCACTTTAGACTGAATAAAGAACCTGTGCAATTCTCATCAAATGACATGACATTAGCCTGGCTCGATGCAACAATTGAATTCTTAAGCAGCAAATTCCTTATGGCATACTTAAACTGTAAGGTGTTTGGATTGTTATTATTACCACCTCGTCCTCGGATACAAGCAAACAGCAACTCTATGTGGTCTTGGGAAAACTTGTAAGTTAATACATAGTTAAATGGCCTTTCTGGTGCAGTTAAGAGTTCCTTTGCAATTGACATAATAGATTTCATTGTCATTAGAAAACCAAGTATGAAAGTTTTGCGTCTACTGAACACAAGCAATTGCCTTTCACTGGATTTCAAGGACAGAAGATACTCTGCTGATTTGGCAAAAGTTTGCTCGATATATTCAAGGTTTTGCAACCTTATTGGGCGTTTAAAGCCTTTGGCAAATGCAAACCGTGAATTGAGGATGTCAAAAATTTTATCAATTGTTCTTATGAAGACAATAGTTGCACTAGCATTTTCGAATTCAGCATGTTTTAAGTCTGTCTTTAAGAATTCTAATGCATTAGCAACTGATGAGCTCAGTGTCTGAGCTGCATATTTTACTTTCATTTTATGCTGCTGCCAATGCACATGGTTTACATTAATTTTGTTTGCCAAAGTTAAACCTTCCTCTTCTTGCATCTTGCATAATTTTTCAATATATTCCCAAGAAATAATATCCCCAGAATTTGTAGAAAATTTCCCATATTCGCCCAATGTATTTCTCGCTAGCTTAACCATGTGGCATGCATCTAAAACTCCATAAACATCATATGGCCTAGTCGGGTGTTGGAAAGAGGCTATCATGCCATCATAATTTGGTGTGAATGAGCAACCAAGTAACCTAAGTGTTTCAAGGTTAGCAGATGTGCCATCACAAGTTAGTGACCAAACCCTAAAGCCATAATCAGCAACCAAGGACAATGCACTCTTAACTAGTGATGCCTGTATTTGCCCGTTTAACTTATTTGTAAAGAAATATCCTATTGGACATTTCCAGTGACTTCTCAGACCAACAAGAAGAAATGCTAGTGCTTCAGAAGCTTGGTCTTCACTGTTTTCCGGGATGCAACCTCCATAATCAACAAAGCCTGAAAATTTCTGATTTCCCTTGTCATAAATCACTTGCTTCCTTATGGCCATTGCATCTATCATTAAGGCACAGTCAGACATGTTTGTGTTGTTGGCAAGCTGAGCAGCAAGATTTTCTAGAACATCTTTGAAAAATCCAGGCTCACAGTTCACAGAAGACTGCCAATTTCTTAAAGAAGATGGATGTGGTAGGTCAAAGACTTTCCTCATGAATAGATATGCCTTAGGCGAATAGAAATGAAGGGTTAAGGCAAACTTCTTAATCTCCTCGTGGTATCTCTTACCCCCAGCTTTTCGCTTTGAATTCTTTATTTGATTTTCAAACATTGTCAAAGTGAGGCCAGAGAATTGGTCTTTCAGAAGTTTGGCTGGCTCTTCTCTGAGGAGATTTTTGTCTGTCATAGCTTGAATTAAATCATTCAATGACTTTATTTTCTTGTTTTTTCTTCTTAGATTTTGTTGTAGAGTTTTAATCTTCCTTCTAAGTCTTAATTTTGTTGGTGATTGTTTTGTTTCAGCTTTTTTACAATAAGAATGTTCCTTGATATTAAATGTGGCATTTTTTGTGTTTTTTGCTGGGCTTGCTTTCTTCTTTACTGGTTTTGCATAGATAATGGAGCGGCGGGCCTTTTTTACTTTTGGTAGTAAATGAGGGGGGAAGTTAAATTTTGATGGAACAGCTGACTTTTTTAATTTTGTGTAAGGCTGACCAGGGGGGACAGTGTAGTCAGTGAGCAAAAAGTGTTCGCTGCAAATGTAGCTGTACTTTGATGGGGCCCACTTATCACGCCTCATAGCTTTAACCCATTGCAAACGGAGTGCTTCATTGGCTGGAAACCTGCAGTATAATGCAATGCATATTAATTTCAACTATTTTTTGTGTTGAAATTTTGAAACATAAAATTACAAAATTTAAAGGATTTTAGATGTTTCGAAGTTTGCTTTATTAGGATTTATTTACTAAACGCTTTTCAAAATCCTCTAGCAAAAGCCATGTACAAACCAATTAATACATACATAAAACTTAACTTGCATTAAAGAAAAGTTGTATTTTCTCCGCCGACAAAAGAATATCAAAACCATTTTAAAGTTCACCATATAGAAATAGGGACGATAAAAAAATTCCCAGCCGCGAGGCTCTTCGCATAGTATGACATTTCACATTTTTAGGCCAAAACATGCATGGCATACCGTACCTATGAAACGCGATAGGTTTTCCGTTTCCCAAAGGATCCATTGAAGGATCACTGCTCAAAACATTTTTGCCGTATCTATTTTGGCATCCGTACGCCGTACACGAAATTACCATTGCGGTTTAGAAACATCAATATTGCCGAAAAGCTGGCGACGCGTAATGACTACCGTACTGCATGGAACTTTTTTGCCATGCATTCAAAATGGTAGCCGTGCGCATGCTGGCCTCGGGCCTCGATTAGGAGTTCGCACTCTAGTGTTTATTTTTACCTCATTGAAAGAAAGAGACTGCTACTTAGATCGAGGCAGCTAAAAAGAAAGAGGCTGCTACTTAGACCGAGGCAGCTAAAAAGAAAGAGGCTGCTACTTAGACCGAGGCAGCATTGGGACAGCAAGGAAAGACATAAATCTTTTAACAAGCAAACTTAGCAGCTACCTACATGCAACTCTTATGGATTTTATAAACATATTAGAAATACCAGCATGACACAAGGGAAGAAGAAAGAAGAGGAAGGGGATCTCTACAATGGCTTTTTTTGATAATCACTTTCATTTTCTCGCATAACGCAAATATGTTACAGCAAACAGATTCATTGATAAGCAGGTATCACATCTTGTCGAATCTTATAGTACTTATATGACAAAAATTGAGGCAGCAAAAGGTGATAAAAAGCAATACAAATCTTCTCAAGTACGTTTAGAGTTTTGTATCTTTACTTTAACCTCAACCGTCACCTTGGGTCAATATTAGAAGGAACAAGGCGCTTTTTAATGAGGTAAAGATGAAGTTATGTAAAACTCTTAGCAATAAAAGGGATAAATAAAACAGGAGTGCAATATGCCATTCCATAGACAGGACCACCGAGGAAAATGTGTATTTTTAAAGAATTTAAAAACCACATTCGTTTAATCTGGCATAATGCAAAAACTATGCCCATTAATCCGGAAAAGGTGAAAAAATTCCTTTAAAGAGGATACTAATTAATTTGTCACGCAGTTGATGATGATTTTTTCGTCGGTGCGATTGACAGAAGCTAAATTAATGCCACAAATTTATGTTCCTGTGAAGATCATGGTCTTCTCTTCCTCGCCTGATTAGGCCTGATTCGGAAGTTGTTTCTAACAGTGACTAATGCAGTGCTCAAATTTGGACCTTTTTGGCTCGTTATGACAAAGAGAAAGCGGATTTCAAGGATTGAAATTGTTGCAAAAAGATCCTGGTTCGAACGTTCTTTGCTGCTTCATAGAAGTTGGAAAGGAAGAGAAGGATGCCTTAAACAATTAAAGGCTTACTATCTACCGTGAGCTACAGATAATGAAAATTACTTTTTACCAGCCGTTCTTAAAGTGCTTGACAAAGCTGCCAGATGATCGCATTGAAAATGAAAATCAGGGCAGCAGCTTAAAACTGTCCTGATCTATACACCAAAAGCGTATATGTTTACTGACTTAAAGATAGTTCAGGAATGCTAAGATTCTTCGAGTCATTAGCTATCAACAATAGCAAATCAAGGGCGTAATTAAGACCCCGTTTACACTGTCCCGGGACAATTTTGTACCGTTACGGTTCGCAAGTGTTTACACTGTCGCGGTTCCAAATTGTTCCGTTTAGCCGTTCCGTTTACACTGTACCGGTACGACCTTAATTTAATGGTAGAACATTGTTTAGAAGAAGCTGTATTTAGTCAACCAAGGCTTTTATTTTGCCGCTGAAGTCAACAATCGAATTTTTATTGTGAGTTAAAATGGAGCGGAAGGCCGATTAAAACTTTACTTGGACGAAAGACAAGGTGGCTTTAATTTTCAGTGTTATTTCAGACTACAAAACTGCAAAGTCCAATCAAGGCTTGGACTGGGAAACACTACAAGCCTTTTCTGTGGTCGTCTTTTCTTCAGAATTTCCTTTTCTTCAGAATTTGAGAACGTAGTTACGCCACAATCAAAGCCTCGATTACCTGAAACTGCCATACAAAAGACCTCTTTGTGAATCCGTGACAAAATCGTCTCGGATAGGTGTTTACATTGTCCCGTTCAAAAACGGAACCGTGACGGTACAAAATTCGTTCGCTTTCAAAGCAGGGTCAAAACTGTTCCGGATAGCAGAGCAAAATCGTCACGGTTCCACAGTGCTAGTGTAAACGCAAGGGCGAACCGCGACAGTTTTGTCACGGTTCCAAACTTGCACGGGACAGTGTAAACGGGGTCTAAGAAACTTCCAACCAGATCAATGCTAAGTCCTTGGCACGTTCATATATAAAAGGCACCAACAGAAAAACGACAACTGTTCAGTAGAGAGGAGAAGTATGAGGGCTAAGCCGTTTCTGCGGTCAGGGAAAAACCATTCAGATCGTTGGAATATTTGTAGCAAAAGCGTCCTCCCAGCTAAGACGGGGGAAGGGATGATAACTAAGCTAATCTATGTTCCACTTAAAGGGGAACTGAAGTGAAAATGAAAACCAGCTAACAAGTAGTTTTCATCGTGCTGATTTCGAATATCGACACGAAATTTGTGTTTTTCTCTCCGTTTTTCCACATTAACCACGCGAAGTGTGAAATTTTTTATCTCCGTGACGGAGAGGTCTGGAGACAAGTTTCAGGCGCTGACGTAAAGTCGTGGACACGTGCCCCGATCCCAACGAAAACAACATTTAGTAGAGTGAATCGGAAGGAAGGAATTCGGTTAGTAGTTAGAATTTCAGTTCGCAATTTTCCCGACAGCTCTTCAGGAATGGCAACATACTTAAGATCGAGCGACGAGGAAGAATTTGCTACAACGCAACATATTTCATAGAGCACAGTTCTGAGATAAAATATCTGACATATCTTTTGATAAGATAAGGTCATTTAATAACCTTGGAAACATATACATCATTTAATGGTTGTGCTTTAAGTCCTCCTCTTTTATGTACATCCTAATAGGAATTGTTTTTATGTCTGGAGTTATATCAGAAAATGCTTTGATATCATGTTCTATAGACAAAGCACGATAAATCATGTTTAAAGAGGTATTTCTGAGGTGGGGGACTACTTTTGTCTTTTTCAGCAAATCAAATTGTGTAGGTTCGCCAAGTTTCTTGGCCTAATAGGAAACTTTATGAAAGTTACCATGATATCACGTTCCATAGAATGTGCAAGAATACTCCAGTCTAAAAAAAGGCAAAGGGGTATTTCGGAGGTGGGGGACCACTTTTATCATTTTTAACAAGTCAAATTGTATTGGTTTGCCAAGTTTCATGGGTTTACAGCTAACAGAAATGGATTAACCATAGTTACGTCCTCTGAGTGCTGGACACAGGACCCCCATTCTAAAACAAGCGAAAAGGGTACTTCTGCAGTGGGGGAACACTTTAATCATTTTCAGCAAGTCAAATTGAGTAGGTTTGCCAAGTTTCATGGCTGTATAGTTAACAGAAATAGATTTACCATACTACGTATTCTGAGTACTGGTCACAAATATCCCAGTCTAAAGATAGCACAAGGGTTTTTTCCCAAAATTGGTCTATATTCTATCTTTTTACGCATATCGAATTCTGTATTTTCACCAAGTTTTATGCTTTTATCACATTTTGCATGATTGTTACCTGTCATGAACCTTATCAAACTCACTACTACATTACATCAAAACATTCCTTCGTGTCTACCACTTTACGTCACAAGGTCACGTGGTCTGACCGCGTTCTCGCTCCGCCATCGATGAGGGCAAATTTTGACTTTAAAAACTTAATAACTTAAAAACTACACAACGTATTAGGAAAATTCATACGGTTTTAGAATCAGCACAGGAATCTTTGTTGTTGGCCAAAAATCGTTTTTCACTTCATTTCCCCTTTAAGATACGGTGGAAACAAAACATAACCATGCGCTTAATTTCATACAGCTGGTTTCTGAGCCCCGGTGTTCGTGTTACGCAATCTTATAGAACATTAAAGGAGCTAGAAACGAGCATGGTAGGATCTCGTGAAATCTTCGAAGAAGCGCCAATGAAAGTATGGTTTTTGATGGTTGACGTTCATGGATAAATTCAGCTAGGGCCCTTGATTTAGACATAGGAAAAAGCATAACGTTTCAAGGGAATTCTGTAGCAGTGTTAACACTGTCAAGAGACTGAACTGAAAATATGCAAAAATTCATATGCAAAAAGAATGATGTGATGGAAAAACAAACATTTCATACCGATATCGTACTGCAAACTCAACTGCAACTGTGGCCAGAGCATTATCAAAGCCCAAGATGCATAAAAATGCACATCATATGTGTTGTACATGCGATACTCGTGGCCTAAAACGAAAGCAGGTGATGTCAGGAAGGTAAAAACACGACTCATCAATGTCTTACAGCTATTAACTATTTCATTATCTTGTTCTGCTAAGGTTAGTAGTTGGATCATGAGCATATCATACTGCTTTGTTTTGATTGTTACTTTATATTTCAACAATCTGTCCCACATTAAATGCCCTGCACTTTTTGCGACAACACCCAAATCACTTCTCGTCCCAAACGAACAATACTATTCAGATGAATGCCACTAATTATTCCGAAATGGCACTAATTATTCCGAAATGGGAGAATTTCTAACCTAACACTTAGAAAGACTTAAACAAATTATAGAAAATAATATCTTCAAAAGGGTTAGTGATATTCTCTTGAATTCTGGATAAAAAAATGATCTGTACGCAATTGTTTGAATAATCGCTGGTCTTAAACAGAGTCCAGGAACATGATTATACTTCCTCCGAACAAAACACCAGAGCTCTAAAAATCTTTCTCAGAAAATCTTTTGATTCGTATTTTATTTGAGTGAAAACAATGAAAACAGAGCAGGGTTTGTGCAATGTACTTTAGTTTGCTTTGTTTTTATTGGCCTGGCTTGAGTTCATTAACTGTGTGACCTCCTTGATTTATAGGCACATGTTTAAAGCAAACATTTATCTGAATAAATCCACCAATTTACCTTCCAAATAAGCAAATCTCCCATATTCGTGAACATGGTTAGGTATCTGCCTACGATGCAAATCTTTTTTCCTTCTTATGTCAAGCCAGATTGTGCCACCATCCGTCACGTAGTACAGTTCGTTGAACAATGCTGATTTGTACCAATCAGGAAGAGAACTACAAGAAATGGATTATAATTATAAGAGTAATGAAAATGTATGAAAAAATATAATTCAAAACCTAATCTCCCAATAGTTGCCTCTTATAACTTTCCACAGATAAACATTGAACGATGCGATATAAAAAACTGACCAGATTCTAGAACTTTTAGCATTGTTGTTTGTGTGCTTAGTGACAGAGTACCTATGTTCCAAGCTCGCATAAATACCTGTCGATAACCCTATGCAAAGGTTACAGCATATAAATGTTATAATACGACCACAAACCCATTTTAAGACTACAGACATTTGCAAAGCAAAACAACCAACTAGAATAAAGAGGGAAATCTTCCATTTGCTACCTCTAAATTCTAAGAGAATACAAGATTCTCAACGTTACTATAAAAAAAACGTTATGAAAATCCACTTGTTATCCGCTCCTTTTGTTATTTTGTATTTGTTTCTACATTAAAACCGAGGTTAGTTTTTAGTACATTGAGAAGCTATGCTTGTCGAGCAGTTTCCTGGTCCTTCTCCCCCATGTAACCATACCTCGTGATTTCTTTATCTGGAGTTGTAGAGAGCTGGCCACTCCCCTCACTTTGGGGGGAAGTTTGTTCATGTCAGGGACTCAGAAAAAACCTTTTAATCTGTGACTCGCGGCCCTCACCACTGAGTCATCCTCAAATTTATTTTGAAGAAATTAATGTGTGTATTTCTGCAAGACTACAGCCATCCCTATCACTCATGTAATAACAAAATTTGCCTAATGGAATTTTTAATCAGAGTTCTAAAATTGGTTTTCAACGAACACTTTTTGTACGAAAATTCAAATAAGGTTATTAATCATTCAAGCAGGAAGTGCTGAATAACACTAAAGAATGATTAAATTACGTTGTCACAGTGAGAATTAGATAGAGAGGCCTAAGTCAATCATGGTTTATTAATGAAGCCCTTCCCATCTTATTCACGCATAACAAAATAAAAAAACTACAATTAAAAACTAGATCTTTACAGAAGCAGCTCATACATCCAACGCAATTCGCACTGAATATTAATGGGAAGATTGTGACGGTAAAAGGGTCAGCTGCGCCAATAACCTTAAAAGAAACGGTTTTCGTCGTTCAAAAGGGTGGAAGAAATCCACAAAAAGTGTAGAAAGGAATTTTTTTTGGAAAATCAAAGAAATAAATTCATTAAAAAGGGCGTATGAGGAAGGAATTTTAAACCCAAAGCTCTGTAGATCTGCAATCTATAGAAATTGAAAATCTTTCCAAAGAAATATATTAAGAATGTAATTGAGAAATTCAAAACACGAGAAAGACAATATTAAGACCAGTAGGCATAAATTGTAGAAAAGCAGTACAAAAATAAATTGGATTGCAGATCTGCAAAATAAAGAACTATTGTGAAAATTTCTCAAAAACGACATACACTACATAATATATCACATCAAATGGTATAGCACATACCTATCATTTAAGATAGGGTTTTGCCATTTTTCTATTCGTGACTCCCATTCTGGATAATTGAGAAGAGCGTAGCAACAGAGAGAGGGTGCCGCATTTCTTTTGTCTCCAAAGAACTTCGTGTAACGTCTAAACGGAAAAATCAACGAGTTAATTATCTTACTTATGGACAGGTCTTGAAAAAAGATTTTTCATCCTGGCAGCAAAATAAAAAATTCAAGATTTCCTGCGAAGCTTCGACAAAGTTTCCAGCCACTGAAAGTGATAATTTACGTTGCTTGATTTGTTTAAAAATTTGTCCTAAAAATAAACTTTCATACTAAAAAAGGACTTATTGTTAAAAAAAACGAATCTTTAATAACTTTGATTAAATTTCATAACAGTACTAGCAAACTAGATACTTTGTAAGTATCGATGCATCCTACATCTTGCTCTGGGTTTCATGGTTGCTGCTCATTTTTATCATCAAAGCTAGTAGTTCATAAAACATTTAAGATAACTATTTTATTTTTCAATGGTTAAAATTAATCTTCTAAATCAGGGGTGGTGCTAGAGGCAAAGATGTAAGACCAAACCAAAACGCTTACATTCTATTAAGCTAGCGATGATTGTAAATTTTTGAATGCTTCACCCACTTCCTGCTTCCCAGACACTTACAACCTTCTTATTTTAAAACAAAAATAAACAAACTTGATCTCACTGGCCTTTTCTAGCCTCTCCCTCCCTTCTCTTTCTAGGGCTTTTCTATAGGCCTCTAACCCCCCTATTATTACCAAATTAGAAAAATTAACCATAAAGGAAGCTTTGTAGCGTAATACCTGCAATATTTGACCCCTTTGCCTGATCCAAATTCAACAACAGGCATGTCCCAAGCCAAAACAAATTCAAGATCTCTTTTCTGATGTGGAAGGAGCCTTGTTTTAGATGCAACAGCGGCTGCAAGGGTTTGTCCAGGATAGGACTTTCTATTTGGGTCACCTGCAGCAGAAAAAGTGCTTTAAAGAGACATTCTAAAACACAGGCGGCTTTAGGCCATGAACCTTTCGGTAAGATGGGTCCTTTACGCCGTGCACTTTCATTCAATTCAACATATTTAAGACAAGGGTGTTAACAGTTACAACAGCTTAAAGTTATTTGTTTACCCGTATGGTGGTTAACCTTACAACTGATTTTGAATTTTTTTCTAAAATCAAATTTCTTAACAAGTAAAGTAATATTAATCTCTTTAAAGCCTGGTTTTCACTAGAGTCATAAGGGTCGTAAGGATCGTAAGAGCGTAATTTTAAGATTTTATGACGCTTATGATCAAGTGAAAACATCAAGAATCATAATCGTAAAATAATTAGCACTTGATTTTATCTCCTAAAATTCTTGACATAAGGATCGTAAAGATCAAAAACTTTTTCATCTTTACGATCCTTACGACTGGATGTTCCTTTGTTTTGAGAATTAGGTGACAAAATTTCCTGAATTCCAGTCGAAGGCCGCACACATTGCTCCTTCTCTCGTTGGCCTTAACATGAAGTTTATTTTCTGTATACAAAATGGATCTATCTCGCGCGGAAAGACTATCTATCGTGAAATTCAGCTGCTTGTAAGACTAGTCTTCGAAAAACTACAAGTTGGCAAAACACCTTGCTCAGAGCTCTTTTTCTTTCCTCGTATTTTTTTAACGTGCATTTCTACGACGCTTTCATCTTTTGATTAGAATATACACTGCCAGGAACAAACGCAGATTCGTAGCAGCCATGCTGGATTCATGCAGACAAGTGGCGGGGAAAAGAACGCCCTTTCAAATCATAAGAAATCTCACTACTTTTACGATACTTATGACGCTTATGACATCAAGATAAGAAAGGATTTTATATTCTTACGATCCTTGAGACATTTTTATGTTGGCGTTTTCATTTGGATTTTAAGAAACATAAGCGACACGGACTTAAAAATTATGTTTCTTATGATCGATACGATCCTTATGACTTTAGTGAAAACCAGGCTTAATGGAATGACGCAAGCTTGCACACACTTAGATAATCTTATCGACTCGCTAACGACAACCCGCCTGAAAAACAAACTTAAAAGTTCATGAAAGACAAAAACCAGCGATAACCTGCATTCAGACGTTTTCTAAAATGATAAAGATAAAAAAGTATAAAGAGACATTCATTGCGATTGGAGTTCAAAGCGACTTTAAGGACTTTTTTCCCCTACCTGGTTTATTGCTAAGCAATCCATCGTCAAACAGATCCTCCCAGACTTTACGACAAGGCGTCTTTGAATCAAATGAGACTTTCGTAGAAACTGATACGGCAGTCTCTCCATTCTACGAGCAAAAAATATTTCTATTGAAAGAAAGGTTCAAGTGAGTTTATGCTTATCAATATTGATTCCAAAATTTTTTTTCTGCTATCGTGGTCTTCTTTTTGACATGAAAGATAGAAAAATCATCATCTCATCTTGCCATAGAAAATTTAAGTTGGTTTTCATTGGCAAATTTCCACTGAAAATATGCAAAAACTCCAGCAAATTATAAAATCTTATCTAAGAGAATACTGATTTGGAGAAGCAGAATTCGAGAAAATTTAACACTTCGAAAAAAAATGCAACTTCAGAAACAAAAAGATATGATAAAATCAACTGGCAAATATTGCAGTAAAATATCAAGATAAATAACTTGCATGCCAAAAGAAACGAAAGCATATTATTTCTTAATTATTTCTACACTTGATGCAACACAAAAGTGGATCAGGCTTTATTTCTTGAAAATGTTCGTTCATACTGTATACGTTTTATAAAGCCAAGACCATCCAGTCTTGCCTACACCGTTGGGGATTCACCTTGCTTCAGCAGCAACTTTAGTTAACCGAGAACTTTGAGGTCAGGGGGTACATAGTGAGAAATGCCAAAATACCAAAGAAGCACTCGGGGGGGTTTTAATTCCTTGTCCTGTGTTACCTCGACCAATTTAGAAGGCACTGTGAATATAACTAAAGTGAAAAAAAATAATCATTGAATAATTGGTAAAATCTGCAAAATCTTGCAAAATCTGCAATGAAACTACACAAATTTTGATCAAATGATGACAGGACAAGCCAGCTTTTTGGCAGCATACGTTTTGGGTAATTACCAATACAAGCTACCAGGATATGCTACATAAAGGGGCAGTCCCTGATCAGGTATCAAAGACAAGTTGATAGGTCATAGTCTATCATAAAATGTGCTATACCTCAACCACATGTTTCGCGGCGATTGCCAAAGTAAAATCATTTTTTTGATGAGCATGGTGTAGTAATACTCCTGACACATCGTGCAATACACAGGTCTCACTGCTGCCAGCATTCGGCTTCCGAGAGGCGTTAGGAGCTGAGCCCTTTGCAGGGGATTCATTGCCCCTTTTCTCTGGAGATCTACGATTGATAATTTGTTCGTGTAGCTGAACCTCACTGAATACACCCTTGCACATAAAAGCCTCGTTGTAGTGGCCTCCTGCCTCGTCTGAAGGGCCTCCGGTACCGTTTTGAAACGTAAACATGATGGACACTTCAATCTCTTCATTTCCCAGATTTTCAACCGTCCAGACAAAGACGCCAACTGGAAGACTCGTGTCCTTCAAATGAAAACAAATGCCTTCAATCAAGAGCAATGATTTTTACGTCCTAACAAATCTTAAATAGGCAAATCCTTAAAACTAGAAAGCGGCGATTAAAACAATCTAAATCTGGTCAACATACAATTTAATAATTCTTAGTATTGTGAAAACCCTAGTTTTATTTCAAACTTCATACAAATGATCATTTGAAATTTGGAAACTTCGTGTTCTGACAGCCTAACTGATTTGGTAAAACTTTTCTTCCAATCAAAAATCCTTGATGTAAATAATCAGGTCAATAAAGATAGTGGCATGATAGCAAAATGATGTGCATTCTTTATACTTTTGAGTTTTCTAGATATATAAGTAGTGCTACGTCCACGCAGCAATACTTTGAAACTATATTAAAAGCCACCCAAAGATAAAAGAACAGAATGAGATTGGAAGTAGAAAGCAAAAAAATCTAGGGAAACTTTAGGCTACTGTTCCTAAAAAGGAAGCAAAACAAGAGGGGATTGGTAAACCATGGGACAGCTGTATGGGGCAGAGTTACCATCTGTTGTAAGGGAGCTATCCACATTTGTAGGGGGCAAAGTTACCGTATAAGGGAACTGTCAACACCAATAGGGGCAAAGTTACCCTCTGTTTTCAGGAGCTGTCAACACCAATAGGGGCAAAGTTACCCTCTCTTTTCAGGAGCTGTCAACACCTATAGAGGGAGAGATACCATCTGTTTTAAGCAGGCGCACAACTACAGGGGGGGTCCTGGGGGTCCAGACCCCTGTCCTTTCTCTCAAAGGAGGAAAAGTGCCCTTCTTTTAAAAATTTGCCTGAATATTTTTTTGATCACACTAAAGAGAATCGTCATAAATGATACATCCCGGCGATGTAATGGACCTCTCAGAAATACAGATAAATGATTTGTCAGACTTTCACACAGTGATAGAGTCTATGTTCAAGCTCCTACTCTACAGCGTGTTCTATGATGCGCTACGCACTAGTTTTGAAGAAGAATTGTTCTGGGGCTCAAAAACCAAAATAAAGGCAGAAGACTTTGAATGGGATAGGACCCTACGACCACTGGTAAAAAAGTTAGAAGAAAGAAACCAAGACATCTTTCAGTCTGTTTCAATGGCCCATATAATTGTGAAAGATTCGTAGAGGACCTTTACATGAAACAAGCGAATGTAGAGAAATATTCGCGGACTGGTATTAGAAAGCAGTGACTATACCACAATAAGTTAATGTTCAGCTGTTTCATTCCTCAGCTGAAGTTAATGTTCAGCTGTATTACAACTCAGCTGAAGTCAAGACTTGCAGGCAGAAACCAGCTGAACTCAAGGCTCGTGGACCTGTTAAACCTCCTCCCATCTGTAATGCGAAGCATATAATTCAATGTTCTTAAGGCCGTTCATATTTTAAAGAGCAAATTGTTTTCGGATATGGAGAATAAAGGAGCTGCCGCCGAGAGGGGGCAAGGGGGCAAATAGCCCTAGGGCCTCGAGGTCTAGGGGGCCTTATAAAGCAATTAATTCTGTTTTAACATGAAATCAATTAAAAGTAAAAAAATTACACTTAAAAGGTAAACATTTTGAACGAATGAATGAATTCAAGCTATTCATAAGGGCGTGGTCACAGAATTTTGTTGCTCGCTTCGCTCACAAGAGGTCTTTTATCCCCCCCCCCTCAGGTCTCCAAAACCTCTTGGCAGCCCTGGATGGCAGACAGAAAGGAGAAGTTCCCTGAGATTTGAGAAAATAGACGAAGGAATAAAATACAGACTCATACATCACATCTTTTCTCTATTGGTCAGTTTTTTTTGTCTGGCGCACAATGTTTACAGGTATACTAACTGCTGATATTTTTGGTTTACCTAAACAAATGCCCCGATGGACCTTCGGCGTACATGAAATGCACCCTGGCATCTCTTCTGTTGAACGTGAGTAAAGTTTCCTAAGTGCCCTTTTTTCGTCTTGGACCTCTGCCCTCTGAAATTCCTGGTTGTGCGCCTGTTAAGAATTTATCCACCTCTATAGCGAAGGAAGTTATCATCTGTTTTAGGGAGTTGTTCAGATCTAAAGTGGGCAAAGTTACCCCTTGTTATAAAGAATGTCCATATGAGTAACTTGCCGCACAAGAAAAAACTACTTCGTCTATCTTTAGTTTAGAGATTTATCCTTTATTGGAAAGTGCCAGTCATTTGAAGATTAATTTATTCACTGAAATTCAAGATTCACAATACATACTTTATACTCATGTGGGAACACAGGCGACACCTGTCTGCATGTTAATCTCACTTTGTGCTCTGGGATCTCATAGACAGTCCAAGCTCTTGGGTAAAGTGCATGGTACACAGCATGGCCACCATGGAAGTTCCATTTCCAGCCTTGTAATGTCTTTTCACAGTTCAGCTTGCCACTTGGTGCATTTGGTGACAAAACATGCTAAAAAACAACATTTTTGTGGCTGTTTTCACAAAGGGAAATCTTAAAGAGAAACTCCAGCAAACAAATACAGATATTTTTTGTCGAGCATGAATGCATATTCATGTTAACTAGTTGAAACAAGTTGATGTATTGAAGAAACAAATAAAAATGAGTATAAGGAAAGAGATCAAAAATATGAGCTGACTAAAAATATTTCAACCTCTTATACGGGAAAAATTAATGCTATAATTTTAAGAAATTAAGAAAAGGCATGTCAAAGAAATCAATTTTGAAATATACTCACTTGGTAAACTGTTTTCTTATTCTTCCGTATGCACACAGTGAACTAAGACACAACATACATTTTTAAATACATCAATCAACAGAAATAAAGATAAATTACTATATAAAATGGGATGTGTCATGTGTGAGAATCGCAGTGCATTGAGAAGATTTTAAAGTCTTTTATTACTAAAAAATTATTTTACATTGCCAAAATACTAAAGATTGATTTTGTAAGTATATTTCAACATCATTTCATTGATCAGTCCATGAAAAAGAAGCTGTTTGTACTGCAGCGAGACCACAAAAACTTATGAAAAACTTTGTCAAACACTCAACATTGATGATTGATAAACAAAATTCCTCTTAGACCCAGACTGTCCCACACAAAATGTTTGTTTACAGTTACGTGACCAAGGCCATTTAATAATTAATTCTATCTTATTAAACTTTTTAATACTTACCTGGTTTACATCAACACTATTGCGTTCATATATCCCTGGATGCAGTTGCCATCTGTTAAAATCACCTTTCCAGCCTCTTGTGATGGCACCAGCACCAATACCTCCTAACGGGACACCTGGCAAACAATTAAATTGGTGGCTCAAGTTTGTTTAATACCACACTTGATATTCAGATCCCTTAAATGTTAGGCAATTGATGAAACACATTATCTTCTTTGAAATGCATTTGAATTAGAGACATTGAATTATGGGCCACGTTTACTGGATAAATAGCACACACATTTCTTTCTCTAATACTACCTAATTCATTCCTATAGCATGTTCTACTGATTACATATTGACAACAATCTTTGCTTGATCAAATCCAAGTCTTGTTACCATAGCTTCAGGAGTAAACAATTCAGCAGTCACCATTGCACCTGGGATGGCCAGTCTTATCTGTGGGAGACCATTTATCGTTACACAGGGCAACTTCCAGGTGACTAAGTTTTTATAGGAAATGTTCACCCTTGTTGCCAGAGTGCCCTTTTGGGAGACTACAGCCCATATGAGGGAGATCACAGAAAGGGTTGTTGTACTGGGATTGTCCACTCCTTAGCTCATCTCATGATTAAAGAGAGCTGTGTGCTTTAAGATAAAGAACTGAAGATAGTGATATCAGAAAGGCTAAATACTAGAAGTTACTTTATCACTTTTTCTCAGAAGTCTTACTCATTATTTGCCAATATTAACTCAATGAAAGCAAGGCCTGGTTGACTAATGAAAAAGCTGCCTTTGTAAGTCTGTGCAAACACTATTAATCAACATACCATATAGCTGCTTGCAGGGAACTGTTGCATATGGATCAATGTAGGGCATTCTACCTTTCTTTCTTGTAGAGCGAGCATATTTTAGAAACCTGGTGGGAAATCATCAGTGGTGATCATCAAAATTGTATATACTTGCATTTCCAAAAATGATTTATTTACTTATACTGATCTGCTAAATATGCACCTATTATTTGAAATGAAAAAGTAAAGTCTTAAGTTAAGCATGTTATTAAGAGATTTAAAGTGCCTATGAAATGAAATTTGACAAGTTTAGATAAAGGAACACTTTTTATAAGCAAAATTTGCTGACTTCAATGATATATGTTGAGGTGATCTTTTTCTTGTGAAATCGTCTAAAAATTTAGGTTGAACATCCCATTTCCATGTTTTCAACTGTGACAAAGCATGCGTTATCCGTGATGTCACAAAGTTTGCAAACACAAAAGCAGTATGCGTACTTATTACACTAAGCAAAATGGAGGTCACTATTGGAACTACAGTTAACATAGACAAAGGAGGAATTTTTAAGTCAAGGTCTATATCAAATCTTTTTTAGTGCATCAAACTGTCCTTTTTTGCAAAGTTTCGTGCTATAATACTAAAGTATGACTGAGATGCGATAACACTGCCTTTAAAGGTCTGGAGCGAAGTACCCAGGTTTAAAAATAGAAAAAGGGGACAATTTTCAGTTAGGTTCTATATCCTGTCTTTTGTTCCATATCAATCTGTCCCCTGTTGTAAAGTTTTGTGCTATTGTACCTACTTTCAGAAGAGAAAACCCTGTTGGGGGCTTGGGGGAAAAGACCCAAATCTAAAAATAGCCAAAAGGGAGCGATTTTCAGCTGGGTTCCATATCCTATCTTTTTCATTGTATCACACTACCCCTTTTTGCAAAATTTCATGCTGGTATCACAATTTGCACAATTGTTTGACTAACTGACTAAGTGGTATGGTGTGTTTATTGTGAAGACAGAACCAGGCACTTTATAGAACTAAGTTGTATGGCATTATTGATTCAATTATTGTTAAAATTCCTGTTTAATATCTACTTTACCAAATATACATAAAATCTGAAAGGCAAACAGCAATACTAATCACTTCATAACTACTTTTATAGCATCCATTGTCAATGCCCTGGTGCCTGCATCAATAGACAACCAGCTTCTTTTGACAAGCTACATTAATTATTTTCAACTGTATTCAAATGTAAACACAGAGGGTCTAAGATGAAAAATGCCTGCAATTTGCACTAGGTGGTCAGATAAGATTTGTGATACCATAATATACTTGTAGTATTTGGAAACTCCTCTGAACATTAAAATGTCTCCATCTATTGCAAGTTTTCATTTAAAACTTAAACCAATCATTTTTCAAAAGAATTACTAAAATACGATTTCTCTCAATTACAGCTATATTTGACTGTTATTTTTTCATTGATGCAATATATGGCTTTCTTTTCAAAATATAGTTGCCTCTACTAATTTGCATGATGTATGTGTAATGGAATTTAAAAAGTGAAACTGAACTGAAACTATATGCAATACAAATTGAAAGTCGCAATTTATTCCGACCTGATGGCATTTAGGCAGTTTTCAATGAAGCAAGATGGATTTTTAAACTTCCGCTTTTAGAATTTGTGCAAACTATAAACAAAGTTTAAGGTTTAACGATCAGTTAAAGACGTTTTAACAAAAAAACTGACACTGTAACAATACCTGTAGGCCATTCCAACGAGCTTCGGTACCTGATGCCATCTTGGGATTACGCTGGCTTTGGGTTTGTCAGGAAAATTATGGTCCAGCCTAACTCTCCAACCATATTCTGGTGGAATGTGGCGTTGCTCTGGAGAATCATTGCAGTCAACCATGTTGTGTTTAATTTCAACCGTCCGATATCCTTTAACCAGATGAAGCGCTCTTGTCAGTTCGCAGGTAAATCAAAACCATTAAATAATTAAACAATACCTGCTTTACTTTCGGCTCTCCTCAGCACATGCATCCCTAGCGTTTGTGCATGCTTTCCTTTACAATGGCTCTGAACAAAAACACATTCAAGTTTCAAGCCATCAGAAACAGGTTTAGGCCCAAACATCTGCAGAAAGCGCCTTCGCACCAACTGAAATGAAGAAATCTTTGATCCAGGAAAGAGGCTTGAAAATAAAAAAACATCTGAAACTTGACATGACAAATATTTTTTCAAAATCTCTTTCTTATCGTTAACGGCAGTTTATCAATCCTTATTTATTTATCGTGTATTGCTGGTATGAATGAAAAAATTTTCTCCCGGTCCACATGTGTTTCATTCGAGGCTGGACGATAACTGACGATGTGACCATACACAGATAGTAGAAATGCATTCTCTGCTTTTTTCATGTGACCCAGGCAGGACTTAAAAAACTCGATTTGGGTATCTTTCAGACGAAAAAAAGATCTTTAATGAAAGCAAATTAAGATTAAAAGGCAGTGCAAAATTCAGACAACTTCGTAGTTGACGGGGAAAAAATGTGTTTTAGAGACAGGCTATCCGTTACCTGAATTGCAGGGGGTTTAGTACTTCCCTATTTTGCAGGCGAGCGAATTGGATTTTCAACTGCATATATATAAAACACAGCGAAGCCCCTAAATTGTTAAAATTGAAGTTAAATATGGTAGACTTAAAGGCAAACTTTAGGGGGAAAAATGAAAATGTTTTCTATAGGAGGTGTGGAGATCATGAGAAATATGTCGAGCATTTGTGGGAATGCTCCCTATTTGAAGATAAAAACTTGCCTAATTTTACGAACATGACAAAAAAAAATCCAAAAGTATTGGGCATTATACAAAAATATGTGGACAAATTTATAAACTAAAGATGATAACACTATCTGTGTTACTTCCCCCAGTGCACTTGGGTAAAAGTAACTGCCCCGAAGTGGAGATTTGGTACTATTTATTTATTCATTTATTTAGAGCGTAGGCTTTCTTGCTAAACCACATGACTTCTAAATAAAAACAAGCTAATTCTTTGTCAAATACAATACGCAACAAGGTACAAGACGTTAAAGAGATCGTAAAGTGAATAGATCGACTATGTGACTCTAGGCATGTAAATATCCCTGGGAAACATCAGCCCCTGAGATGACAGTAGAATCAATGGATGTAAACCAAATGCATATGCTTGAAAAAAATGCATCAATTTTAATCTTTTTATACAAAAATATACTTTACATGACTGAGTCTTTTGTTTTGCACTAATCATTTTATGCCTCCCCATTTCTGACTACATAAATAGTAGATTTTTATGAATAAGGGGTGCTCTTTCTTCGATTAGTTTATCAACTGAGCTTCCCTCTTAAATAATTCCCTCTATTTCCCTCTTAAATAATTCCCTCTATACAATTTATTCCTCGCTTGTATTTGTATTCTGATATACTAGATATTAATATATATTACTTCTCTCTAATTTTGTGTTAAGTTAATTTTTTTCTTGCATTGTTAGTTGGAATTTAAATTGTATTTAGTGGAATTTAAAATAAAATACTGAATAAGAACTGAACCTAATGAATGAATACCGAGCTTAAGTTATGTAGGCAAAATTCAAAAACTCTAACGTCACACTTGAAAACTCCTTTTTTCCTCAACCAGGCGTTTAAATAAATTGTTGCAAGAAAGTGTTCTAGAAAGTGAACTGCGAAAATTGGTAGATAAGTTCATTATTATTCACAAACAGATAATTGTTGCAAGAAAGTGCTCTAGAAAGTGAACTGCGAAAATTGGTAGATAAGTTCATTATTATTCAAAAACAGATAATTGTTGAAAATATCTCGTGCCTATGCATGTTATGCTAGAGTCAGACTTCAAGTTGCAATTGACATTGACTTGATCATTCATGGGTCAGAACTTAGAAACAGACGGTTAAAAAGTTAAATGAATATTTCTATAGTTGGGAGACAGTCATAATGGCCACATATATTCATAATCTCGTTTCCGTGTCAATCCTTAAATCTCAAGATGGTGGGCATATGTAACCAAACAAACAAAACAAAACATAACAATGGTAAAACTTTAATCTGAATCCATAACATTGCGCTCTGAAAAATCAAGCATTTATTTCAGTTGTCTTTTGCAAAGTATTCTAGTTTATTCAAGTATGCATTAACTTTTCCCGGTTTTTGAGAAAAGTGTTTTACGTCCGTATTACCGATTCTTTTTGCATTCATAACATAGAATGAACTTTTTGTTTAGCATGTTAAACCCAAAGTGACGACTGTATTTTTATTAACCTAGAACAAGACATTAGAATTTTATTATGTTGAAGGTATTGTACGCCCATAAAATTCAAGGCTAAATTCAAACCAAAAAACAGAAAGTAAACTCATTTATAACACAAAACAGTTTAACACACAATTACTCTTGAATAAATGCATTTAATGCTAACTTTGTCAATGCAAAATATGATACTACTAACAACAAAGAAATTTTTACAAAGTCAAACGCATAAACAATTAAAAACAAAAATATCAAGGCACCAAACATACAGCCTAAGACAATTAAAAGAAGAATGGCAAGTTTCCTCTGCAGATCAGCACGTGCCAATGGGTTACCGTGTGCATTCATAAGAAGGCTGTTAATGACTATTGATATTATGATGGCAATAACACTTAAATGGTGAACCAATCGATTGGTTGGCTGATGGTTTTCGTATTCATCTACAGTATCAAACATTGTTGATTGTGGTGATGGTAGAGCGGCGTTTTTATGCCTATTCTTTTTTGCTTCTTTCACTCTCTTCCTGCAAGACGAACATAGCTGGATAGTTAGGGGGTATTTAAGGAAGCTATGAAGTATGGGTTTGATGTTTGGTGAATACACATACAACAGATGTGTTATTAACAGTTAAAACGTCAGGCTGGGGTACAGACTAGACTATGCATAGTTAGTATTTCAAAACTGACATAGTTTGACTTGGAATTTTAAGCTGATTAAAATCATCTGGGAAAATTTTGTGTGCTAGTTCACTAGAAGATGAGGACAATCTGCATGATAAGATCTTTTGAAGCTGTTTGACACCTTGAGTGGCTTGCATGGTGAATGGAAAGTCTATACAGCATATTTCCACAAAACATAACAGTAACATTAAAAATCATCACTCAAACCTACCTGTAGTTGACTGGAAAGGAAACCTGGAGCTCTGCTTCCATTACTGCAAAGAAAAAGAACAATTAAGCATAACATCCTTTTGAAATTTAATTAAATACATTGAGTAAAACAGTTAAAATGACAAATTAATAAAAAACTTTTGATACATAAATGATATGATTACAATAATGATAATCTGAAGCAATAATCAAAAATAGCTTAATACAATTACATCTAAATTTTTTAAACCATAAATCTTTATTGCCTTATTTTAAGAAAATAATACAAATGTCATATGTTGTGTAATATTCCCAAAGGACCATGTAGCATGCAGCGCATGTTTTTTGTGTGGTTTGGGTTCTTTTTTCATTAAGCTTAGAAGAGTTGTTTTTTGATCAGTTTTTTAATCATGATAATTAAATAAATGTTTGACCATTGGCTTGTTTAACTCAAAACACTATATAACACAAAAGAAATACACATTCAAATGGACATGAATGATCGGAATGCTTAACATTATTGTTTTAAAAAAAGAGAATTGACATATTGTTGTTTAACAAAGTTTTTCAAATTTGCATTGATTAGGATAAAGAGTTGATAAATGATTAGAGGAGCATTGATTAGAGTGAAAACATGTTCAGAGCGAAGTAATATTTTTGTTTCCTCAAAACAGCATGACTATAAACAGGAAATGGCAGGAGACTTAAAATAATGCAGCACAAGTTATTTTACCTTCCTCGGCTGTAACATAACGAACTGGCTCTCTGCATAAAGGACATTTTGGTCTCCCACGAGAAACATGGTTAAGTTGCTTCAAGCAAATTCCACAAAATACATGAAGGCATGGAGTTTTTTGTGGTTCATGAAGGAGGCTCAAACAAACAGCACATTTGTAGCAGTCTGGAATCTCACTGTCTGATATTTCCTAGATGTGGAAAAGCACATTTTGAGAGACAAATTGTATATTACTTGTTTGAAAAATTGATTTATTATGTGACAAAAATATCTAAGGACCATAAGCTGATGTCGTTAGTGATACTGATAATAGTTTTCAATGGTAGTGAATGTTTATATTAATCAAATCAGCAAGCAGTATCAATCCAAGCTTATTTAGAGCTACAAAATACTAACATCATTTCTTGTAACTTGGATTCAGTTGTTTTCAAAATAATTTCTGGCAAACTATCAATAAAAAATTAAAGATATCCAACATCCAGCATCCACAAAGTAAAAGGAAAACCTGATTAAAACTACTTTAACGTACTTGAATTTGCTTGTAATATTTTGATGTACAGAACATTTGCAAGTTAGGTCTTTTGAACACTGAAACTGCAAACTTACTCAGGAAAAATATTCAAATTTCATTTTAAAGATCCACCCACAACCTATTACCCATTTCATCCTAATATGTGAGAAATCCTAGCTTAATATTCTCTTTATGGTTGATGATGAAAAGTGTATATTTGCAGTTAAATCATTAATAACAATACTGATGCTGGAATTGATACAATTCTAAATATCATTAATTACCTTTTCATCACTTTCAATACTCTTGGCCCTACTGCTTGAACTGGCAATTAAAGCTGTTGAATTTTCTCTCACTTCTGATTCCTTCTTCACATCTTTTAATGAAGCCAGGTAATCATGCTCAAATTGCCATTTCCCTCTACCTCTTCTCCTTATTTTCCTTCTGTTCTTCTTACAGTGACCAGCTTGGCAAGGCTCACTACTCCTTAAGTTATACAAGTCAACCATCTCTCTTCTGATTTCTTTTATACTTTCATGAATGCAACTGACAGTTTCACAACATGTATTTGCAGTTGCATAAAACATTTCATCAGAATTGTCTTGGTCTTCTCGATGCTTGACACTACAATGGCAGCAGTGATTACAAACATCTTTTGGACAAGAATTGGTTTTCATACGATGTTTTCTGTCCCCATATTTGAAACAACCGTTATCGTGTTTTGGTGGCATTTGTCTTTCAGCACTTTGAGAGAAGTATAAGCTGTCAGTTGGATCTACAGTTTCATCTGAATATGATTCTAAGCTTGGGTGTTGAAATTTTTCACTTGAATTTTCAACAAAATGATCCTTAGATCTGCCTTTTACTTCTTTGCAATTGCCATATGCTCCACTGACCAATGTCATTTTGCAGCATTGGTTGGTGCCAAATTCTGAATCCACATCATCTGGACTTCTGCCTTTTTGCTGAACAATGTGATCTGCTCTTGTAGAAGAGCTGCTTTCTATATTTGAGGATGATACACCTTGATCAACATTTTGTCCAGTGTCTTCATTTTTGCTCATTCCTTTCATAGCACCATTCCTATTTTCAAGGTTCACAATGTTATCAACTCTGCTTTTAGGACACCAAATGGCAGGAATGATATTTTCTAAGCACCCACACTGAACCACATGTAGAAAGTCAAATCCCCCAATTCTGCTATTGCATTTTGGGCAATAAAGTTTACCCTCTGTCCAACCAGACTAAAAGACAGAAAATATGACAATAACTGAATAAACTATAATATAAATAAAATTTAGCTGACTAATAGTTATGTTTAGCTTTCAAGAAGTTTGGGAGTACAATCCAGTGACAGGATTGTCATTATTATTTTAACAATGGCAAAAAATACACCCTACAAAGGTGCATGCCAGCCACAAGATATCTCAGGTATGCTTTCTCCAGGAAAACCTTTTAATGATGGGAATGACAGTCTTCCACAATTTTCAAGCATTTGCTTTGCACTGATACTTTTTCACAGGATTCAGATATTTGACATGAAATTTCTCAAAAAAAGAAATTTCAGAAAAAATTGTTTTCCTGATTGCTGTGCATTATGACCTTAGAAGTATGACATAAGCCTTTGCTTCTGCTAATAAGTCTTTTTTTTTGGGAGAATTATTGTCTGTCTTGATGCCTGGCTTGGCAAGTTTCTGTTATTAGGCATGGAATCTTTAAATTTGTGAATTTATAATAAAAATACTGTCGAGTCCCACTATCTTAAACTACCATTGGAAATGGAAATTAGTTCAACAAAGCGGGACTTTGAGATATCCGGACTCAGGACTTTTTTTCAAAAAGGGGTCATCAACTGAACTAGAATTGTCTATTAATGAAGTTTGCTTTATATTTTGGAGTCCTTCTTTATGGCAAAATGGCAAACGACAATGGTTTTGTTTCTTTTGCTGGTGTCAAAGTAACAGTAACAGAAGAAATACCCAAATATAAACATAATTGAATTTTAAGTGAATTCTTCTATCCAAGGGCACCATGTTTATCATTTTGGTAGCCGAAGACTGGAGAGGAATTGAAAGTCATGATGGAGAAAAAAGAACATAGCTGACAAATAAGCAGTGTGTGTACAGAAAAACAAAAGTATTAAGAACATCTACCAAAAGGAAAGACAGGCAGATTTGCAAAGACATCTTTTCGCTCAAGGCAGATAAAATTAGTTCCGGCATGGCTGTGATGAATGGCAATCATTTAAACTTTGGAGAAGGCAAAGGAATGCAAGTTCCTTGCAAGTTAATCATTTTCGGACAACCTAAGTCCATGTCATTGTAAAAAATGAATTATCATTGTTATGATAATTAATAGCTGTAAATTTTTGTCACTTTTTGTTCAAGATACCTGTGCTTTTTCTTTCACAGGTATAAAACTTCATTCAAGATAGTGAAGAGTATGAGATAATGATTTTATATCTATACCAAGCCCTATAGGAATAGACCTTATTTTACTCCCGGGGGGTACTCCCATTATGGCAGGGGGGCCAATGCTAAAGTTTTAGAAAATTACCCTAAAATGGTAGTACTTTTTGACAAAACCCCTCAATTGGTAGCATAGAGACTGAAATTATTTCCTTGGTAGCATCCATTTCTTTGTGCTCTCCTAGTCCTTTTTTGACAAATCTCTTCATAATTAATTATTGTTTTTTCAGGAAAGATAAATCTTGTTCATTATCTATAACAAAATTGAGCAGTTCAGCTATTATCGAAAATGGGCCATTTGGTAGCCATTTGGTAAGACCCTCGAACCGACTGGACCTTCCTTGTCAGGCCTTAATGGGAATACTCCCCTGGGGTTTTACTGTATAATTTCAAATAATATTTTCCTTGATTTTTCTTCAGAATTTTCTTTGAAAAGCAATAATTTAAAAAGCTGTAGGTCTTTGCTACAAAAACAAACAAGTGAAGCTTATTACAGCCTTGTTGATAGATCATACAAACTAATTGTCTGCAATGTTCACGCCAAGGATCTTTTACAGAAATCTCGGAATTTGTAGCTTCAAGTGAAGACTGATAATGGATGGACTTTGGCTTTGAAACTCGGTGTATTACAATGAACACACGCATTAAGACTCGAAACTCACTGAAGCTCAAATCTCAAGAAATTCTTACCACATCTCAGCGAAATAAAATAATCTATCGTGATCCCCACTTGCGGCTTACACTTCGAAAACTCCAATTTATTGCAGTTACATGCAGCCATATAGACACACAAAATCATAGATAGAGAACGTAACTACAAACCTCGTTGATGAGATCGTGCACCCATGGGAGCATCTCTTCGTCCTCTCTTAGATACCATGATGGACATTGGTCTTTCTGGGTATGAGTGTCGGACAAATCTTTCGTCGCAAAAAGGACAAATCTGCACTTACGACATCGATATCCGACGGCGGCCATGTTGTCACATTCGCTTCGCTTTGCTCAGATATTCTTCGCAGTGGTCTGGTAATTCCTCCGCAGAGTAAGTACATGGCAGAAAATACGAAATGGCCAAAACATTAAACTTTTAAACTAGAAATAACAAATTACAAATTGCTCAGATACTTTTAACTCAAATTTTGCTTAACTGCCTCCTTAGCAATGCAGTTTGATGAGGATTAATTCCAAAGGTATTAAAAACTTATAAGCAACCCAAAATTCACAGCAGTTAATCTTTTGTTGAGTTTGCGGCACATACCATTATTGATCATCTCTGACATTGCTTATCTCAATTTCAGCAGTCAGTTAATAAAAATATATGTACTGCCAGCGGAACATAAAACATCTGGAATCAGATAATAAAACAAAGAAACTGACAGCTCGTTGTACGAAATTACCGTGATTATCAATATTGAACAGCTAGAAAATATGATAGGAGCACAGTGTAAAAAATTGCAAACAATCCCTACATATTCATAAAAAAACGTAGCTCAGTGTAGGTAGAGCATGCAAAAAGCAGTTGGATGTAGCGGAGGCTATACGTTCAGGGGGGACTTAGTAAGGGTCTTTCCCGAATATTGCTGCTACAGTGGGATAAAATTGCCTGAATGGGCCTAAAATTCGATAGGGCTTACAGGCACTAGCTTCCATATCTACTACGCCTATGAACAAGCCTTGGAATGTAATGTAATGGTGAATAAAATGGGCGGCTAGTGCTTTGATGGTATACGAAACGTAGTTTTCATGATATGAAATTCCACAACATAAAATTAAATTGTATACTTTGGAAAGAAAATTACAAAAAAATTACCAATTACAATAAAGATACAATTAAAACTATCAGAACAGGAAATTTATGCAGGGGAATTTCTTAAGGAGCAGCACTTTTAGAAGATAGTCAAGGAAGGAGCATCCCCTTATAACAATAATTACTGACGGTCAATGTGATTTGTTCTTACAGCCATAATAAGTTATTGTTGTAATAATTACGTGTTTAGGTGTAATAAGTGTTTTAAAGCCAGAAAAACTCGAGCTTGGGTATCCGGACACCCCTTCTATAGATCATTTATAATCCACTGTCTGCCCACTTCTTAGAACTCCCATTTCATCACAGTAGGCCACAGGCACTGGCTTTCTCATATCATCACTGCAAATCCATAGGCATGCTGTCTTAGTACACCTCATACCAGATCTAGTCGAAGTTATCAAAATGGACTGGCACTTGGCTCGTAGGCTCTTGTGCCTCTGAATGAGACTGTAATCCATGTGAAATGCGCTCATCAGCAGCCTCTTTCTCTATGCATTAAAGGCACCATCAAAATGATAAGCCTCAAATGGATGCACCTTTTTCTTGTTTTCATCATAGTGAAGCAGATCAAAGCACTTGGGACAAAAGAAGCTCGGATCTTCAAACGCGAGGGCATCATTTGTTGTGATCCACCTGAAACACAAACAAGCTTTTTCTAAAATTTACTCGAAGAAATGTCGATTTGGCAGTGAAATGATTCTAACAAAAGCAAGAGGCTCTTTTGCTGCAGGCTTGAGGGGCACTTCGAAAAATGTATTGACATACATATATTATCGAAATATTGGAAGAAAGGTGAAACTTTGATGTCTCCATACAGATAAAGAAAGTGTCTTCGCTTGACACATCACTGTTAGACGATCAAAAGTTTCTTGCTGGCTAGTGCATCTAAAGTTTCTTGCTGGCTCATTTTCGAAAGCAAACATTTAGGCAAAGTGCTTTGCAAGTTATCTCTATAAGCACACTTAAAAACAACAATTTTTTGCTGGGTATATCATAAGGTTTTTCTGAAGAACTCAAACTTGGGCTCTGTGGAGGTTTCGAATCTTTGAGCAACCGTACTCTATTTAAAACAAAACAAAAAGTGTCGGAGTTAAGAACAAACCAAAATGACAGGTGTGACTTAAAAATTGTCTATCTTCAATCCTGTTTCGGGTTTATGGCTTTGCCTTGACTGCAACCTTAGTAACTATAGTTGTTACATACAATGCCTATCGAAAATTCTAGGCCATCCAGAAAATGGCGTTTTGCATATCTATTTTTCCTTTTTTCCCTCTCCAAATATTGCTACTTCTGACTCATTTCAAGCAAATTTTTACCTCCGAATTCCAGTAAGCATCGTTTTAAAGGGAGAAGGGGATAGCTGGATATTTCCTTGAAAACTGAGCTAGTGTTTTAGGATTTTTGGCATGAAGCAGCTTCGAACGAAGGGATAAAAGAATAAATTGTATTTTAATAGCTATTTTGTCTGTTCGCTCCCAGCTTTCGTAGGAAATTCTTGGCTTTAATCTTTAGATTAATTAGGCGGGCGAAAAAGCAAAAAGCAATGGTGTTATGAGCATTGAAACGGGGAAAATTTTTCAATGTGTGTTTTCGAACATGTTATCTATAAATGAAAACGGAACACATGATTCCATTCGAATGGAATTCATGTTTAAAAGAACCGCGTAACTTGAATGAGCAACAAGTGATTTTTGGTTATCATTGTAACCGTGACTTTTCACATATTGTTAACTTGCAAGCTGACTAGAGGAATTAAGTCAATTTCGATTCAACTTGTAAGCGTGTTGAGGAAGTCATTTCTTGTTCTCTACCTGCAAACCCTAGAATATTTAAAAAAATAAGGGTATACACCCCGAAATTTTAAGCAGGGAAAACTCCTTCTCTGTACATTGGACCCTTAGCTGTTTTGGCCAAGAAGCTAAACGCTTATTAATGTAGCAGTCAAATTACATGAAAAAATTGTAGAATGAAGCTTTTTATGCTCAAGTCCAACTGGTCCAAGTCAAACTTGTCAATCATTCTCTAATTATTTTAGCAAGATGTATTAAATTGAATAACAAGATCTAACATATGGGGTGCTCGCTTTTTGCTTAGTTCATCAACTGATAGATAGGTGCTCTGCTTCAAGAAATGTATTACCAATCATTCCCTAATCTAATCGCTAAAATTATCCTTAACGTAGCATCTTCTTCTGCTTGTCATGGAAAATTTAAGTAAATTAAACTTATATTTAACAAGAAAATTATAATTAAATATCAATCTCTGGGCTAATAAAACTGATTTCATTCACGTCCAACATACCTGGCAGTGAACAATTCACAAATAGCGCACTTTTTTCTTTTTGGGAGCTTTTTAAATGTTCTGTAAGGATACATTGACATGGATTGGGGGTCATCAGCATGCAAAAACCTGCAAAACAGAAGCAAATCTTCATTATGCTGAATTTCTTTCTCGATGCATTTAGCCACTGCGAGGTAAAATGATCGTTGTACATAACTTTTTACAAGTTGCCTTAACAAGTGACAAATTGCCTCTGGTTATTCTTTGATATCTGGTGGTCCGAATATTGAGGTGGTCCTTTATGTTGAGGTGATCCTTTGAGAAAACCGATTTCGTACAATGATATTAACCATCATAAGGCCCAGTTTAGCCATGTGAGGTTGTGGGCACGTGGCTTATTTCTTTAATCCGGTTTTCTACTTCCCGAAGGAATTCCTACTAAAACAGATATCGTCCTCTGTCGGAATTCGCGTAACCTCAGCAGAAATGCTGCAATGCAATATCGCATAGATTCAAAACGTGAATTGGAAATTGACAAGACCTTAATTTTCATTTGTTCTTCCCGTTGTCTTTCTAAGACGTGTTTCATTTCCTAATTGCTAACTTATTTTATATGCACGATACCTAAGCACGTAGATTCTTTGCCAAATATCTAGGAGAACTGACAAAATCAAGTTTTTAAAATTAGCACAATTCAAAAACGCCTCTCCCTTCTTCCCGATAAAATTTCACACTTATGCCTTCTTCAAAATATTCCCTGTCTTTTTTAATTATAGTTTCTTAAAAATCGAATTTTGGAAAATCATATATGACTTGGTCTATACCCTTTCTCAGGAGAAAAAAAAGGTCGAGAACAGAATAAATTCCTGGAAGAAGTTATGCATAAGCCTTCCTCAAAGCTGTGGAAGGGAAATGTTTTTCCAACTCTGGAAATTAGAATACATATATGGATGCCCTGCAGACTTACCTATCTATACCAAAACATGACGTCGTCAAAATTCTGTCAACTCACCTCATGTCATCAAATATCATCAAATGTTCACAATTTCCTTGATGACAATAATAATACGGATATCCAAGGCGAATTTTCAACTCCTCAAACTTAGTATCTTCCATTCGTCTACTTTTGAAACTGCCAAGATTTGTTGGTGAAAATTTGAAGCTTGTCTTTGCCCATTCAATAATTTCCCTGGCCATGAAAGAAGAAATGTAAGCATTTTAAAGTAAAAAGCCATTCACATTCTTAAAGCAAAAGAGACCACATTTTGTGGTTTAATTCTTACTGGATATTTGATGGGTGCTTTCAAGTTCTTCGTTAAAACTTTTTACAACGTTGTAATTTGAGATTCCAACTTTGAATGAAATTATCGAAATCTAGCTTATTTTTTTACAAAGCTCAGTTTCAGGTTAACATATACCATACTTTTCCTGCTTAATATTAAATAACAACACGACCGTTTCTCTACATTTGAGCAGACAGACGATGTGGGTAAAACTACCACTTCACATCATAATTACAAAAAAAAACTTCTGTCCTATTCATCATTCAGCTTTTTATATAATTAAAATCAAGGTTTAAAATACAATGTTTTGCTTAGAGGGGGGGGAGGGGGGTAGTGGCAATTCTGATAAATTAGTGTAATCATAGCCATTCTACAAAACATAAATATATTTTACTTGTGCTACTAAAATCTTTGTACTTCGCCCCTTGCTTGATAAATTTCTAATCATAGAAGTAGGAGCGGTTTTGAAAAATTAGGACAAGTAAAGATTTCATTTCAATGATCTAAAGTATTTTTCTCACTTATGGGCGTTTATATATAGATCTTTACTGTACCACGTGTAGGGAAGAAACAAAGACAAGGCAACTTTGTATATCATTACAAAAGAACCACTTTTATGAAGCCAGAGATTAAGAGCCCAACCAAAACTAAGACTAGATCCCAAGTCATGGTATTACAACATGCTACTCGAATGAGCTTTCATCTTTTTTGAGAGGCTAATTAGGATAGGCAGGACAGACAACTGAGGTCTTAAATAGAAATAGTCAGTAAACCTTCCATGACCAAAGCTTAGGTATTATCAATATTAAATCTAGCAGGCCCTAAATATGGTAAAACAAAGGCCAACGGGGTTACTTTATAGGTATACAATCAAAGACTACGCTTTATGATTCGAGTCATATTGTCCATAACGCTGTTGCTTTTTATAAGTGGTTACTGAGGCTATTGCTCTTATGACAACAGACCTTGCTATGAATCATCGCTTTTGGGTAGAGTTTACAGCAAAGACCTAAAACGATCTTTAAAAGTCGAATGAACTAAAAACACTATTCAGTGCTTGAGTGCAGTTGTTTGAGACTGCCATTCCATTCTTGAGAATAAGCTCACAGCAGATAAATTGACAATAAATGAAACTTACGTGCTGTAATCTCGATTATACGGGTCTCTCATATCATTGTAAAATATCCCCTCGATGAAGAAAAATCCGGACTTGTTCTTGTTCTAAAATATAAGATTTTGAAATGTTATTTTAGCAGCCATCAGCAGAAAAAGTGCGATCACAGGACATGGAAGCTTTATTTTTAGGAGCTCTAGTTGTCTTGCGTCTAAAAGTGTCTAGTTAGCACAAACAATAGAAATATAGCGAGGATAATAATGATCAGGGCCTCTTGAAAATTACATAAAAAGATTATATGAAGTAGTTAAAATTTTTATGATATGTCCTGACAACAACATTTGAATACACTAATTATTCTGAGAGGCTTGAAGTAATGGCTCTTTCTGCCAAAGAACAAGGCTTGTTTTATTAGTTCCCTTTACAGCGCGACCAAATAACACAAATTTGTTTCAATAATGATGCAAAAGAATACAGGGAATACGTCAAAGATTTGGCGAAAATTTCTAACATGGTCTTTTAGATGAAAAAAGGACACTAAAACGTTTTTATTTGCATCAAATTGTCCAATCTCACATAAATATGACAATTCGAAAAAACTCTCGATCAGCTTCTTCATTTCCCAATTAACTAGGAAAATTGAGACACTAAAACAACTTTAATAATACTTGTTAATTGCTAATATATTTGTAATCATTTTTCATTTGCTTGGTTGCAATTGTTAAATTTTTACTATCAATAAATTCTTAGATATTTAAATCTGCTTTTTTCAACCAAAAGAGGGGCATTTCAAACAGCAACGATTCTATAGAGCTAGATAGATTGAATAACATGATACTTACAGCCTGCGATGTGGATGCACCATCAGGGTTATGGCTGCTCTCTGTGTACAGTGCATGATCAGAAATGCACTGAATTGAATCCTTGAGGACAGTGAGGTTCTGCAACAACAAAAGCTGATAAAATAGGAAGATCAAATTCTTAGTCTATGAGTTAATCAATTATTATTTCTATGCATAAGTATTCACATTCGTAAACAACTTGAGATGTGGAGCCAAAATCAGTCAGCCAAACAAAGTTATGATTGCTCAGACTTAACCAAAAGCAGATTGTGTCAAAAGCAAATGCAAGGGATATTTCATGTAGGAGACATAAAAACTAAACCTTAGTCTCTGAAGATATTTACCACAGGGGTGGACAAGTTGGTATCCCATGCACCCAGGGTGACCAGCTTCCATCTGCAGCAGACCGCTTATTGTTACACAGGGTAACTGCTGGGTGACCAAATTCTAACTGGCAATGTCCACCCCTGAATCTGAAGTTCTGTTTTGGGAGACCACAGACTATATGCGGGAGATCACTGAAAAAGCTGCTGGTCTTCCACTGGGAACCATCATTTTACAGCAATTGTCCACACCCGTACCAACTGGAAATATTGACTGAAGTTTAAGCTGTTATCACAGAAAATACATACCTGGCCAGCAATTAGCAAATAGCTCTGTTCTTTGGTTTGCTAAGCAAAAAAATCGACAATAAATAATAATGAATAGATTGATAGTATTAAATTGATAGATCAATAAAATTGAATGAGTTACATTTGAACAGAGACAATCTAAAATTTCATTCATCCGTAAATGCAGGAGCAAATTCAGAAAAAAGCAGATGCTTCACAAACTGAGCACTTTCAACTTTATAGGCGCTCAATTGAGCATCATCAATAACAAAAGTTTGTTTTTCACATATAGCTTTTAGGCAGCATAAACATGATAGGTGCTTGATCAACCAAGCTCCTAGAACTCTCTAGTCAAATGCGGAGGTGCTTGATCGAGCTTGAACGCTTCTCCTTGCAAGGTTTGGTCTGAGACTTGTAGGAACATGCGGGTCTTAATGAATCTGCTTGTGCTTAGAGACAAATTTATAATACCTATCTTGGCCTTTTCAATATAAACAACTAAATATTCATTCTGCTATTTGATCAGTTTATGGGAAGCTAAGTAAATAACTAATTTTGAACCATGTACTGGATATTGTGCAGATTTCCTTAATGAAAACGAATGAACTGCTTGTTTTGTTTTGATTCAAACCAGATAAGTGTATAAATCTTTTAGAAACATATTCACATTGTCAACAAAAACTGATGGTGTCAGATGCGCCAGGTGATAAAATCAGAGAACTTTTTCATGTGGAGAGAAAAGCATCAGGGCATTTATGGAACTTACCTTAACAGGGTGATATAAAACAACTGACAGAAGCACAGTACCATCTTCTAGGTCAGTAGAACTGCCATCTTGAGAATCCTTCTGCAAACAAAAAAATAAATATATGATTACAATGCAGCAAAACAAACAAAAAATTCAGTGGCTGCCAAAAACTATTAAAGATCAATCAATATTAGGTAAGGATATATAAATAGATGTAGGAATTATGGGGGACACAGGGATGACTCTCCGCTTTTCAAAATTAGAGGTAAAGATAATTTTTTCACTATAGGGTCCCTTTTTTGACAACATGTGCCTCCTCCAAATGCTTCCTACATCTATGGATCTATACCCTATTACCCCGCTTATATGCACACCTCATTTAAAGGCGCACATGCTTAAATCCTGATATAGATGCAGTACAATTATAAGTGGATCTTAATCTTACAGTTATTGCAAGAAGGATGAAAAAACAAAATTTTATTTTCCATTATCAATTTCTTTGAATTGTCCCTGTGTATAAACTGACATGATGACAAAGACAACCTTGATGAAGAGCAGCTGAATGAAGAACAAATGATCATTGATAATGACTTGGATCCTGAGGAAGTTTACATTGAACAACTGTTAGAATATCCAGATTCTACTGTTGAAGCATTACTTGTGCAATTTTATTGTTAAAATCTTCTTTTTATTTATAGGAACATGTGCCTGTATCAGAATCTTTTTCTACCTTGCAAAAAGGTCAATCAGAAAGAAAGCATGTGACTGCTAAAGTTAACATAAAAAGGCAAATGTCAATTTTGGTTTACAAGTGCATTCACTTTTAAACGGGGTAATAGGGTCGGTATCATCTTCTATGATACCACTTAGCTATGCCTTGAGACCAGAATAAACTATTAGTCCTTTCAATTTGAGCCAATGGAATGGCATTCCCATCCAACTGCACTCAAATATTGAATGATGTTTTTAGTTCACTTGACTTTCAAAGATTATTTTAGGTCTTTAATGTGAGCTCTACCCAAAATCAAGGATTCATAAGGAAAATTGCCTTTGTTTCTATAGGCCACTTGTCATTAAACAAATAAACTTTACAATTAAAGATAAATAATATCACCTTTTCAGTTTCCCATAAATGGAACATGTAGTTCACAACAGCATTTCTTTTCTGTGCATTCTTTCCAAGTCTACAAAGAGCATTAAAAAATAATCCTAATTGCATCAGTAGATAGAAAATTACATACATGCATGCATACATACATGCACACATACTTTATTTATTTAACAATGCAGGTCATCTAAATGGCAGCTTTCGCTCATGTGGACCTGCTAATTAACTCATAAGTAAAGGTTAAAAGTCTTGAATAGCTTTGATCTTAAAATACAATTTTACATGAATAGTTTCTTAAATTTGAAAGTAGATTAAATTTGAGTCAGTATACCATATGGTGGATGCTTGTCCAAAGGAGATGCTATCTATTATTTTGCTATGGTCTGATAGCTTTCTTTTAAATGTTTCACAATTTTTCTGAATCATTAGTCTATTCCAAATTATATATTGCTACTCCAAATATAATTATATTCCAAATTATATATATATTGTTATTGGCAAAATTATATCGTTACTAAACAACATTGCTTCTATTTCAAATGGTAGTTAGTGTTAAGTTAAAATAGATTTTAACACAAATAGGGTAATAGAGAAGACATACTTTATTGACTGCAATGGACATTGCTTTGGTGTAATACACTTGAGAGATTCATTGTCTGCGACATCACATTCATTTTCCAGTGGACACTGAAAGTTCACAAGATATTGTTTAGCCTTTTTCTCAGAATTTTCTTTCATTTTCAAAATATATCAATTAAACAATAAAACAAGGCAAATATTTATAGATACTTCTAATTTGTAGCATCTGACTATTCCTCAGACTTATGATTGTGGAAACAGTTTTACTGATAAATTTGAAAGCTTTGCACTAAGATGATTGTTGATAAAAGTCAGAGGTCATTAACTCACAAAACTGCAACATGTAAACCTAATGAGTCCAAGGTTAAAATTTACAACATAACAAAAAGCAAAAAGGCACTTATTCTTCAATGACATGCATTTCCCAATGAGGGTACATGCTCTCTAAGATTGGTGTAAATTAATTGCCATAGCTGGGCCTTTCAGCAAGTGAACTTCAAGAATTTTGAAAATTTGACAATTTATTTCAAAGAATTTTGATATATCTGAAAACCATTGCCATCAACGATTAATTATCATTTAAGAAGTTCATATGCATTGATGTACCATATGTTGTATTGAATCAAGCAGTAAACCTATTTATCCTTTTTCTAAATAGTATGTCTCTCCATAACTTAGGTACAATACATCATGATTTTCATGTTATATTACACATTAAAACATATTTAATTTTCATGTTGTGTTGGCGTTCTGTTATGTTACGTGCTTATGTTGTTGGTTATATCATTTACGATTGAACCATCACTACAGAAACATCATACCCTAAGGTTAATAGGATCGCATATTTCTATCAGATCTCTGGCGGTTTCTTCATCAGTATTCTGAGACACCACAATGTCCTCCACGGTTGTCACCTTTCTCTCGCGACTTACGTTCTTGACGCCAATTACTGACATACATTTCGCTTTGAAGTTCCCAGCTAAAAATGGTTCCGAACAATGTTTGGCAACATCATATTGCATGATTTAGGAACTTCCTTCTTTTACAAAAATTAACCCATTTGATTTAGGCCTTCGCTCTGATCTCTCTCTCAGAAATTGGTTTCCAACTCAGCCTCGCTTGGATTGAAGGCGCTAAAACTGAAATCCTCGAATTTGCCCGCCCCCTCCAGGGGCTTATTAATTTGGGCAACTTCCAGATAGGGGCTTATTTGAAAGGATTGCTTCTGGACGACTTATAAAAATCATGTAAAGGTTGCCATACAAATAGCTTGTTTTGTACCTTTTTCAAGATTTTTAAGATTATTTCATTTGCAATTTTACTTGATAACTCTTTCTAAAACATCATACTACGATATTGTGAATCCGAGCATGAAAATATATTTTAGTTCCAATTATTTATATTTTCATTTTCTTTTCCTCCATGTCTTAATTTTTTAGTTTTTTTTCATTCGCCGATTGAGAGTGTCAAGGATCATGCGCAAGAACGGTAAAATCTGTTGTATCTCGATTTAGCCCCTCTGGAGTATTATTATAACGCAAACATTGGCATGTGAGGGTAGGGGCTGATTCGAGGGTGAGAGCTTTTAAAACAATTTTTTCAGGGAGGGGGGCTAATTTGAGGGGAGTTTTTCGAGAGGGGACAATTTCGAGGTTATACGGTTGTGCAATTTCTCTTCCAAAGTTCTTTATGTACTTTAATTAAGGAAATGTGCCTTTTTAGATAGCTTTAGACCTAGAAACGAAAAATATATACTGTATGATTAAAAAAACTTTCAGAGTAATTATGAGATCGCACAACCATCCAACCTGCCCCCCCCCCTTCGCCTTTGCAGATGCAGGTCAACAAAAAGGCAACAAACGAATCTGTTGACCATCTTATTCTTATAATAAAAGCTTACATTTACCTTCTGTCCTTGTCTAGGTGATTACTAGCTAATCAGTTGCAAAACAGAACTTATACACTGGTTAGTAACAAACTAGAAAATTGTTAACTTATTTGATTAAAGACACACACGAAGCATCTTGGAGTATTAAAACAAAATCAATCTACTTTTATTTTAATGCCATACCTCCATTTGACTATCTTACACAGAAAATAAATTTGGATTATTTCACGAGGAGTTTGCAAATGTAGCTTATCCCCTATTCTTCCATCTCTGCAATTTCATTATTTAAAGTTTTTTTAGTTAAATTTCAAACAATCTGTTAGCAATTATGTTTGGCATGGTTTAGGTTATGTAAGACAGTTTCTATAAACAAGCCAATAGTACCCAAAAATGCAATACTGGAAAGTGAAAATTTTCAGGCAATACAATTTCTATGTGTAACTAAGTCAGTATTTCCCTAGTAAAAATAACCTGACCGTTTCAGAAAAAACATGCCGAGAAAGTGTTGCATTGGTCAGCCTGCTTTTGTCCAGTGATACAGTGGCGGAATGGCCTACCGGAGAAATTTCTCGGAGGGGCCTTGTCATAGATCATTGTCATAAAGAGTACTATTTCAACGAGCCCGTGCCCGGAGGAATCAATCAAGGACGTTTGTAAGATCATAAAACCTTGTACCCAGAATACCAAAGCCTTTGAAAAATCGAGTCGAACAATAATTGAGGCGTAGAAGGGTGAAACCAAAAAGTTTAAATAATTTTGAATGGAAAATAGAAAATAAAATGAAAACAAGACAAGAAGAGACAGCTGTCATTTTATAGCAGCCTCAAACCTCAGAACAATCTTACTTGGGTGCATACTTTAAACTAATGTCTAAATAAACAGAAACCATTTGGGGGGTGGCATTTATGGTGGGTGGCGATCAGGCCCACAATTTTCTGACAAGATAACATCTTGGATCAAACCTAAATTTAAGAAAAATTTATCCTTGGGAAATTTCATGAAATTAGGTAATTTTTTGCGGGACATTTCAGAAATCTTTGCTGACCACGACCTCTAATATAGTAGCTAGAAGAACAATTCATCAATGATTCTTTATATCACGATTGACATCTCATCTAAGCAGGGACCGCAAAAGCGGGGGGCTACGGGGGCTTAATTCCCCTCCCCCAATAATAACAAAAATGTACTTAAACCCATACAAAAATTACCCTGCTCTTTGTTTTTTAGCATGTTTAGCCCCCCAAAAACGTTTTAGCCCCCTAAATTCGTAGTATGCTCTGTGGCCCTAGCTTTAACAATTGATGATACAAGTGGTCGATCGACTACACTGTTGACTAGTCAGTTATAATATTAACATATCATATCATATAATATTAACATAAGTGACCAGTCAATATTAGCATAATTGCGACTTCTTCAAATAAATAGAAATAACAAGAATAACAAAGGCAGAATTTTGATCTGTAAGAGACCATGTTCACATCAAAGGATTTTGTATAAATACATGGACCTATCTTGCCCAGCACATATTCGATCATTGGGTTGACAACGAGTGAAGTTTGAGGTTAGGCAGCCATTGCTCTCTCCAAATCTTTTGTAGATCAGGAATGGGTAAGGGTCCGTCCAGCACTCTCCTAAGCACAAACAATTAAGCATTCTAAAGAAGTCAAAAGTAAACGAGCGAGTCAAGGAATGTGAACATTACAACACACAGCAATTTAGTCGAAATTATTTGTATCTTGAGGAAATTTTATGCAACAATTCATAGTTTGTAGAGCAAATAAAATTCTTACAAAAGAAAGCCTTAATTATAGCGTTGATACCGCATATCATTTTAGACCAATTCGACTTACGGCCTCGTTTCGAAAAAATCTTCAAATTCTTTTGTACAAAATTTTTGACCTCAGATTCGGATTAAGACAATGATTTTATTCTACTTGGAAATTTTCATTATGGTATTGCTCACGATATTGATTTTATGACGACATAAAGACAAAAACTTTATAAGAGATTTGACCGTGATTGGCGACTAGGGGGGTAAAGTTTCACCCGGAATGATTTTTGCGGTCCAATTCCTTTGCAAGTTTTCAAACTTCATTTCTGCATAAAATCTAAAATATAAGCATAAACAAAATGAAAAGTTGTATCCAGTCTTAATCTATTGTGATAAAACCAAATCTGAGCTTAAAAAAGTCGTATAATTAAATTTGGAGAAATTTCTCAAAACGAGGCCGTAAGTCGAATTGGTCTTTGTGGGCGATGCAACATCACGCTATTTGATTGAGAAATTCACTGAGATGCTTTATCTACGAACATTGGGCAAAAAGTGCGGAATTATCTTTAAAATGCACAGACACTGAAAACGGGTATATATTATCTTCAAAAGTCTCTTTACATAAAGAAGATTCATAAAACCCTCATCGTTTGAGACTGAAGTTCTTTTAATACAAAATTGTAGCAAATAATTGCAACATTTAAAAGTTCATTTAATAGTTAATAAGATCTCAGATAGAGACCTATTTATAGATAAATTCCTTTTTAGATGGACTTTATGCTTTTTCCTTAGACTAGGGATAATATGTTTGAATGTGTAGTTAGAACACAATGATTTGTGCTAGACTTTAAATTAGGAATACATAACAAGAAAATATGACCTTAGCTTAGCTTGCAGATATTTGTAAATCTTAAAAGAAATAGTTACAGAGACCGCGGAAGAGAGGCCCAAAGATGAGGGGGCTGGAGACCGACCCAAACTGTACTTAGAAAATAAAATAATAATCTTGCTTTAGGCTTTATGCATGTTCGGCCCCCTTAAAATTTTGGCCCATCCAAATCCGTTTTATGTTCCGCATTTCCTGATTAGGTATGGCAAGGCTTGGCTATAGTTTCCTATGACCTGCCTTAATTCCTTTGCAGTCATTATTCTATTCTCTCTGAAAATGAAGCTGCTTGAGAAATAGAAAAGAAATAAAGTCAACTAACCAGAGTTAACGATTGCACCAACTTTGAAGCCTTTAGATGCTGCCAATGTAAGGCACCTACAGACAATATCTGAGAGCTGTTTGTCGTAGTTGTTCCAGTCAATCGTGTGACCGTTCCACACTCTCATTGATGTGTCCAATTCCGTTATGAGTATAAATTGAAACAAGCCGTTAAAGTATTTATCATAGAATATGTAACATCCAACTGGTTCGTATTTGACATCACAATGTCCTATAAGCAAGAAAACATGGTTGCGTGTTTAAAAATTGTATCTTTTCAGTTGAATTATGGAGTATTTAGCGAAACTGCAAGAAGTAGATTCAGATTGAGGCGTGGGGTGAGATGGGGGTCATGACTGAAGTGAAGATATTTTCTAAGTCCGGCAATATTGCCAACTAGTCATGGATAGCTACCTCAAAACTATCCTAAAATCCTGAAAATAGTTATTTGAAGAAAAGGACTAAGCATTAGGCCTTCCATTAGCAAAATGCAGAACAATACAAGTTGAATATTGAATTAAAGAAAACAAACTATTTTATGGTTCAGCTACACTTTTTTATAAGAACAACTTTATATGAACACGAGCCTCAAAATTTGTGAGAAGTTAAGAAAAAATTCAGAACAAACTGAGGCTGAGCTACAGTAGAGTGACAATGTTTCATTTCAAAAACGAGGAGTTTTGCTATCTAGGGTGTTTTTTCGATGAATATTTCAAAACACTCGGCTAATAAAGAATGTCTCACTCACTTTGTTGGAAAACAAGGTCTTTAAACTGTCCTTGTAGACAATCGCTAGCACTCACTGCTTACTACTAATTCAAGGACAAATTAAGACCAGCTTAAGATTCTCGAAAAAATTTGGAACAACCAGCATGAACTCCAATTTATTTTTTCTTAAAAAAAAGAATGTAGCTTTGAGCCACAATGACGTGTTAATCGGAGTAAGGTGAAAAGTGGGGGGGGGGGGGTGGTTGACAGAGACAAATTAAAGTACACAAAAATCAAGGTCTCCGAAAAATTCTACCAAGGAATAGGCTTTTTATGAACAATTTTTAGTAGCTTTATTCCATTATTTGCAAGTAGTTAGCCTTACTTAGTTGTTTACTATATTATGTAATTAGCCAACTTTAAATTAAAAGATTAATAATATTAATGATAATAAGGTAATTGGACGCAAATTTCTCTTAAAATCAATACACGTTATGTTATCTACCGTAAAAGCTCTATTACGCCCCTGTCTCTGAAGCCCTCCTCTCTATTAAACCCCCCTTTACCAAGCAGAAATTTAAAATGAGCCACTCTATTTTTAGCCGCTGATGTGAAACAAAGATAAACTTGCAAATTGAATGGGTCTCCTGACGGGTGTTATGATGAGAAGATCATGTGCATTATACACGACCCATATAAAGACAAACTTAAAAGATGTCTCAGGGTTATCAATTGATGCTGGTTGCTCTGATGAAGATGAGGACATTATAATTGATTAATTTTAATAAACATTCGAAGGCCCCCCCCCCGGGTCTTAATAGAGCTTTTACGGTAAGTCTTTTCGGCTTTCTGAAGTATGAACCAAGTAGATTTCATAGAAACAGTGATGAGTAACGCACATAAGCCAAAATGTAATTTACTTTTGTATTCAAATCCTGGGCAGCTGCACGAGTCAACACAAGTCATTTCTTCAAAAAACACACCATGTTTTTTACAATTTTCACCCTTGGAATAAAACAATGGAAAATCTTTAGAAAATAGCATATAGCTGTATTTATAATCAAAAGACACAACAAGTTATAGGTTTATAATATCTTTCTAGAATGTAATATAGCATGTAACTAGCGGCTCAAAGTCAGAATTCCAGATAATTAGGTAGAATATTTCATTATCCATTTAAAAAATGATCATTTTCTGTGAGGTTGCAATTACACATCCTTAGCTTTCACCAGTCTTGATTTACTTCAAGCATTTTTTCGGTCGTTTTTACAGTTTGAAAAAGGTAACAGTGCTCTTTTACGTCGCATCAGAAGTTGCTCTCTAGTCTATTCAACCGGCAGAAGCTAGACCCCGTGATGCTGGAACGACAAACGACAAGGTCGTAGGCTTAAAAAATGTAGATGTTATGAAAATGGGCTAGAATATCAAAGGCTAGACCCCTGTCCGGTTCCCTAGAATATAATGAAGATAAACACTTGCCTTTAAAAGACCCATACTTGTTGCAAATTAGATACTACTGGAAAAAATAACCCACTGATGACGTAAAAATTGAAGCTACGGACAACTTCGCTCAAGTCGACTCGTTGAAATTGAAAACTGCCGGTTCTGAAGGAGAGGTTTGTTGGAAAAGTTTGTGTGTCGGAAAAGTTTTTGACCATTGCAAAGTTCTCCGTAGAAATGAAATTTCTCTTACTAGCATCCTTTCTTTTGTCGGAGATATAAACCTCCATCCAACTCTGTCTGAAAGGAATCTCGTGGATAGCTCACTATCCCATGCCTTTCCATTAAACTCACAAATGCTTTCATTTACATTTATGTTAATAGACTGGCATCTGTGGTGTTTGATGCATTCATACATGCAGCTCTCAGGACCAATTCCCTCCAAACTGAGAAATGGTTGTTTCATTGTCTTGCCCTCTTTCACAATGCTAAAGTTTGCAAACGTTTTGCAGGGCAGTCGAAGAATTTCTGCATTGAAGTGATATGTCACAGAAAACAAACTCAGCAATCTAGAATTGAAAAGACTGTAGAAGCAGAAACAGAGGGAACCGTTTCGTCAAAGGGGCACATGTCTAAAAGATGCATGCCTTGCTTTTTCAAACGAATTTCTAACAGCGTTTAGGGCTATGTGTGGCACTTGGCTTTGCTCCTGGAAAGGCATGCTACATTTTCTCATGGATCTTTGCACGATAATCTTTTATCAGTGTAGGCTTACGATTTACAAAAAATCTATTTCAGAAACCTAAGTGTCAGAGCATGGGGGCATTGGCTCCAAGCTCCCTATTCCCCCTTACGAGGACAACCGCTGGGTAAATCAAATCCTTATATTAAACAAACTTAACAACAACGCTGAAAAGTGCAATTTTATCGATGTTTCAGTGTGCTACAGTTTGAAGTGTGAAAAAGGCTTTTTTGAAAAACCTACGTGGAGTTTCCATAGTTCAGATACTTGAGGATGTGCCTTGAGCAAGGGCATGGTTTTTCAGACTTCTAGTCGGCTTAAGGGTATACTGTTTTGCTTTTTTGGTCCAGCCAAGTAGAAATTCATCATGTCAACTCATGTTTTACTATATTGTTAATATACTATCAAGATGATATACTAGCAAGTGAAACAATTGTTGTAGAAACTGGTCTAGCCAAAAGTATAATTTTAGTAAAAATCTTTTCTTGTCCGCGGCACCAATTTGAATATGCTCGTGGTAGACGCCTATCCAAAATTTCATCAAAAGCCCCTCGTGGAAAAACCTTCAGGTTTTTAACGCCAGACATATCAGAAAAAAATGTTTCGAATATGAGAATTCCACTCACATAACTTTCATCATGACAAAAGCTTCAACGTTCTGTTGTGTCATACTGGAATTCCTCCCCACCTCCAATGCTTTTAACACCTTCACGGCTCCTATCCAAATCAATTGAAAATCGTAGTAGAAAACAAGAAACATCTGCAGAGTACATGTTTAGCTGTCGAAAACTAAAACAAAATGCATCTCGATAAAGTAACACTGAGGAAATGTCGACGACTAAGATGTTTCCGTTTGTTCTAAAGGATACTGCTTCAGTTGTCCTTGTCCGCAACTATTATCATTCGAAAACTACGTTTTGCCAATGTTTATAGTAGTCAGTGACAACAATCTTCCAAATAAGTCAGGAACATCACAAAATGGAAAACTTTAACTAGAAAAGAAGATATTATTTTATATGTGCATAAAAAGTCATAATCGGTGTCGGACACAAATCCATAGTACAATCGAGGTGTAATCGTCCGGAGGTGTAATCGTCCGGAGGTGTAATCGCCCGGAGGTGTAATCGCCCGGAGGTGTAATCGCTTATTCAATTATCCGCCTTCTCGGGAAACAGGGTTTCAAAATGCATGTGGATATTCGTAAACTTTATTTTTTAATTATGCCCTTTATTTTATCTGGTTTGATTTTAACATGACGATAGGAAAGGTTTTACAAAGTTTTAGAATAAAATTTTTAGGCAAATAAATGGAACATGGTTTAGCAATAAAGTATGAATATAAAACATTAAGAAGCCCTGTGTGGGCTATTGATCTTGCAGCAAAACTAAAATACAATAAATAATATCCTGAAGTACATATATAAACACCAATATATATAATGTTAAAATTTGCTGGAAAATGAAAGCTCACCCATCAGGATTATTCCATCATTATTGAATTCGATTAGCCTTAAGCTGCTTTTTATAAACAGTCGAAACACTGGTAAAGGACTAGACTTGACAGTTACCTTAGATATCTATCACCTGACGTAATAGACAGCGGTTCAGTCCCAGGTCAAAGCTGTGTAGAACCCATTTGATTTCAAATTTAGCTAAACCTGCTTTAAACTAATTACCTCCCAGCAGGTCGAAATAGAATGTGACTATTAAAATATTTTCTTAGAAATGTTTATTGTTATGAAAAACGTCTTTAAGAAATTCTCGATCTTATCTCTAAGCACGAAGAATTGAATGGTTTTAGGGGCAGACATTCTGCTGGTCAAGAAAACGACAATTCAAAGTTATAGACTTTTATTTGGCAATACAAGTAAAAACCTAAGGCTACAAATGACCTAAAGCTTAAAACATATAAGGTAACTGGCAAAGAAAATCAATTTAGCCAGTAAAATTTTTACAAAAAACTTGAAACGAAAATGCTGCGTCAGATGTCATTCTGGTGAAAGCATCAGAGTTGATTCAGATCCAAAGCATAAGCAGACCTTTTTACTCTGGCTGAAAAGGTTCCCTAAATTGCTAGGAATCTGCAGATCTCATCCAGGTTGCCATGTTGCTTATTCCGATATCTTTATACCACATCTTACATAGTGCAAGAAAGAATAACGATGATAATCTTTTTAAATGCTAGTGCTAAAATATAGCAGATACTAAAACATACTAATATTAAGCAAAAATACAGATTGCATTACGTAAACTATTTGTCGCTGGCTGAACAAGAGCATTAATTTTCACAAAACCATTGGTTGCCTTGGTTGACGATGGCGCCTCACCTCAGTGATCTGATACCTTAAATTGGTAGTTTTAATTCTCAGGAATCTTGTGTAGAGGTGATGCCTCTTTTGGTAGGCAAGAAAGCTCGAAAAGCTGCTTTGTAGAAAGGGAAAGCAACTGAAGTTCTATTGCTTTTTCATAAAATTTGGGAGTCAATGGCGATGTTCTTTACAGATCGATAATTGTCCCTAACGAACGGAACATTTTTTATCCAACTCCAGAACCGATTGTTTTTGGGAGATAGGAGTGTTCTTTGGAGTATACACGTGTTGAAACAATCACGGGATGTGCTATACCATCGATATACATTTTTTAAACGTGACATTTGCAAATTCCCCAGGCCAGGACTCCAAACGCTTTATGCTATTTTCCCGTTAAAGAAAGGAAAAATATATCTTTTAGCTCGTATTTCTTCTTTAGTTTCGGGAAAACAGCACAATGTGTTTGGAGCCCTTTGAAGTCTAGAAAATTCATTTGAAACATGTTCTTGTCGCATTTTCCCTGAAAAATGTTTTAAAATGCTAATTTCATAGGTTCTTTTTCCCAAAAGATGAATGGTTGAGAGTTCATAGGCCCTCATTATAGTAGACCAGGCGGAGAATAGGGGAATGGTCCCCCGAGGGCGAAATTTATGGGACCGAGTGCTTTTGGTCAATTCGAGGGTGCTGATTTCAAAGATCGATGTTATACGGGGAATTTGGGGGGCCATCAGCCTCTTTTTCGTGTTTTAAGTCTCGTTTTCGTGTATTTCATGGAAACGAGTAAGAATAAAGTTTAAAGTGGAAATAGGTGAATTATTAAAGTAGATTTGGTATCCTTGCTGGGCATTGACGTTAAACATTTGATTTTAGCTTGTCAGGGGGACAAGCAGCCTCGTTTTCACAATGCTAACACTTTGATGTCAAATTACGTGTAAAATGAAGTCTTAACATAGCAAGAAATAACAAACATTTTTCAACGTAATTCATCTACATCTACCAATTACTGTCTTTCTGCTATAAAGAAGATTCTGACAGGGTGATAGGCCGGAGTGAGAGGTCATGAAAATGTTCACAAAAGAGAGACAATTGAGAACCGAGTGATTGGAACCCAGGCCAAGCCGAACCTTTAGTTTCTTCCAGGTTTCTGGGTACATCACTTTCAGAAATAAGTAAAAGTAAATTACCTTTACCAATGGAAGTTTTATTAGAAGTGTTGTCTATACCTTGTCAAAATATAACAAACACTGTAGAAGAAAAAGTCAGCAGTTGCTTGTTGACTATGGAGGCAAGGGGAAGAGATCGAATGAATGAATTTAAAGAAAGGTTAACCAAAAGTCCTGCAGATAAAGACTTCTTTGGTCCCATCAAGAGAGAGCCTCTGACAACCTTCAAGGACTCATCAGTTAAGACTAGGCTAAAGATTAAAGGAAAAGAAAAAGAGCTCACATTTCAGAGATACATTCTTGGCATTCTAGTTGCATACTCGAACAAGCATGAAGCAGGTGTGGATCTCGAGACCACCCTGTCATTTCCACTTGCACCAGTATCGATGCCTCTCAGCACAGCAGATGGTGCCATCAGAAAGACCGTTAAGAGCAAACTGTATGAAGCTGCAATGAGCGACTTATTCATCGTTAGTCCAGATGAACTACCACCTACGGAGATATTGAATACGCACTTCTTGGACCTTGCCGCAGCCATTCAAAGTTTGGTTGGCCCTACATCTACTATAAGACAAATGGCGACCAACATACTTGCTTCAATTCCAGCCCGGTACACACAAATTGTTATTGTCTGTGATACATATAAGGACAACAGCATTAAGGGTGGTGAAAGAGTTAAGAGGGGTGTCAGTGGGAGATACGTTTTGACAAGCCCTGACATGAAGGTACCATGTGACTTTAACAGCTTCCTCTGCAACGGCAAAAGCAAAGGAATGTTGTTTGATCTTCTTTAGTTAGCAATAATTGAGGATCGTATTCAACTATTTAGCCGGACAGTAATGATCTCCAACAAACTACGAAAGTTACAGAGGATACTGTTGAAGTTCTTGAACACTGGGCCAGTAACCTCGAAGAAGCAGACACAAAGTTGGTGGCACTGGTTAAAGCTTGGGACTTTCCGCTCGATCATGCAGCCATGATTCGATCTCCTTCTGGTGACATCGATATTCTAGCATTGTTCTTGTCACACGAATTCAGCGGAACGAAAATTCTAGTAGATAATTGTGTTGGAAAACAACGAAAGAAAATCGACATGACATGATCTGGCCTTGAGATGGAGAAAAAGAAAGCGCTACTTGGCCTACACGCTTTTTCTGGCAAGATTATATTTCAAGTTTTTTTAGAAAGGGAAAGCAAGCATTTTGGAGGGCAATGCCAAAAAAAGCTAAATTCATTAGCCTTTTTACTGAGTTGGGAAACTCCGCGCAAGTGCTCGACAATCTCTTCAATGGTTTGGAGAAGTTTGTGTGTGTATTGTATGGAAACCAAGGAATATCCTCAGTGAATCTGCTGCGACACAAGTTGTTTGTGCAGAAATTTGAAAGAGAAAGGAAGATCATGGATCTCAGTCCTACCGCCATGCAAAAAAAACCTGAGGATTCATATTCTCCCTGCAAACTTCGTCGCCATGATGTTCAGGCAAGCTGATGGTTTGATGCTTCAGTTGAGCTCTCCAGCAGATCATGGTTGGGATGAAAAAGGATCAGTTCGTTGGAGTGAAATTTGTTACCCGGAAGATATATCTGAGCTTTTGCTTAATCAAGCTGAAGTCAACGAAAAACTTGAAACTGAGGATGTCGAGTGTAGTGACTCTGAAGACGACTTTGAGGACCTTTGAAACGATCTAGCTTCTCCTTCAAACTTTGCTTAGATGATCCGCAATGATTTCCATTATTGTTATTAATTAATTAGTGATAAAACAGTGCTGCATTTCCCCTATGAAATTGTAAAAATCAGTCTGGCTAGAGAAATGTTTAGCAGAAATTGTAAAATAACGCTAGTGGATCGTTAAAACGAGGCTGTTTGCCCCCCTGAAAAGCCAAAATTGAATGGTTAACTTTAATTCTCAGCAAAGATACCAAATCTACTTTTTAGAATTCACCCATTTCCACTTTAAACTGTTTTCTCGCTTGTTTCCATGAAAGACACGAAAACGAGACTTAAAACACGAAAAAGAGGCTGATGGCCCCCCAAATTCCCCGTATAACATCGATTTTCGAAATCAGCACCCTCGAATTAACCAAAAGCACTTGGTCCCATAAATTTCGCCCTCGGGGGACCATTCCCCTATTCTCCGCCTGGTCTATAGGAGCCGGTTTCATAATGACCGAGTTCATCAATTTAAAGCTAATTATAAGTAATATTCTGTTTTAACTGACATTAAAATCACTACAAGCAATCAGTGCTTGACCACCAATTGCCCCCCATTTTTGGGGTTAGACCCCTGCTTCTTAGAAAAGCCTCTTCAAATACTTGATCAACATTCAAATTCGCAATCTTTGCAAAAAAACTACATTAGGAAATTTGAGTCGTAAATCCTCTGCTCAGGTGACAATACCCCCCCATCCAGCCTCTGGACAAGACTCTTGGCAGGTTTCAGTTACGTTAACAGTTCCGTTAACAATTGCGTTTGCGGTTACGTTCACGGTTGCATTTACGGCTACATTTACAGTTGCGTTTACGCTACATTAAATCACCACAAGCAATCAGTGCTTGACAGACAAATTATCCCTAATGTCAGTGATTCTGCTCAAGTCATTTATTGGCATGTTAACTTTCTATTTCTTCTCTTCTTGCATTATTTATTAGCCGAATGGTGTTCTTTTTATGGCCTTCTTTGGTGACTGGCGCACCGACAGCTCAGAACTAAATGGTCCAAATGATGAGAAAACGCCACCTAACCATTATTTCCTAACGATTTCTGTTTGGTACATGCAAAACAAAACATTCAGCTGACCAAAAAGTATCTGGTTACCTAAAACGTTGTCGTGAATTTGAATAATTCAATACGAGAATTTCAATGTTGAAAACAAACATATTAAAAAAAATTGTAAGCGGAGGAAAAATGTAAGATTTTCAGCTTACGCCGTAAGAATTGGAAATTGCCGAAATTATTAGCCAGGTATGTGAGCATTGATCTAATCCAATGGAACTTAGGAGAGCTATATTCCATCTGTATTTCAAAGGACACTTCTAATTAAGTAACTAGCACAATGCCTGATGGTGGCATATCTAAATGAATTTACAGTCAGGCACGTTCTGGCCCGGTGGCAAACACCCCTGAAAAAGAAAAGACCTTATCTAAATTTACTTTCGTTTATTCATGTGTATGTCAATGTATTTAACCTCGTTTATTTGCCACTTCTGTTCGAAAACTGAGAAATATAAAAACGGACCAAGACCAAGTTTACCAATATATGGGTCAATTGAACAATGTATGTGGACTTAACATACATCCTTGTTTTGTCTCTGTCTTGTATCAAAACCTCTTAGCTATCATATGTACTATTGGAAACTTTACTCTCGTGAACAGAAGGGCTGCAGCGTGCCCGCGTAGCGAGCGTAACTGGGCTATCTGTACTATTGTAACACAGTACCCATTAACTCTAATTTACCACTGTTCAGCACAATCGCCTGTGTCAAATGCCTTCTAATTAGAGCGCAGAAAACATTCATTAAGGTTCCACAGGCTGTGAGCCGGAGGAATGTTATCCAAAGATACAGAAGTTTCGAGGAAGGCAATGTATACCTCACAAGAGTATATAAAGTAAGAAGAATTTACTGTTGTGCTTGAACTTTTCTTTTTTTGACAAAGCGTGAAGATAAAACCATAGATGGTTACTTAAAGCATAAAAAAAATTAAACGATCCCAATGCAGGAGAACTGGTCCTCTGCGAATTTCTTCAGGTAACAAATCTCTTCTTGAATCCGTTTTATTCATTAAATCGTCCAAATGTGCTTGTAGCCTTGAATCAAGCATATATTTCTATTTTTAATTTAGTTTAATCTAATTTAACTAATTTAGAACTCTATGATAACATGCTAAAGCAGGTTACAAGATCTCGTAGACGAACACTGCAAACTCCTGCCCAGTGCAAAACATGGCGTCTGGACTGCATGCAGTATATCTACCGTCTACGCAGTGGTTTGATGCGCCAAACCTCCAAGGAATTGTTGTCTGATCTTCCGCTGTCCAGCATTCTCCTATGTGAAAAAACAGAAATACTCAAACGCAGTAAGCACTGAAACGCAAGATCCAAAATGAATATTATGATTTCATAAACTGCGGATAATTTCATGGACCATTGTTAGCTAAAATATATGGCTTTGCAAAACATATCACAACATTGCTCACTCAAAAGACATGTTGCAAATGTTGAGGGGTAAAATTCCAAGAGTTTACTCTGCTTCTCAATACTTGTATCTCAATGTTTACATTTGTATCTCATAAATTGTTTATTGTTAGTTATTGCAAAAGTAAATGCACACTTATCCAGCTTTTGCAGTTTCTAGAGGGCATGAGGCAGATTTCAAAACACATGCTTGCAAAGGAGAACTTAAAAGCTTAGTTACATCAATGGTTGCGTAGGTGAAGGACGGCTTATTTGCGCATAGTGATTAAAAATTTAACAGTAGCTGCATTTTAAAAAATGTTGAGAATTCTCAGAAAGGTAAATTTTTCATTTAGAATGGCAAAATCTTTGATAATGGAAATTTTTTGATACTCTAAGGTGCGTGTGAAGAAACCGGTGGGTTTTTCTATTGGGGGATGGGGGCGTTTATTGTTACTCTAGGCAGGAATAGGCGTTTCTCTGAAGGCCATTATCATTCCGCGGAGAAGATTATACATAGCCACGTCTACATAGATTCTATATTCCTTATAGTTCACATCTTCGATCTCCACCGACCTGGTAGATAGACGTTAAGTGAAGATTCAGGGGTATAAAACTTTTTTAAGGATTAAATTTTTGAATGCTCCTTAAGAAGATACTATGTCAAGAAAAAATACTTTCTTGAGCAAAATTTGAAGGAAAGTGCTCATATCAAATGTCGATTTGCTTCTCCAGGAAAATATTATTAAAACAATGATTGGAAAGTCATTGCACGGAACTCTCAACGAGAAATTAAACTTATTGTCCACCCTTGCAAAATGTCTTTGGGACCATCTGTTGCAAAAGGTCACAAATTACAAACTGTTTACGGTAGAAAAGACCGATATAGCACCCCTTCTCCCTTAAAAACAAAGTTGGTCGTAGACTTCAATATCAAAAATATCTTACAAGGAAAAAGTGGGCAAAACTGAAGCACTTTTCGTTACCAAAAACAATGTTCTTCGGGCAGGAGGAGAAGGGAATACAACCGAAAATGAGCAGTGTTATTCAAAAATGCTTGTTATTATATTAGGGCCAGAAAGAAGCTTCAAAAGAGAACTACAAGGTAACTGAGGCATAAAGAATAATCAACTATTTGGAGAGTGGGTAGCCCGGCTACTAAAAGGCTTACAACCTACCGTATTCCATCAAACCAGCGTATTTATGGCCTAATCGCGAGACTTTTGTAACGCATCTGCAAACAATATCTCGCAATTGCTCGTAATATCCTCCCCAGTCCAATACATGACCGTTCCACAAGGTATGTCTCACATCTCTTTCCGTTGATACTAATAGCGGTAGTGCCTTACCACGAGGAGGGTTTGAAACTCCATTGAAACAGTTAAGTCTTTTGAAACGGACAGGACAGTAGGCTAAAGGATGGAAAAGATTACTGAATTAAATTATTCTCAAGAATTTCAAAGTTGCGTTCGGCCTGGAATCATGTGGGGGGGGGGGGTGTGTTGTTGGCTGGGGTATTAAAAAACTTTTAAGGCCAGCCCATTTTTAGCACTGCAATGCAAAATTTTGATTATTCAATAAGCATTGAGCCTCCTCTGAACCCCCTATCTATGCCACTACCCATCACAGAAGAATTTTCAAGAAACACATCCTTTCAAATACCTGAAAACCATAATTTGATAAAAACTTACGATATATACAATACTTAACATTGTTGCTACAATGCCTGCCAAAGAACATCAACAGCATAACTGCAATTTACATTTGCAGTTTCTTTCCCCATTATCAAGCAACGCTGGACCATTCTCAATAGAAATATATCATTCAAATGTAACTCGTAGTTTTGAAATTAGGATAGTGATGTGCAATTCCAACATTGCTTTGAGAGAAAGGGGCAACTTAGCTAGCTATAGGCGTGGATTGAAAATAAATCTAGAATTGGCTAGCATTGTTAGGTGGACGACCTTGGTTAACCATTTGGGGCCCGTGGGCTAACGATGTATTGATTTGTGCCAGCCTTTATTGAGTGGGGATGTAGGAGGTGTCATACTCCCATTTCTTTATGCGTTTGTCGGTAAATCTTTTATTGGTCCAAAAATCCCTGGTTTGTCGGTAAAATCCCAAATTTCTATTTATTTACGTTGTCGTCGGCAAATTTCACTTCTGGAGACCCTCTAACCTCTAGTCTCCATGGACAAGCTACCTCTGCCTATTGGTAATTGAAAGCTTACATCGGCATAAAGGGGAACTCTGTCTGACAAACGGCACGTTTTTGAGTTTTATGAAAGATTGAGGGGGCATAGTGTGGGTAATAGTAAAAAGAATTATCATACACATAGCTGCAGATTTAGAATAAAATTACATTTAATGAATTGTTATACCATCATATGAATTACTAAAAGTATTTTACTATTCACCATTTTGTGACTTAATGACGGAAATTCGATTTTTGATTGAAAAGCAACCTTGTTTCTATTAATTCGTGTTTGTGAAGCATTCAGCAAAACTCTTGAAATCGACAGAAATAAGCGGATACCTTACCTTTGTATTCAAACCCAGGGCAGCTACAGGTGTCTACGCAATTCAAGGTCTCCGAAAACAAGCTTTGCTTCATGCAATTTCTACCCTAAAATGGAAAATAGTCCACAGTTTAAGTTATCTACATAACGCTATATCTACCCAAACTAGAATTGAAGAGTATGCATCCTGTCACACTTTTCCCATCAGATAACTTACTAGATATCAAATGTTTATTGAAAAATACATTATAAGCACTATCAATTATATGGCTTAGCTTCAGGACTCGAGCCCTCCCCAAAGAAAATAACAAGAAATTCATTGTCTCAAATAAAAATCAATGTTGTTCAAATTTTTTCAAACAATGTTGCCTCTCCGAAAATTCCGCTCTTTCTACGCCACTCTTTGGTTAGAAATACTCAAAGAAGGATCAATAAAGAACTAATTATATTTATGTCTTCTTACCAGCAGTCGTTTGTTCGATGTTGACAAAAACGTCCAACCAGGCAGGGTTGAAAGCCAGAAGAAAGCTAATGCACTTTGGCCAGACCGAGAATTAAGCTGACAAATGCTTTGATCTTCATTAACGTTAATAGAAAGGCATCTGCGATCTTTGATGCATTCATATTTGCAAATATCAGCATCAATGCCTTCTAAAGTGAGAAATGGTACCCGCATAGCCTTGCCTTTCCTCACAAAGTCGAAGTTTGCAAAAGTTACACAAGGAAGCCGAAGAATTTCTGCATTTGCATGCAAAGCCAGGTTGAGAATAGCTAAAGCTCTAGAAAAAATTTATTTCGAATAAACAGCTTGTGAAAGCCAACAATACATCAAGTTTTTAAAAGCAATGGTAATCTGTTCATAGTCATATTCAGGCATATTAAAGGAACTACAAATAAACTTATGCTTTTATTATCAAGACCTTGCTAGGTTGCTGAAAGAATTAGAAAAAGATGAAAATTGTTTTAAAATGAATTGCCAAGTCTTACAGCCTGAAAGGAATGGACGATTAAAGATTGGAAACACATGATCAAAGAAAGTGTTTTTTCTTAAGAAAATAAAACAAGAGGGTGCTAAGGCGTAATGTTTAACTTTCTTTTATTTAAATGTTCTATTTCGTGGTATACAGCAAAATAATCACTATCATTTCTGGATTCTGCAAAAAAATCATGAACCGACAATGATCCGGGTCTGGAATGAGTTATTTTAAGTTAAGGTAACAGAAGTGAAAAATCGATCCAGCAGTTCTGTGGTAATTCCTGTTCTGGTATGCACAACTGCCAGAAACCTGGTATGCAAGTTAAAATCTACCCGACCAAAGTTTCATGAATACAATAACAGATTCGTGGGCGATTTTCATTGACGAAAATCAAAGTAATTGCAAGGTTTTCCTTTGCAATGTGTTTTCATGCATCCCAAAAGGCCTCCAATCAGTAAATAATTAAGTCCCATTTATAGGTTTCTTTACTCTTCAAAGCTTCTACTCTTCAATCATAACAAATATAATTTTGATTCAATTTTGAAATATCACTCAACATATGGCAAGGCTTTGCAGTGTTTTAAGATTCTAGATCGGTCAGTAATTCTAGATCATTCTCAAATCAAATGCTAGCAGAGGGATTGATTTTTCATATCTGAAGTAAAGGAAATAATATTCTTATCATAACAAATATCATTTTGATTCTGCAAACAGACTGAATAACTGATTAGAACAATCACTGATCAGGGACCTTATAGGTAATTAGTTATCAAAATGCCCACTAACGTTTGCTTATCATTTTACATACATAAAAAAAATCGTTTAAAACACGCTTACGTCTCCATATCGAGGCCCATTGTTCCCATTTGTATCTTGATAATCGTCTTTTATCATCCAAGGTTTCAATGAACACTGAAAGGCACAGCCTTTTCGGTTTTGACTAACCATTCAAAACTATGGAAGTTCAGTGAAAATCAAATCTTTAAAGCATTGCCACATCATAAGTGGGGATTAAAAGTGACATGACAACGATCAACCCTACCTTTGCTTCTGATGAAAAAGGAAAAAGGCGTCCTCAATTGACCCTCATTTATTCACAGTACTGTTCGTATTGAATGTATCTTGCACAAAAGTCTAAAAAACAGTAGGGCATGACATTGGCTGGATAAAAATTCTATTTAGTTAAAAATCAGCAGGATCCTTTGACACAGGCTAAAAAAAAAATTTCTTTGTCCTTGCAAAGACGAAACATCTAAAAAATTTCTTTACAGAAAAATACCAAAGAGGGTGCTCGAAAGAAAACAACAAAGTAACTGAAAACAATTACGAAGGTGCTCAAATTGAAAACAAATGACAACAAAATGAAGTAACAGTCTATAAACAAAAGATGAAGACTGACATAGGTGGTGTGAGTGCGAAATAACTATATAGCTTTTTTAGGGAAAAGATGTTTGATTGGTTCTTTATAGACCAACTGGCAACAATCACAAGAATCTGACATGCAAATATTTTCCGAGAGACAAACTTTCGGACAGAGATCTGTCAGAAAAGTAATTTGTATGAAATTTAGAGATGGATGAAAGGCTATCATGCCGAAAGTTTCTATATAACCTGCGCAGTTCAAATTGACTGAACAAGACAAAACGTTACAATCTTTAAACGTAAGTAGGTTTGTGAAACTCTTGAAAAAAGTTGTACTTCCAAGCAAGTAGGAACACCAGTTCAAACAAATAACATCATCATTTTATCGTCTATCTAAAAGTCAGCGTCAGTGAGAGTTCGATACTGAAAATTTCTTAACATTCTCACAAAGAAATAGCTTACTTTGAAACACAACCATTTCTTGGCAAATAAAAAAACGCTATATACAAAAACAGAAACCAAATTACCTTAACAAACAAAACACAGAATTCAAACGATGGTTAGATTTAGCGACAATATAAAAATTTTACTGGAATAAGTTGGCGTCTATTAAACCAGCGTCTACCTAAAGCATAAACTTACAAAAAAACCAAAAAAACCGGTAACCATGCTTGCACACGTAATTGAATTACAACACAAAGAACTCTTACAAAACGAAAACACAGCACAAAAGGGTTATACAATTAAAAAAAACGATGCAGGACAAATAAATTACCCATTTGACCGGGCAAACACATTGCGTTAAATAAATGCCACATTCGACCATTTCACAGGGTTTCTTACATTTTTTCAACTTCAAGACTGACCTGACTAGGTGTTGCTTAAATATAACATCTGATAAGATGTTCAAAACCATAAGATTTTCAAAACCATCTGCATATCACGTCCAAAGTACGCTACATGTGCCTTCACTTCCATAGAGAACATTCAATAAATTTTCATCTAATTTGCTATGAAAGCAGCTTTTCGCTTCTGAATTATTAAATGATGCTGCAATTGTGAAATATCTCTAAGCCCATGGTAAGGCTTGACAGTGCTTTCAAGAGAAGGTTTTTATTTGTAATTGATTTTGCTAATCTGCTGTTTTTAAGCTGCAATGGATACTCGAATGATAACATCTTGTCGATAGGCGTAACAGGCCGCGAATACTAAATGACTTTAGGCAAAACACCAAGGTACCGTGATAGAAGCTTCCTCCTGTGCTTTTATGAAGCTTATCCTAAAAATTGTGTAGTTACTTCAATGTTCATTATTTGCTGTGCTTGCAATTGTGTGCATGTCGTAGACACAAGTCAAATATCACAAGCTTAAATAGCACAGCAAAAGTTAGGCTTAAGCGAGAATAAAAAAGATTGGGAAGGTTAGTTAACACTCCTAACGAAGACTATACAAGCAGCGCTATGCCACAGAAAAAAGGAATTGACTAAAGCACATACATTTGGTTATTCTGCCACGTAACAAAATTTTAGATGATATTCCTTGTCTACATAATGTTTTGGCAGCCTGTTGCATACATTTGGTTATTCCGCCACTTGCTTTAATGAAAGGTTCCTTAAATTTGAACTAAAAACTTGAAGTAACAAAAATTTAGATGATATTCCTTATCTACATTATGTTTTGGCAGCCTGTTGCACGGTAATTTGCAGAATAAAACATAGAAACTTAATACCATTAGATATCAATTATCGTTGATTATTGTGTGGTACCCCCTCCAACTTTTATTTATCGGCACATTAAGGATTTTTGCCGGGCAAAAGATGAATTATTGTACTCACTCTGTAACCTATTCGCAGCAATTGTAACATATTGACATTTCAGTGTAGTTGAACTTTCAAAGCATGGCACTAGAGTATAAACTTTGAAACATAAACGCATAAAAGTAGCATATAAGAGGATTTATCTTTTGACCACACCCTTAAAGAGTGAGACACGCCCTTTTTTGTCGGCAAAAATCACTTTTTGACCCCTCCAAACAATTTTCTGGCTCCGTCCCTTACCATAACATAAAGAGAAAGCCGTTTTTTAACAGCTCAGGTTTGGTACATTTGTTATTGATTGCAAATGTAACTCAAAAGTGATTGCTTTCTTGTACGCTTATTCACGCAAAAAAATTGCCAGCAAACAAAAACGTTAACTTTCACAGCAAAAAACTTCAAGAATAATTATACATGGCTAATTTTTCTAGCCTCTGTATAACTTATGGAAGGTTCTGGCTTGATAATGAAATTTTTAAATCAAATCAATGACACAAATAAAAGAAAGAAAAAACCTTTTATAAACAATGTAGTATAAAAAATTCAAGACTATATACGGAGTTATCTGAATTCGGTTTAACGGTGACTTGCGTGTAAATCTGGTTTCTTTGGAACATTTGAGAATTTGATAAAATTATTCTAATAGGGAAAAGACAGCCAATTACATCTAAAAGGAAACAGGCCAAAATCATAGCAGCCTCCTGTGGTAGGCCCACTTTCAAAATTGCACAAAAAATACCTCCTCATGGGGGCGTCTTAAGGCTCACAAAAGCACATAACTAGGTCAGTTGTCTAGGTCAGTTGTGCCTCTTGGCTTACCCGCATACGGAAAATTTGGGACTCTATGGTGATCTGTGTTCACATGTTTGATATCGAAGCCGTATCCCATGTTGGAGCATAGTTGAGATGTATTGCCATCTCATTCTTGATCAGAAGCGCGGCAATCATTTGGCTAAACCAAATCTCTTACCAAGCATGAAGAATACTATCGGTTACTTTATATACTAATTCAATTTCAGATATTAAAAGTATTCCATAAAAATAGCTTCTAATCTCTGTAACTAGCTTCAAGAGTGATTTCTTCAGTTTTTGGTTCACAACGAGATTCATCGATTAACTAATCAAATATTAATACTAATATCATTATTTCACATTAATACGCACAAACAAAGGATCCTTATTTCTTTCCTTCCCTTCATTTCTATTCATGTGAAAATTACTTCACAGTCACTCCTGTATTCTTTACGTCTTAAAATACATTTCGTATGAAAAATGGCTTCTTTCGAATGATTTAAAAAAAGTATATGCAGTCAAATTCTTTATAATTCATCTTCTTTTGCTCAAGCTTGGAAAGATCTCCAATCCCTTTGTGATTTCAAACTGCTCTAATTCACTGAACCAGGTATCGCAGACAGTTTTCCAGAACTCTTACAAGGCAGTCTTACAAGGATATGTCCTCAGGATGGCTTGGGCTAGAGACTCAATGAAAGCAAATGGTTTGAGCTTTACCTCGATTCCTGCTGGCAATTAGTAGACTGGTCCTTCGTCACCATCATCATCATCACCCATTCCAAATTCATCATCTCCTTCATCATAATGGTTCACAAGATAATCATTATCCTGAAAAATAAAGAACCAATCAAGTCGTGATTTCTGTAGGATACGATTTTGTCAACTGGTTGCAAAGCTGCTATCAAAAAATTTATGAGGGGATTTTTAGACCAGAAGACGATATGCAGGACAAACCAGTCTCAGTTTAATAACGGCACCAATCTAATTTTTCGCTTAAATAAGAACAATAAACAAACCTGCAGTGTGGTTCAGTTGCACTAATTCAGGACCAAAAACTAGGCCTTTTTTGGTCATGTTAAAAAGTTGCAAAAGTTTAAACTTAGCGTCAAGGGTTATTTTACAGAAAGCACTTTCAATAGCAACAAACTGCCAGTGTTGTTTCAGAAGTGCCACGAAGCCCTGATTATTTTGTTTTTATATCATAACTCTTTGAACTGTGATAAAAATTTCTCTTTTTGAACAAACCTCTTCCTCATCTTCTTCGTAGTACTCTTCTTCTTCTTCAATCTCATCGCCCTCTTGCACATCTTCATCGTCTGCAACAACTTTCTCTTCTATTACTTTTTCCAGCACCTGCAGAACAATAAGCTACTGACTTGAAATCAAATATTATGAATTTAGTTTCCTAGAATTGGTAATAATGTAGAGCACAAATTTACCTCCATAAAAAAGCTGCTTTATATTTCAAAAAGCGGCTTCCATTAATGTTTCATGATATTCACAATAAATTCTACCTAACAATAATAGTTCCAATCTTAAATACCTCTAAGGTAGTAGATTCTTCTTCATCAATATTAAGCTTGTCATTTTTTGGTCTTTTCTTCTTGATGACAATCGCAGGAGTAACAGCTTCGAGAAAAAATACTCAATGGTTAAGTTCCATGTCAAAAAGAGTCATCAGTAATTGAATTTAAAATCACTTCGATGTGCTGTAACTAAGCTCACAAATTTTAGATGTCAAGTTTTGTCATTCAACGAGAACCTTTGGTTAGAGAAAGATGACACAAGGTCTTCCAATTTTTCCATATAAAAATAAAACCTTCATTTTGACCAGTGAATAATTAGGCCTGATCACCTAGCCTGTTATTGGTCAACAGAAAACAAGCTGTGTGATGATTCGACGCCTCTATATTTTCTATATGTTAAGAAGTAAACATACTCAAACCTTTTAATTTAGTCCTTTTCAGTCTTTTCTGTAATTCTTTTGGTAGCAAAGCATTTTCTGGAAATCAAATGGATGTTTTATATACATATTTTTTACAGTGATATATAGGCCAAAACGGTACTTAATCTAAATACAACATCAACATTAGTAAAAAACATATGAGACTGTTCAATTACTGAATTAGCTGAGTATGACTTTCCACCTGTCAAACTTCTAGCAGATGCACTATAAGATGCTGTGTCATGGGTACATCAACTGCCATTTGAAAGCACCAGTAACAAATGACAATACATTATCTTTAATACAGTAAAACTCGAAACATACAAGATTTGTAACATAACTGGACTATGTAACACTTTTGTGTTCAGTGATGATTTGTGTTGGTTGTTGCTGTCTTTTTTGTGATGTTCCAAATTTTATTATATTGTGTAAGGGTATTGAAAAGACATTTAAAGACCCACTGTCAAACAACAAAGAAGCCTCTTTATTTAACAGGGCCTTTTCTTGCTTATCAACATTGCGCCTGCACAATTTCACAAATTTCATAAAATTAACCTGCTTAAATTGTATGGAATCAGTTGGGACTCAAAACAAGCCTGAAAAAAACTATGATAGGGAATCTGATTTAATTAGTGACAACTTTGTTATGCTTTCTTACTCTTTTTAGAGCTTCACAGAAATATGGTAATACACAAATGGAAGAATGGTAAATACCAGCAAATCAAATTGGTTGAATTTATTTATTGAAAGTTAAAACACAAGTTGCAGTCGGGTTGCACGGTGTAACTGACAACAAAAAGCTATGTAATGCTATTTACATGACTGTAGAGCTGATTTCAAAAATTCAATTCAGAAGCCAACAAATCTTACATGATTTGGTGCAGGTTAAGCATGACACATGAAGTGGCTCTTACCTATAATAAAGCCAGCTCCATTACTTTGGGATGTTTTGTATTTGTCTGAATACCTTGCAATATCTATGAAAAAACATGAAAAGTAAAAGAGACAAGAAAACAGATTGATTCAATCCATTTCACTGACTGGTGAAATCTAGATGAAGCACTGATACTGATAATTGAGCACTGATTCGTGTTCATTAGAGAGATTGATAAAAGGCAGAAGCGTACAATCAGTCATGGACCCGCTAAAATTGTTATGAAGAAGCCTGCACAGATAAAAATAACTGATAGCAAAAAATGGTATATATTCTATCAGAGACAAATTGGACCATAAAATATATTCTAAATAGTTTGAAATGTTAAATACCTTTACTTTTGACACTGGTCTTAACAAAATATAGAGAGTCTTTCATTCCTGCACGAAATTCTTGTTTCAGTGCTAAAAGGTACTCATCTGCTTCTGTATTTCTTAAAGGGCTTGGTTTAAATTCCAGTGGCTAAAATTGTAAGAGATTTGAAAAAATCTGCATAAATCAACCCTAAACATTTCAAATAATGGTTTGAGTTTCATATCATGATGCTTAACTGCTAGACCACATCAATTCTAGCAAGGCCATTTTCAGATCTTGATGTAACAAGTTTTAATTTCTACAAAATATCACTAAATATTCAAATCCACTCCCCCAGAAAGAAAAAGAGAAAAACAAATAGAAGACCTTGGAGAAACGTTTAATTTTTAGCCTAAAAACTCTTTATTCTAATAGTCTTAATAAAAATTTTAATTTCCTTCAATAATTTATTTTTATATCTATTTCCTACTCTTCGCTTACTTTCCTCCCATTCCCGTATTCAGTTTTTTTCAGCTGTGTCACATCTCGCATTCTTTTCTACTTATCAAATCTTACCTTCTCTTTGCCCGGCTTGCTTCTTTTCTAGCCACTTGATATCAAGTACGTCTTTTTTTTAGCTCGAAACGTCGTATTTTTAACAATCAAACTATTATATTTTCATGCTGGTACTAAATTTATTTGCTAACTATATTATCGCCACTCTCCCAGAACTTGCATCAATGTCCAAATATAAAACAAAATGATTATCCTTCTCAAACATTCTAAACACCGAATAGTTAATTCGTGCAAAATTGATCCCCATGTCTTGAGATCAGTTTAGTGCTCGAGGAATATATGATGCCGGTGTTTATGTAGCAACTGGTTTTTAGGAAACATTTTGGATATTTCTGAAGAAACCAGGACATCCAGGTCAAATTCATGAAGCAATTTGTCTCCTCTGATACTTTCACTTGGCCACAGAAAAAGGACATCTGCTGGGTTGCAGTTACTCAGATTCTGTGCAAGGGAATTTCACTGAAAGTGAAGTTTACCGCAGGTAGGTGCACAGATCAAAGAGAGATTTTGAATCTGTTTGAAAACTTTACAAAAATGAGCAGTTTGTAAGTAACTGACGGATGCAGTGGCATGCTGTTTTTCTTGTGATGATTTTATGAAATTATTGTTTAGCCTATTGAATTATTAGAGTTGATCAATTTTCTCTGTCTTTTTGCATGTCTCACATTGATTGAAACATTCTTGTACCATTTGGGATAGTCAGCTCAAAGTGATGGCTAGAAACCTTAACCAAAAACAAAAAGGTTGTGCAAATTTGTTGGAAAATCTGTTAATGTTGCCCCCCTTGTACCAGTCTTTGTATGCGCACGCCTCCACACACGCCCAAATTGGTCAAGGCGTGAAAATCATCGTACGCGCAAAACAAAAAATTTTCCATGAAACATCTCTGTTTGGAAGATTTTTAAAGCAGCGTTAAGTCAAAAACGCTGCAAGTGGCCTTTCTTCATATTACAAAGACTATTGTACAAGACATATAATCAGTTTTGAGGGGTTTATTTCTCAAATTGACTTCCTTATCATATTTCTATCTTTTAGAACGTAAGATCTTACGATATTTCTCAAATGTCAATTTTTGCAGATTTTATCACTTTTTCCATTCCCTAAAATTCCAACCTCTCAGTGGGTCCCTATGATTTTTTTCGCTGTCCATTGAGTTATGACCAGCATAATGTGTGAAATGTCAACAATCAATGCAAATTCCATACTACCTTTGTTGGGGGCTCAAACTTGATAGGGGACTCTAGTTATCAATCTTGAGTGTTCACTCAATTTTGAATGGCACACTTTTTCAACACTCTATTCTCTGTTCCGGGTTGGTGTCATCGATTTTGCATTTTGCTATCTATGGACCTTTCTCAAAAATAGACCTCAAGTTTGAAATTGTCATCTTGAAATTAGTCTGTATTGAAAACAACATGCCATTTATGCTGTTTGCGTTGTGAGTTACTTCAATTTGAATATTCAGATATTTCTTTAGATTAAACCAGTCAAAAAAAAAATTTCTGCCAATGAAAGCAACAAATCCCATTGAAATGATAGCATGACTTTAGAGTATGGCAGTTTCCGACAGGATCTTGGGTGTGCAAGGGCAAAATTTCAAGTGTGCAAGTGTGCACTTCGATTGTGTATAAAAAGGGCACAACAAAGTGGAAGATAAGAAAATAAACAAAATTGATAGTTCTTTCGTCGTATCTATCAAACCAATGCAAGATTGAGTAGATCTTGAGGAAAGATGATTCTTTATCTGCCCTTTGAAATGGACATACCAATGTCATGCCCAGATCTCAAAATATCACACCCTTTACCAGGTATGCAGTTGCCATACTCTGCAGTCTCAGTCTGGACTGGATGTAAAAGCTAAATTTTGAAAATGAAGTAATTCACTGCCTGACGGTCTAAATAGCATTAAATTTTCGGCACAGACTAATTTCAACATGAAGATTTCAAATTTACGATCCATTTTTTGGGAAATATGAAGATAAAAATTGCCCGGAAGATAGAGATAATATCAGCTTTCATTTAAATGGTCCTTTTTTAACTTCGAAAAAAGGGTCTAAAACTGAGGCACTTTCAAAGCCACGCTAAAAAAACCACGCCTGTCATTTGGATATGTTAGAGTGTATTTATGATTCTAGATAAATTTCTTTGGAGTGATAGATGCAATGCAGCTTGAGCTTCTTGTTGCATGCAAGTTGCAGGACCTTGGAATGGGATTGAGCAAAAACGGTGTAGGACGAGCAAAATTATGCTTACCGGGAAAAGAGGGGGTGGCTGTAATATAGCTGCAGGTATTGCATCGCCTTTTCCGAAACCTAGAGCCCCAGTATCGAAGGAGTACGATCGACCGCGACCTCTCCCTGCCATGTTATGCTTAGGCCATACTGCCTCGTATAACTTCAGTACCAGTGTGTAACCGAGACCATTCCAAAATAGATTCTAGGAAGTGGATGTGGTTGATCCGGTTGATCGTCATGTGCACTCAAGTCGATAAGAAGAAGGTGCTTGTAACAGGTTTATGATAACAACCAATATTTTTTCGTTGGGAATGTCATAATATTTGTATTGTAGAGAGTGCTAGAGTCGATTTTCCCCTGTTGCGGTTTTTCGTATTATTCCAACTAAAAATAAATCTCTATACGACATATTTTGAATATGTCAGTTGAGATTAGATGGGCATCGATAGTTCTTTCCGTCATGTATTTTTGTAGACAAATGCTTTAAAGTTTTTGAAAAATATTCAAAATAAAGTTAGTAGCATAAACCTAAAATTTAATCAACTTCAAGTATTCCAAAAGCGATGATGTCAGACAAGACTTTGCACCTATACTTTAAGTTTGATTATTTATTTGTGTTGTTTCAAAAATAATTTTTTTATTGATTGCATTTATGGGGGGGGGGGTTGGTGCCCCCAAAGTGATAAGAGAGAGATTTGTAAGGGTTTGGCCTTTAACATCTCTTTAATATTCAGATGACAGCAATACATATGTACTATATTTTATTTTGCCAAGGTTTATGTAATATAATATTCTATTTTATGTGTGTGAAAAACATACTTGGGAAAAACATCATTTTGTGATCTTATTTGAATGCATAAAAATTTGGTACAATGAAAAACATGTTTGTAAAGTATTTACATAGAATTATTCAGGATCTTGAGTGGAAGAGGGAGGCACAAGCAATGTGTAGGAAATTTTTTCAAGGGTTTTGGCAAGGATTAATGGCCATCTGTAAATTTAAATTTAATTCTCTTTGCAACCCTTTTTATTATTTGGGATCTCACAGTATTTATAACAAACCATTTTTTAGGATTTGGCCCATTTCAAGGACACTCTGTCAATGCAAGTTGGGAATCAGTCAAGGTGCATTGTTTTATTTTCATATAATCATTGACTTTGAAATTCATAATTATTAGGTTTCTTCAGATCCTAATCTTATACTTTTATCCTTGCTTGCACATACAAATGTTTTAAATCTGGAATTTTGTATTAAATTCATTTGTCTAAAGGATTTATACTATGTCTAAGTAAATGAATAATAATTTTTGCTATTTCAAACGATTCTCAGGTAAACTAACAAGGTTTACAATAGAACTCTCTAGGAAGATTTATAATATAATAGACTAATTCAACAAACAGCTTCATTTTTGAAAATTATTCAAATTTTTTTGTACCAAATTTTGACCCCATGTTCAGATTAAGAGCAAGAATTTTTTTTTGCAAGAATTTTAGTGCAACTCCATACAAAAATTGATATAAACTATAAATATATTGACTGGATCTGGAGATATCCCTTTAGGAAATTGCCCCAAGTTGAGCGTGGTCCACCCAAAATTTTCCTTGTGTTACGTTTGACACATTAAAATTCCCATAAGATTTAAATTATTGTTAACAGGAGACCCTCAATTGGCACTAAGAACCTTTAAATTATGCAGAATCTGAAAATTGCATTTAGATGATGATCATAAAACCAACAGACCATGGAAAAAATGTCAATTTTTCCACCCATCATAAAGTATCATAAATCTGATCTACCCATATTTGGGGCTAAAATTCCACTAGTCTGTCAACACTTATGTAGTGCTTTCCAAAAGTATCAAACACTTCAATTGTATATTTGAAACACAAGAGATCTTGAACCTCAGAAAAAATGATTTTCTATCCAAAAATCTGCCCTTTTTCCTTTTTGTTAACAATACATATACGTACTGTATCACTGGGCAAGTGATATAGATTTAGGGAATTGAGAAGCAACTTCAAGTTGGAGGTACTAAGATAACAGGCACTTTTTAGAATTTCTGAAGAGGGTTCTCTTGAAAAGGAACGTTTTTAAGTTGGGTTGGGCACATGACTGTAGTACCCCTTATTTCACACCCCTATATAGAATAGATACTAGACTGCTGGAAAGGCAATTAATAAGAAGATGCATATATACTTACACAGACAGAATGAATTACAATGTTAAGGACTTACATCTTGTTTGTTTTCATAAATACACAAGAGAATATACAAAATATATTATGCTTATCTCTTTCTGGGTAATTGGGGGTTTAGAGGTCATGAAATCACCCAGCAATCTGAACTCTTTATGGAGTTCAAGAGCAAAAAGAACAATTTTTGCGGTCAAGTCCCTTACAAGTTTTCAAACTTTATTTCTCCATAAAATTTTAAACATGGTATGAAAAATTGTATCTAGCAGAAAAGTATGGTGGTAAAACCAAATCTGAGCTCAAAAAGTCGTGCAATAAAGATTGGAGTAATTTACAAAACAAGACCGTAAGCTTACTGAATTGACTCTATAGAATGGCAAAATTACGTCATCCATTTTTAGAATTCCAGAATGCTGGCTCCAGAACCTGAAACAACAACACAGATACCTCCAAATTTGCAAAATCAGTTGAATCTTTTGGAAATCTATCGAAATATAACCACAGAAGCATGGATTATTTCCCAATCAAATCCTTTTAAACTGGTCTTGGTTCTAAAACTTATGAATCAGGCAAAAACAACAGTAATCTTTCAGCATAGCTTTCATCCTTAACTGGCTATATATCTTAGTCATTTTTGAACGATTTGAACCGATTTTTTAGAAAAGATCGCATGATTTAACTTCATTTGTCAAGTGATTGTTTTGAGGACCCAAATAATTAGGCCGAAGAACTGACCTTAATTTCACTGCGAGCTCCTGAGTGTTTTTGTTAACCTAGTAACAGGAATGATACTACGGTAAAGGAGCAATCCCTCAAGATTTTTGTTAGCTGCATTGTCAATAACTTAGGTACTTTTTGATACCAAATGTTTGGTCCTCTTACCTTATATCTTAGTATGTTGCTGTACACGCTTAACGACAAAGCCAAGTTTAAATCTTTTTAAAACTGCCACTGAAAACTTCAATGCAAACTTGAAAATTCTTTTTTTTAATAATTGTAAAAATTGTTGACAATAAAATCACCACTGTTTGCTTTGTGAATAGAGTATTTAGAACATGTACATCTTTCCTGTAACCCATTTTTCTTGAAAATAATATTTTTTTTAAATATATTAACATTTATAACGTGCTAATAGCTAACCGCTAAACGTTACGCTGGCAAAGAAGAATTAGCAGCTTGCATAATTGCGAGATAACCTAGTCACAATTCTTTTCCTGCAATTTTCAAAGCCCTTTATGTTATCGAGTTCTCCAAAATAATTTCAAACTGTCTTTTGACCGTATGCTGTCCATTATTATACGAAACCAGATATTTCCCTTCACCACCAACTGTTACCGCTATGGCAGACAGGGGAGAAGAATGGGATTTAATTTTATTGTTTCACAGTTGAACGCGTTAGGCGGTACAGACAGTTTGATCCATGATAAAATGAATCTACTTTGCTAGAAAATTCATCCAGTTGTAAAGTCTGAAGTCCTCCTAGCTCCCCCTTACGCTATTCCATTGGCTGAAAATGCTCGTTGGTTAGTTCTAACTAAATGCCTTATCTTCAGATAAGAATTCGTCGATAAGTCTTGAAAATACCCTCATTAAACTAAAACATCCTTAGACGTAATAACAGTCTTGAAAATATGTTTCTTTTTCAATTAGAAAAGGAGGCTGGCTTCTTGAGATCCTCAGTGAAAATGCTTTTTAACAATAAAATCTGTTATGTAAGATTTTAACCTTATTATCAATGCAACATAAGGCAATAAGCTCCACCCCAAAGATGAAAACTTGAAACATCTGCCATTTTGTAGGCCATCTGGTCACTGTTTGGTTTATCAGCTGTTTGTGAGACGATTCTAAAGTCGTGCTTTTTAAACAGATACACGTTCAAAAGTATCGACCTTAAAGAATTTACATGAAATTCAGACGCAGCGTTCTGCTTTGCTAACAGACGCTTTTGTACACGAGAAAGACATTTTTAGGCTAATTATGTGCACAGGGAAGTCTTGATCGTTGAAAGAAGAATTTCAAATATAAAGATATCAACAATAATTAGTAAGAATACAAACGATTAAGCAAAAAGGAGGTATAACTAATACAGTTAAAATTGCGTTTTAACGTATCTTTACTCATAACCAAATCGCATGAGTAAAACGACTACATATAGTGCTAGACGATTTACAAGACAATTCAGAAGACAATTTACAAGGCAATTTACAAGATGATAACACTAAAGGTGTGATCAAGCACATTTCTTCTGCAGCAAAAAAAACAAAAATAAAAACTGAAGAAAGTCAGAGAAGATAAGAGAGGGGGGTATATGCAGCCTAAATGAATCTGTTTTTAGTATCGGCATAACTGGCTGTTGCTGAATAATATTCTCATTTGAAGTAGCACTTAGGCCATCATTGGAATAGAGTAGGTGTGAAAGTAGAATTGTACAAAGTGATGCTTCTCCCTGTGGCAAAATCTTTGTAGAAGAAGCCTCCATCTGGTCTCACGCGTGTTCGCCATTTGGAGGTTTTACTGTATTCTAAAATGGTTCTGATTCACCACAAATACTCTTTGATGCAGGGTCCAAAAAAGTCCTCAACCTTCCTCCGGTCAAATTTTTCCCTGTCAAAACCTTCCTCCAATTTTTCAAGCAAACACCTTGGCCAGGGCATGGCTAGGGAGTGTTTACTGGATAAGGGGTGACAGACGCAATAAATCGAGACAAAGTTATGTGTCTTGATCGATGGTAATCACCGTATACGGTAAAACGTTGCTAGAATACCAATCACATTACAGCTCAAGAATAATATTTCTTTTAAAATTTTCGAGTGATAAAATCGATAGAAACATGATATAATATACATTGAAAAATTTCAAAACAATGGAACACGAACAGCATTCTGGTAAAAGGGCATGGCCTAGAAATTTTGCGTCTGTTCGTGCCACCATTCACCCTTCGACCTCGCGGCAGATTCAACGTGTGTTTTAAAAGCGCAATAAAAGAAAAAAAGGAAAATAAGTTGTCTCAATTATTTTTACAAATTCTATTTTACCAAAACCTTCCTCAAAATTTCTATTGTTTCTCAAACCTTCCTCCGGTCAATGACCGTGCGACCGTAATGCTTTCAGGACACTGCTTTGATGGTCAGTTAATGGCCGCCGTTTTGCATTTCATGGCGATTTGAAACAACTGTGGAATACGTTCGTGGTTGGAGTCCATCGATTGAGAAGCATCAATAAAAAACTTCGCATATCAAGTCTTTTTGACTAAACGTTTGTCGACCTTTTGTATACCTTATTAATTACCATCAAAATAATAGCAAATGCTTACTTACCATATAAGGCCAACTTGAAGTTAAAATGTGGGGAAGATTTTAATGTGCCCCCAGTTAAGTTAATAAATGATCATGTGCATGTTTCATTTGATTATGACTAAACGCAAAATATTAATGATTACTTCACAACAGTAACATTAAAATTAAGAAGGTAATTGTGCTATTTGCCTTTTTTTAATGATGATGCTGTGTTTTGTAGGAGCTTCAGAAAGGAAAATTTACCAGTGACGTGACGATCCACATTGCTGAGATACCAGTTGCCTACAAATATGTTGAAGATAACTTATACAAATTAGAGAAAGAACTGAATCCTGATGTGAGTTACGATTATTGATCACTGCCTGTTTGTCACATTTAAGTTATTCAAACCTTAAAGTTCATATTCAGTTGCTGTAGATCGTTTCATCTCTTGTGATGTCGAGATAAGCCTCATTTCCCCTATCTTTCCCTGAAGGCTACAGATTTGACGATTTTGGTCTTGTTGGTAGATTTTTAAATCTGTCTTGTTCGTCTGCATCAAAAAATTTGATTACCTAAAATTTTTACAGAATTTCAAATTATTACCCAGTATCATTGGTCTTCTGCAGACATTTTGGTAAACATTTTTGGATCATTAAGGATCGAGTCATTTGTGAAGATCGAGTATTGAAAATCAATATCCTAACACTAAAAATTGTGCGGTTAAGCAAGGTTTATGCTTGTTTTGAAAATATCAATAATATTTGGCTGCAGCAATTAAACTGCGACTTGCTATCTCCAGTGGTTACTAAATATTGAAGAAATCACTCGAGAAAGACCAAATCAATTTTGTTCTGATTTCTATCATCGTGATTTTTAGACTACTACGCGTAAACATTGCCACGAACAGGCTCTCCGTCATCGACCCATACATTAAAATTAAACTACATTGAAGCATTACTAGCCAATCAGGTGCATCATAAGCACACTAGCTCAAAGGCTCGGTGATACAAAGGCTTCTATCACTAACTCAATGTTGTGTGAATTCCTGCATTTCTGCATGATATCCAAATCTATAAAACGAGGCTAACAGTCTGTACCGCCTAACTCGAGGAATCGGAAGAAAATGGTAGACACTTGCATTTCGTTTTATAGTAGCCAAAAAAATGCAAATAATGTTTGGATCTTCGCATGGTTTTGCTTTTCATGGGGGTAGCTTTCTCGATAGTAATATGATATTTCACATGCAAACCTGCACAGGATATCTTGGATATTGGAATCTTCGCAGAACCCTTTAAGCGATCTTTGTGTACGAAAAATGAGTACACTGTGTTTTATATCTCATTGCTGCTTAAACTTGACTTTATAAACGGCATAAACTTCAGCTTCAGCTTTTTTAGCTAGACTGTTTACTCAACTTTATACCTGGAAACCCTAATCCATAGGAATACCTGGAAATACATTGAATGATGATATTTTATAATTTTTCTAGTCGTGCTTCGAGTAGGATGCGAATTTTGCAGGAGCTCCTTCAGTTTTCATTTCAATGCTGTAATCCTTGAGCCTATTCGGATTTCTAATGGGATTTCGTTTCACATCTTTGCACCAGAATAATAAAATCTGCTATTGGAGAATTATCGGTGCTGCCTTGCAGTGCCAAGATTTTGTTAGAACTGGTAGACTTTTTTAAAGATATCTTGTAAGAAAGTGAGCGCTAGATTTTGAGAATTGTTATAATAATGTGGTATTTATAATGAATAACTTTGGGCAGTACCCTTGTGGAGAGAATTTTCCTCCCGTCAGCCTTTGCTTTAATTTCACTCTTTCAAATTCCCCATCCAATTTCTTGAGGTCTTCTTCGCTGCCCTTGCATTCTATCTTCCATTACCGCTCTCGCCAAACCCTCCTCCTTGTACCTTATGTCCAAAATTTTTGAACTCCTTCTTCCTCACAATCTGCAAATCTAGAAACCTCTGCCTTAACACATTCGTTTTTACGTCTTATCTTTCCAAGATATTCCCAGCAATATTTTTCAAGTCTTCACCTCAAATGCCTTCGTCCCTGTTTGTCCCTTCTACTCAATGTCAATTCATCTTTATGTTCTTTGCTCTCTGGATGTTGCTCACCATTGCTAGCGCACTAACGGTCTTTCCAGGTCATTACCTGGTTAAGGGATCATTTGCTTCCAGCGTAATCGCTGTAGTTTCATGTGATATGGGCATCTGTTGTTAAAACGTGCTATTGATAGAAGCTGATTTGTAAATCAGTACGAGGTGAGCTTATGTGGTCAGTTTCAGACCCACCAATAACATCTCAGCTCGAAGATCATGACTCACCGACTTTGAGTATACCCTCTTCTTTTATCACGACTCGGTGCCTTTAATAATGACTTGCCCGCTGCAATGTTAAGTACGTCATTGTTGATGTTTTGAAATAAAATTTATAGCTTTATATATCCTTTTTTCAGGTCAGTTGGTATCAAGATTTTGATTTCTCTTGCAGCTTATAATGCATGTTGGAGTTTCAAGCATTGGTCACTGTGTGCAGATTGAAGAATTTGCTCACAGCACTGGCTATACAAAACAAGACGTTGAGGGATGCATACCAGACGAGTCTTCAATTGGTCCTAGTAGGTAGTTCACTTTAGTACGAAGTTTAGTCAGTTATGGTGGCAGATAAGTTTAGTCAGCAGATAATTTTTAAAATACGTAATGAGGGGTGTGACATGTTTTTACAAGTGACGGTGGATTGTACACACTATGTACAGGAGGTGTGATTTTTCGCTATTTCACCGGATATCTTTTCTCGTTTCGTACTGTTATTTGTGCAGGACAACCTTCACTGCTCCACCTGAGCATTTTTTTTAGAGTTACCATACCTTTTGAATAAGCCTCCTTTCAAACAAGCCAACCGAGCCTTTTTGGATAAGCAAACTTATCGAGCACGTGTTCATCTCTGAGAGATAAATAGACCCTGTTTAAATTTAGAAGCGTTACAAAAAATGACTATCAAAGAATTCTGCAACACCCATAATCTATAGAAGTCATCGAGTTTTGGCTATTGATATGGAAGCCTGTATAGAACCTTATAATAAGTACTAAGCACAGATGTATTTGTACAACAACAAACGGACAAGGTACAGCAGGGCCCACGCCACCGTGGGGAGAGGGCTTTGTGGCCATGGTCTCCCCACCTTTTCCGAAGCAAATGATTTCAAAGCTGCAATAAACGGTGATAGAAGCCTTGACCCCCTACTTTTGTTACCCTTGGCCCTCCACGTTAAACTTCGTGGCGTGGGTCGTGTACAGTAATGGTATCTGGTAGGCAACCTTATCCAGGCTTTTCAAAATACAGTATCATTGCCGAGAAAATAAAGCCTTTCAAAGTACAAATTGTTGATTTCATAATGCTATCTATTTAGTTTTGAGATTATGTTTAGTAAAACTTCAGCATTAAATTTTAGCAGATATAATCTCATTCAATTTTTTCTGTATCTCGCTCTCCTCTTCTTCAATGGTCTCCATTTATGTTTATAAAATAGGAAAACGGTATTACCGCCTCTCCATTTATAGATAATGAGATATTTTTCGGCACTTGGTAACGTATCCTGATTATTTTTACATAGAATGCTTGAAAACTTCCTTGGATATTAGTGAACTCAGAATGTTTTGTGACAAGCATGCATGCTCCTGTACAATCGAATCATCGACTGACGCCGGACGGTAAGCGATTTTTATGAAAATGCTGTTTACAATGTCTACTACATCCATCGAGTTGAGTTTTGTTTTCTTTTTTGTAATTGTTTTCCAAATAGAACCAGATCCGCCTTAGGAAAGCGTATTCAAGCGTTTATGTTGTCGGTCACAGATTTGCGATTGTCGTGATGAGGGGAGGCGGGAGAAAAAAATGCCAAGAGATTGTGTTTTACTTGGAAATTGTATTTACTGAGAGGTCCAACGGTCTGCAGAAGGTGTACAACGGTGGATGTACAGCCTTTCTTGTAAAGGCATTGAATCGTCGTTTAAGTTTCGTGTGATCTCGACAAGCATCTTTTACAAAGGTTCTGAACGAATCCTGTTATCAAAATAAGTGCAAGGTCAAAACATTTGGTCAGCCTTAGGCCCTTTTACAGTATCACAAGTCAGGTAAAAAATCATGACTGAGTATATTCGGGTATTTCATCTCCTTTTATCCTGAATCAATGCTTATTATGGTCATATTTTTGTTGGCGCCTGATGGCTGAAAATTATCAAAACAGTTTTAAATCGATCGTCTTTTAAAATTCTAATTAGTAATCGATCATCTTTTAAAATTCTAAAAGATTCCTTTGCTTTCAAAGGTACCTCTGTGAGTACATCTATTACACTTCATTAAATGCAAACATCGCCCCGGCTCTATTCGTTCATGTCCCATGTTTGGATGCCCCATACAGCAAGGAAGAACTGGCAGAAACATTAAGGCTGATAGTTCTCGCAGCATTGAGCCAAATCAGTAGGACGAAATAAGAAGTAACAATTCTTCCTTTTGTATTTGGGATTTGCTATCCAAGCACTCAAAGTGTTTGTATAAAAGCTTTTTTTTAATTTTTGGTTTATCTTTGGTGAATTCTTTTTATAACCAATCTAATAATCATTCAATTTATATAAATCTTATTTTCACAAGTTCTCACATCATACCTATTTTAAATTGTTTATCAGACCGTATAATGTGTCAAACTCACTCTGATATCCTTTTTCAATTTATGCTTAACCAATCACAGCAAAGTTTAACGCCATCGTGTTGAAATGCAAACGACCTTTAGTTGTAAAAAGTAAAGATGATGGTTATGTTATGGTTTTCGTTCACCTAGAAATTGAATTCTTTTTTTTGAAAGTAAATATTATCGGCAAATGGTTTTTTCTATTGCATTTCAACTAAACAATTCAAGAGAAATATGTACTTACATGCTATTTATCTTCAAGACAGTAGATGCAGAGTTGCTGCAGGATTGCACGTAAACACTTCATGGTTGTACGAATAATAGACTTGCACAGTGATATAGGTAGAAGTGAAAATTAGGAATTGTGGTGTTAGAAACTACAAAGCACTTCTCCGAAAGATTATTTTTTGTTGAAGAGGGAGATTAATTTGTCATGTTTTTATAGTATTTTTACGCAGTATTTGAAAGATAGACGCATATCATAAAAAATATTATGTCAGGTACAAATGATTATTTTTTGTTGAAGGAGGAGATTAATTTGTCATATTTTTATAGTATTTTTACGCAGTATTTGAAAGATAGACGCATATCATAAAAAATATTATGTCAGGTACAAATGCCATATAACTATATTCTGCGGAAAAAAAATAATTTTCGGTTGTTTCGGCTACTTCTACTAAGCACTGACTGTGATGAAAAGATTTCGGGAGAAGACTGTTTGTCCTAGGTGTTCTTTACGGAGGTACAAGGTTAAAGGGAGGGGGGCCTCGCTTTAAGACAGCCCTCTCTTTAAGGAGGTTTTCAAGAAAAGAGGTTTCACTGTTGCTCATTTATTGACTAAGACATTTAACATCTTAAAAAGAAGTTTTATTTTAAGCACGATTAACAAGAGAATATATTTTCTACCTATCGTTGCTCAGACTTGGCAAACATTGTTGGGGGTATTTGCCTTGCATCAAGAGCCATGGTTTTTGGATAGCCAATTCCTTTACAAATGTATCCAGCTGCGGATGTAAGACAAATAAAATCGGCCTTCTACTGTAGATATAGGACACAAATACTCGATACCTAAAAGGTGGTTAAACATATAACCCATAGCTCCTCTTGCTTATTTAGAATCGTAAGAAATGGACTTGAGGTCGATAAACAGTAGCAGACAATCTATTTGTCAATATTTACATAGAATTACTGCCTGCTGCTGTTAAATGCTTTGACTTTCTGTATGAATTCAAGTATCGTTTTTTAATCGTATCAGAAGATTCAGCATCGTGCTGGTAGCTATAATTGCTAAATTTGTCTTTATTTCTGCTTCTTAAAGTTGCTTCAGATTTTCGTAGTATTATAAATCTTAAAATTTCAGACCAAACAAAAGAATCACTCGAAAAAGTAAAGCAAGAGTTGTAAGAATTAGTCCTGATTTCCAGTAGACTTAATTAATGGCCTAGTAGTAGTTGGTAACTAGAAAGTGACGGGTGGAAACCTAAAGGTCCAGATGTGGACAAAGGCTCTTGTTTGTAGGTGCAATGGATTCTGCATGAACTGCTAGGCCACAACAAAATACGCGTTATAGACAAGTCTCTTTTACTCTTATCTCTGTTACTTTTAGGATATGAATATATATAGTACAAAACTTCTTCCTGTTTTAATTTGATAGAGTCCTTTCTCCATTGCGCCTTCCTTGGAGCGATTAAATCTTTTCAACTGTAAAATATATGTCCCTTTGATAGGCATACTTTTCGAGGTTGAGGAGACCGCCAGGCATGCTCGTCATATTAAATGGTAGAATAGCCTCTTTCCTTTAGTAAAGCTCTCTACCGCCAGTACCTTCATGAAATCTTGGGTGGTCATTAAGGGTTTATATCGATGTGTGTGGCCAGACACCTTTGCCCTATTAATTGGTCACAAATTTTTAACTGTATCTTCTGACCGCAAAGGTGAAGGGTCGTACAAATGTTTCCAATATGGCTTCCTCGTTTACCTATTTCTTTGGACTGATGAGAGATCTTAGAAGGGATAGTTTGCATTGGAATTTAAATAATCTCAATGTTTGAAAACTTTCGAGATTCCATTTAGCACGAGTTTCCTTCGCCAAACAGAGGATCCCTATCTCAATGGTTACAAGCAAGCTTTCCTTACTCTTCAGTCGTCACTCTTGCATCCCATCGTCTATTTGACTAGCTGAGCAAATGGTCTTTGGAACATATAAAGTCACGGTCCTGCTTTTTCGCCCAATATTCTTGCGACTCAGTCTCAATATTACGCCCCGTATAATAAGCCCACCGTACAGTCTTAATGAGGCAATCAAAATAAACAGGTCACAGGCGTAGAGTGACATTTAGTAGGGTAAAAATCATAAGATTAGATAATTTTTTCGCAATGGAGAACGATATGTTGACCTTGGAAGATATGCCTTCTTCGGAGTGACGCTTATGCATTCTGATGATCAGGTTATTTTACGTTCTGATGATCAGATTAATCTTGCAAAGGCCGACCTCTACAGTAATCTTTTTTGTTCGCACGCGCGCTGCAACCGGCTGTATGCATGTGTTTTTTAGGTCGCCTAGGCAGGGAGAACAACTTTCGCCAGCTTTGGCAGTAGGCTGTGATTCTACTCCAAAATTTACTTCATGCGCACAAGCTGAGAGGAAGCGATGAGGTCAGAAGATTCACAGTGCGCGCGCGCGATCGAGCCAAACTTAACTAAATTGGAGGTGGAAATCTAGAGCCGTCTTGTTATAATCTGCATATATCATTTAACATTCAGCAACAGACTAGTTTAACGCTATTCTAATGTTTATGATATTTTATGCATAGGCCTACAGAAACTCGCGTCGTGTGAGCCTTCACCAAACACGAGTTTTCCAGGTCTATTGTTACTCGCATCGCTTAAATTCTTAACTTCTTTTGGTTCAAATGAATTGGTGATGGTTTGGGACATTGATATTTACTGTTTTTGTGCTTTAACTTGCTGAGATTTTTTGGAGACGAAATTTCTCAAATGTTGCCGCGGTTCTTCAGCTTGATACATCAAATGCGTTGCTGCATAGTTTAAAAATTCCAATCGTTTTGTTGCTTTAGTGCTTTACCCAGTGCATATTTCTCTTCTTACTTTGTTTTGAAAGCTGAATAGCAATTTGCTGCTTGAGAGGCCTGTGGATTTGTCTATAGCTTAGAGGCAATTCGTGCAAGGGTAACAACATTATTAATCAGGGCACTGTGCACGAAGCTTCAGTTAAAGGCAACCTGTCACGACGTTGATTGATTATAAGGACAAAAGGAATTTTTTATTGTTTCCAGTCCCCCTTTAATTTATCGCATTGTAAAAAATATGGCGGAGCGCTGGAATCGTGTTTAGGCTATTGTTCCAGCTATTGTTCTCGTTAACCAATCCACAACGAGACAGATTGCCTTTAAAGGTTCCATTGTATTACCTCTTGTTGCAGATAGATAGGAGGCCAAAAAGATTCCTCTGCCATTCATTATTCATTATAATATATTTACAAATGTCTACATCTACAGTTTGTTTGAAACGCAAGTAAATAAAACTTAACTAAACAAAACAAGTAACAACACCAATTCGTTATGTTTTGTAAATTACTCCAAACCTCACTTTACGACTGTTTTACTTTTACCTCAAACTAGGATCTATGAACATATGTTTTGCCAAAGCTGGGGCACATACAAAACGTAGATTTTATGAGGAGAAATAGTTGAAAACTTGCGGAAGGCCTCGCCTACCTCTGTTAATCTTGCGGAGGATCTCGTCCTCCTCAGTCGCTAATCATAGTAAAACCTCTGAATTTCTATACCTTATTTTATCAAAAATGAATACCACGAGCACTAGCACCATAAAGACTGAGATCGAGACTAAAATGTTGTCCTTTATCCGAATCTGAAGTACAATTGCGTACATAGAAGTTTCAAGTATTTTTCAAAACGAGGCCGTTAATTGAATTGATGTATTGCATTAGATAAAAGTACTAAAATGGTTCGCAGTTGCCTGTTCTGCGATGTCTTTAATTAACTGCAACCCAAGCGATTACCAAGCTTTTGAATACAAAGAAAATCGCGTCACTTAGTAACAGTCACAGCTGAATACATGCTCACAAATATATGTTTAAACTTACGCAAAGCAAGCAAGTTTATAATCTAATTATTTCTAAACCAGTTCATCCTTGTACCAATGTTCTGAAAGCTTTATATATACATTATACACAACGTTGTGAAAAATTACCCAAAAAGCAATTAATTCTCAATGGATGATTTTAATCCTGATTTGAATTTACTGTACAAGTCAGGAATAAGTAGCTTGCAAGGTTTTAAAAGTTAAACTTAAGTGAACTGAAGTTTGCACTGGATCAGGAATAGCATTTGTTATCTGTGATCATAAATCAACCTTTAGAAATCGTTTCTGCTCTAAAATAGCTTGACAATAGATTAATGTGGCAACTTTCTGGGAGCACAGGGGATCGACACCACAAAAGCAGTAGGACCAAAGTTCCAGCCTGACCTAGAGGCGTCCTCAGACAAAAGAGATGTCCATCAGATGGTGTTCAGCTACTATTTTTAACACCCTATCATTATCAGTATTATCACAACTTTTTCTCGCCCTGACAAATTAATTACCCATAGTAGATATTTTACAATGGTTTGTCTTTAGCTAACAAGCTGCTGGTAATGGCTGGCTTGTGACGACACACCTTCTTGGTGATACGGGTAATCGAAGTTGTCGTATCGGTTCCACAGGTTATAGTCTGCAAATGACGGGGCCTCCCTGTATTCTGGCTGCGCAGCCATCAGCCTCAGGTCTTGACTATGCTGTCTCCCATAGCTGCTTGCAACGTGTGACGACATCGACATAAGAGGCAATGAACGCACAGTTACTGGTAGAGGCGGAGAACAACCAGGCAAGCTAATTTCGTCATTAATAGAAGACGAGTGTATTGACATTCGGTTCTGCAAAATATCCTGTAGAAATCATAATATTATGTTAGATTTTGCCCGATAAAAACATTGTGCTTAATATCACCGAAAGTTTCCAATCGAAACCAAACGAAGTTAAAGAAATTTGTGCTAAAATTATTCTACTTTAACTTGAAGGCTTTTGCGCAACCGGCAACCTTTGCGACTAAATTTTCAAAACCGGCCTAACAGCGTACCGTATGAAGGTAACAACTGCAGTTGCTTTCTTTTCGCGTAAAGCTTTTAATGATGGGAAATTGCAAACCATGACCTCATCAAAATGCATGTGCATCAAAAGGCAGCATTTTTGTCTACCACATTTTGGAGCTAATATTGCGTCATAGACGTCTACAGCCAGTCGTTTGATTAATTAGAAATACATAGAAAATCTTCCGCAAAATCCTATCCAAACAAGATAAATCACTAATCCTTATTAGCAAATCTCTCGAACTGTTTTATCAGCTGGGGTTTCAACCCCATAGACAGTCGCATTGAAAACAAGCCTGTTTGAAAGGTGATTAAATATATACACGGTGATATTGCTGTTTATTTAGAATTCCAAGGGTGAAACTCAAGATATATACAAACAACTAGACGATTGATTAGCTCAGGTTTGCACAAATATACTTTGAACTAACATAACTGAAGTGTTGCACAAGTAAAGGCAATTCAATGTAATTTGATTTCAAGCTGGAAGGAGAATTTCGCATCTAAATCGCGTCGTATGTAGTAGCGTGAATCAAATCTTTCAGCATTCACAATCCATTACTTGATGGTATATTCATATTTTCTGGCTTTCAGCCTTTCGATACAATACTGTTCACCTAAAAAACTCACCCCAATCTTGCCACCGTCACCGCCATTTAGCATCATCTTCTTCTTGTCCTTGCATCTCTTATTTTGGAACCACACGCGGATGACCCGCGAGCTTAGTCCAGTTAAATCTACAAGCTGCTCCTTCATCACAGAATCAGGGCGCGGGTTTGCTGCGTAACAACGTTTCAGCGTTGAAAGCTGTTTTTCATTTAGAACTGTGCGAACTCGAGTAGGTTTATCTTTTGAGTTTTTCTTTGAATTTGTCGTTTTACCCTTGCTGTCTTTTGAAAATGCTTCGATTTTTACTTCCTTGTCCGAGTTTGATGTCATTGGAGAGGTTTCCAGATCGACACTCGATGCTAAAATACAAGGTTTAGGACTGTAATAGCTTGGGCGACGTGGGTAGAGCAAGATCATTTGACCAGCCCCTGTTTTTGTCACACTGCTGTCAACCAAGTAACAATAAGTGCAATAGCATCAGGACTGTTCAAAGCAAATTGAGAACAATAGATTTTAAGTTAAAAGAATGTCACAATTGAGGGTATACAGTCAATTTAGCAAGCATAACGGGGATTGTAGGATAGCAAAAACTAACGACATTAAAAATGTACGTAGATGACAAGACGTCCCATGGGGTTGCAGTCATTGGTCACTGCGACTTACCTGTGTCCTTGAATGTTCCAATACTGACATTGCTATTTACATCACTCCAACTGTCTTCCGAAATACTCACTCGGTCTTGAATGCAACACTCGGATTGGCAGAACAACAGGCCATCGCTGCTGACGGAGAACTGGTCGCCGGGTGAAAGTCGCCCAGAACAACCCACACACGCGAAACAGTCGACGTGAAAAATATGGCTTTGGGCCTTCATTACCAAAGAGTTCTTTTCAATAGTGTTGTTGCAACCTCTACATTGAATAGCAAACTCCCTATAAGAAAGTTGGGAGAGGGTCATTCTAGGAATATTTTGGCCTAACAACCTTAACAGCAGCGATTATCCAAAAGATTTCCTTTATATCATCCTGCAACAGCTGGGGTAGCTATGAAAAGCTTCTGTTTTATCAAGAGTAAAAAAGGACGAAAAAGTGCCTACATGGACCCCAGTGCATAAACTAATTTTTCTTAATCTTGGAAAATCGCCATGCTTCAGAGCCATGCTAGATATTTATGTTGCTATTTTTAAGTAGACAGAAATTTCACAACACAGAAATTATGATATGATATTGATATGAATGATATTGTTAATGTGCCATGAAGAAATACATCTACGGAAAAAAAAAACTTCAAAAGCAAGGCCAAAACATCCTGTGTAAGTGTTCATACCAATGTCAAGTATTGTGTTTTTTAAATGATATAATTTTCTTAAAGGATATTGAGTGTACTAGGCCTTATCGATTCAAGCAGTGATATTTTTCAAAACTTACAAGCGCGAGGCAATGCGAGTTTTATCGCTGTTACTATTACCATCTTGCTGCTCAAAATAATGGATATCAAATCAGCGCTTCATTAAGAAAATCTTTATCGATCGTAAAGATGATTTCAAGCGCGTATTGTCTGTCGGGTTTGCATTTGGACGCCGTAACAAGCATGGCGTAGGCTGTTTTCGCAGGTTTTTTTGCCCAGCCGATTTGCACTTCTAGGCTGACGTTTGTGTCGAACGGAAACACACCAAAAACGATGTACAGAAAGTTCAAATAATCAAGGATAAGCAAATATGAGAATAAAATTAGAGGCCTGACACTTCGTTTTCATAGCCATGCTTTTAAATAAATACGTAGCAGTGAGCGACAACTGAGGCTGCTGTTTTCCAACAAAGTCGTGCAAAAACCCATTCCAGTTTGCTTATGATGCACAACACGTTTTCACTTCTACTCCTTTTGCAGATAATAGACCGCATTTTTCACTGTGAACTAACCATAATACTTCAATAGAAAGAAAAGCTAATAGCTCATTACGAAGATGTTCTTATGTCTACCTAAAGTAACATTATTAAAGTAATACTCCAAGGATATAAACGTTTGGGAAGCGATAGATTGTTGATTCCAGCCCAGCGTTAACGCGAGTAAAACCATTGATATTCTCGCAGCAGCTCAAATAATTCGTAGGCTATGCACAATTTTTATATGAAACCTTTGATATGATACCATGCCCTAAGATATCAAAATAATTAAAAAAATTCAGCAATGGTCACCCTCAATCTTCAGAAACTTCTTGAAAATCTAACTTATAAAGATGGGATAGAAGTTCTTTAGAAAATTTAGTAACTCTTTCTGGTTGAACTGACATTGATAGAAAAAAAAAGTATTTGCGACTGGTTAAGTGTTCTGTTTTATGTTGTCTAATGTTAGGTTTTTTTGTTTTTTTTACGTAGCTGTTTGATACTATATATCAAAGAAATATTTAAGAACCTTTATCTGCTGAAAATCAACAAAAAACAAAAGGGAACGTATGTCAGGTGCATATTAAATAAGTTTAGTGGTGAATGGACATAACAGCATCATGGTATGGATATTGCTAAAAGAGGGTAGGGTTAAGGAGCTGAGAAGGAGGTGTTTCCATCCGACGAAATTTCGTGTCGTATTCTTTGTTTGCAAGACCTATATCCAATGCTAAGCACTCCTTTACTCATACAAAACCTCGTTTCAAAGTCCGAACAGAAGTAACAAATTCCATGTTACACTAAGCATGCGCGTATGAAACCATTTTAAATTTGGCCCCCATTTAATTAGAACCCAATCAGCGCGAGAATAGCTTTATTGCCAGTACACTAGGTGTTATAAATGAAGGTATTCCCTAAATTGCTTGAAATGGTACTGAAGGTCAGAAAATAATACGACACGATTTGGAGAAAGAACTTTTGAATACACACTGAAAGGTACAATGTGCAGAAGAGTTTGTTAAATTTAGTCTTGCAGATTTTACTGAACATACTTGAAGGTAGTTATTCAAAAGTAAAAAGAATTTGAAAATAAAGCAAAATATTTCAACAAATTCTGGTTGAACCTTGGAAAAAACAAAGACATCTTCGGATCATCTAATGTTTAGCTATTAGTATATTAGAACTTACATTAACTAAAGGGCAAAAATGAAGGTTACTACACGTATTTGCTTGCTGTAGTCGTGAAGATTGAGTAAAGTCCCCATATAAAGCCTTCACCTTTGGGTGTTGCATCGTTTACTTTGGCTGGGTTGTCTTGAACAAACCCACGTATAAATCTAACCGCGTGCAACGATAATCTTCAGCTTTCCTTCAGCAATGGCGCGATCAAGCTTTAATTTTGCAATATCTTCTCATCAAAGAAATAGCTATTTTGTTATCAATATTCTATGATTACATGCGGTCCTTTGATCAAAAGACTTCGTGATATGATTGTTTCTCTTAATTCAAAACATGATCTTTCTTCCTTTATAACCCGGTTCAAAGCTAAGCTATTGGAAATAGGCAGTTAAGTTACCCAGTAGAAGAGAAGTTTCAGGATTATTTGCTGTGTGACCTCTTTCTTCTTCGTCGATACGATTCTGTTGGACGTCATTATATTCAAGCAGAGACTATACCAGAAAAATGATATGCTAGGTTTACTTTTATTATTTATCATGCTGTATGGTTCTACAAAAGACTTAGCATATGTTTATATCTTCTGCAACCATACAATTCCGAAAGAAAGTTTTCATTTCTCTACCCAAAATGGTTTTTATTCTTAATTCAAATCAAAAGAAAAGTTCAGAATTTCAAGAAGAAAACCATAATAAGAAATTTGAAACACCTTAAGGAGAAAGCGAATAGACCATGGTTGATGAATATGAAAATTAATGGAATCATGAAATATGTAAAAGGAATAAACAGTGACTTGTATTTCTCTGTTTATAAAACTTTTTTAGTATGTAGTTTGTATTCTGAAAGTCATGAGATTTCTCATTTTCCTATTTACAGAATTTTAGTTACAAACTTAAAGAAAGTTAGTAAACTAATGCAGACAAGCAGATTTCACCCAACATTACAAAAAGTGCCAACAGACTAAAGGAACTGCATGGTACGCTGTCATCATGATTACAAATTTACCCATCCCCTACAAATTCAAAACAAATTTGGCTGTACCTCCCATATTTCCTTGCTATCTCAGAGGGAAGGTACCCAAAAGTTTAAACTCTACTGCTACGCTCAACCCGATTCCCGAATCCCGATCATCAATGCAATAATCCCGCTGTCATCGATTCCCGAATACCGCTCACCAAAATTTGCCCATTCGCGACTCCGGACTCCCGATTTCATTCATGATACCATGATACCGGAAGTCGGAGACTCCCGATTTTTACTTCCATGAAAAAATATTGGGTACGGTCATCTCCCAAGAAAATAAGTTCACCGGGCTTGTAACACCGATGTGTTTCAGTGCCGCTTACGGCGTAAGCTGAAAATCGTACGCTTTTTTCTCCATTTGCTGTTTTTGCAATGTCTTTTTGACAAGTTTGTATAAAAAAGTTTGAAATATTCCGTATGCGTCATATTTAAATTAACGAGAGCGTGCTGCCTAACTGGTGAGTTAATTTTTTGTATTCTACAAAATACTGAAATACGAAACTGAAAGACGTTCATAATTTTAAATTTGTATAAAAGTTTTGATTGGTGGTCCCTTCAGTGAATTGTTGTAAACTGTATCGTTCTTCATTTTGTAATGTCTATACTAAGTCATGCCTTTTTTTAAATTTCAGTTTAACTTTTACCTGCAGTTGTTTTTAAACAAAAAAGACCAAAAACACGATTTTCTAATGGAACAATTACCGTTTCAACACAAACGTATTGTTGTATAAACTTTTACGGCAGATACCACAGTGAATTTTAGGCACCTTACCACAAACGGGAAAGCTATTTGTCTCTGCTCAAAATTGTGAACCGAGTAAACAAATTATCATGAATGTAATTAGATCTTAACTATCCTATCATATGTGTTCATAAATTCTCTAGTCTTTAACACACTGGTTTTAATTGCAAGACGTATAAGTGAAATGGATTCCGTCGACCATGAACTAAAGTAAGAATTATCAACAAATACTATCGTAATAAATTTTTCCTTGAAACTTTTAGAATAGCATTACTTGTATGACAATCTATGACACACCACAGCAAAGTATAATACTTCAAAACATACATTTAAAAGCCAAAACACTTTGACAATCTGTTCCGGGGATCAACGATACATGGTACAAAGGGAAATAAAATAATGCCACGTTGGAACAACATGTAACAAAGTGTAAACAAAACGACAATCACTAGTAAACAAAAATCGCGTTAAGAGCAGATTTACTATTTAAGCTGCAAATCTTTTATTATTTCAACAGGTGCTTATACATTAAAGCTTTTCCCAACGATGATATATACGAAGCAAATTTTTTCCTGTCATTCACTCAGTAGTGCCAAATATAAATTTTAGTAAACTCCATAGTTTCGATATTTTATAAAACATTACTCATCTCCGCTAAAATCACTGCTGCGCTTAACCGTCTTTGAACTGAAATATTAAACTTGCCTAAAAAAGTTGAAAACCAATAAGACAAGTTCTAAGAGGACATTTCTAGGGAATAATAATGCGATAGGGATGTTTTTCTTCTTCAATTGGCAACCACAACCTGCCAATTGTCACAGACTTTTCTGTATCAGTTTCTGTTGCCTCTTTATAGGGACGAGTCATGTTTGCCTGAATAACACGACAAAAATAAACATGTTTCTGACTTTCAGACCTTAGATGTTCTATTGAGCATCAGCCATCACCCACTCCATCCTGTGTTTAATCCAAATAAAAACAAACGAACTGTCTCGAGCAAATGAGCATCATATCATTAAATGCAATGCAGTATCATAATGGCTGTAAAAGTTTACTGGCGCTACACTTTTCTTTGTATAAATACCTCTAGTTAAGATTAATCCAGAAAAAGCAGTGACTCGTTTTTCCAACGAGACGCGGAATGCATTGGTGAGAATCTCGATAACGATGGTAATCCATGTCAAATCGGAACGAAAAGGGGAAACGATGCTATAGCAGGCTGAAATAGACTTTGTCTGAATACGAGTTCTGTATCAATACATAATGTAGGTCAGTTTTCCATGCAATCTCGACATTTGCAACACAAAAGGGCTAACTTGTTAACGATGTGTTTTAGAGCTAAACGAAGATCTTCTATTTCAATCTACAATTCAGAGTTAAACTCTTGGTGTTAAAATTTCAGTTAAACAGGAGTAACTTAAGATGAGAAAGAGCATGTCTCCTTTGATACAAAAAAGCAAAAAGCAACTCGAAAGTAAAGGCTTTGAGCATTGAAATATGAAAAAAATTGTTTTTTAAAGCAAAAAAGATTCGCGTGCAATTAACATCAAAGATTATTTTGATCAGCACACCTGAATAAAAGATGTGAGGTTTAGGATAACCAGCAAACGTACAATGCAGTTTAATGGTTGTTCTTTTTGCGGATTCTAAACAATTTTGTGAAAACATGCTGCAAATCCTAACTTAGTTAATTAAGAAGAAGAAGGCGATCAAATATAAAGATTTTATTCATTAATTTAGCTTTTTATCACTGTTTGAATCACAAAATATAAATACGTAATAGTGATATGAATTGACCATTTCCTCAGTCCATACTCAAGAAAGAAGAGAGAGAACGAAAGAGACGGATCTTCAAAGCTACGATTACTGTGATTGACACTAGCAAGCATTGATGTGTGAAGACAAAAAGACTGTTGTCATTATATGAACCGAATCCAATAAGCAACTTACTTTTCATAATCGTCTCTACAGAATAAACTGCTATTCTTTACGAAGCAAGAAGGTGAAGAACTCAAGCTGGCGTTGCAAATGGAGCATCGTAGACAGGAAGAATGCCATTGAAGATCTGGTGCAACTCGGAAGATGTATTCGTCTGATATTGTTGCGTCACATCCATGACAAACAGCCATTCTTCATGTGAAACCTGAGTGAATACAAGTTGCTTCAATCAGCCGTCCGCTAGACTTGGCTATACAACACTACCAAAAGGTCTCATCAACATGTGCAAATATAATTGCTAAGGGGGTTTTCAGCGATCCTATCACGGGGGGACATACTAATACTGGCAATATGTGTGAGAAAATGAAGTCTGGTGTTAACTGAATTCTTTATCCATATTTTTACAGTGGGAAACATGATATTCCAAAGAACACAAATAAATAAAATCTCTAAATATATGACCTCCTGAAATAATCCCGCGCTAGTGTTCATTTATAAGGATAAAGGCTGCTCATTAATTTTGCTCTCCCTGCGAACCTGATTTGCATGATAATTTAGACTGTACTTAGATCAACTTTGATAAAAGCAGAACGTTATCAGATCCTCGTAGAAACTTTCACTTCTTAATTAGGTGTTTTACTTTACTTTAATATTTCACAAGTATTCTTGAAATAAGCCTTTACTAGATTTTATTAATCAATACGTTTTGACAATTCACTGAAATATATGCTATCCCTTATTCTTTCGTTATTTTAGGTCTCTGTAATACCAAAGGCTTTCTGGTGCTCTTCTAAAATTGTTCAAATTACAGGCACATTTTTGTTGAAAGGGTTTTGTTCTGCACCAAGACCAATATACATCGTTATAACTTTGCCACTATAACAGTACTGCAAAATACCGTTATTCCACGATCAGTTTTTTCATCAATTCACCAAAAATTAAAATAAACACACTTTTTCTATCGATACAAAAAGTTTCATATCTGTGACAAAAAGTTTTGATTTCTTCTCCCCTGTATAAATTACCTGGCTCAGCTTTCTCCATTTCACTTGAAAACGTTATTCCATTGAAAATTTTTTTACATTAATGCAGGTACCAATTATCTTTATTTAAGGCAGCATTTAATAGGAACAAATTGGATTACTTAGCGTAATTTGATTTAAACAATGTTATTACGAATGAATCTCCTGGAACAAATAAAACCTGATTATTAAAGCCTAGTTGCAGCTTGAAAGAAAACTTCAAAAAAAGGTTTTCTGCGTCACGAACCATTGCCCAGGCCGCTGCAAATAAGTGCAGCTTTACTGCAAATTCACGAAACATCTGGACAAATTCATGATTTTTCATCTTATCTTCAATTGATTTTGAGGGCATGTTTTCGACAAGCCTTGTCAAAATGAGTATGATGTTTAGTTCTAAATTTTACCATAGTTCTACTTTAATAAATTGAAAAATGCAAGAAAACAAAGAGAGTAGCCCTGGGCAAAAAAATAAAAAGCTGAGAGATAAAGCGAAGTAGTACTGGGCACTAGTACATTGAAATTTTCCCGCCGAGAAATAAGAGACCAGATCACTCATTCGTCATCTACTGAAACAACACAAAACTTTGAACTCGATAAACATGAATTCAATCGCCAAGTCAACACCATTCAAAAAGAATGTCATGGTAAGTATTGCGTCTTTGACTTTCAAAACAGTTTTTCATTTCAGGATGCTTTATCTGCAACAGAATCAATCTCAAAGCACGGTATCATAACAACGCTCAAGGGAGGGGGGCGTGGGTTGCAACAACCATTCGATTTTTGCAATATGTTGGTGCTTTTTGGGGGAAATCTTCAAGTATATAAGCAAAAAAGAATGGCTTTCCCATCCATCTTGTCTGCAAAATCGACCAAAAAGATACGGACTCTGCGATTGCTCTCAATACGGATTTGATGGAAATTACTGTTTGCATACCTGTCAATAAAGCGCTAAATTCTGTATAGACAGAGCTGTTTAGTTGCCTGATGACCGCATAAAGCGTCCGGTTCTATACAAGAACATCCTAAATATGAATTTATTCACATTTGATTTTGGATTCTTCAGAACGGCTAATTGATTCTGGTGCCAAATACAATATTTCTGAAAAAAACAAATGGCCTAAAATCTTGGTCGAGTTAAGTGTAACTTGCTAAACATTTTAGGCCTTTGCTTAGCTCAATAACCGTCAAGGGACTGCAAACTCTGCGAGTCTCGTGCCTTTCACGATTTTCATTAACAAAACAGTGCTGCAAAGCGAACACATTTTCTTTCAAGTTTCTTTGTTTCCATGTTCTGTGTCCCATCATATCAACTACGGTTGCATGCGACACCTTTATAGAATTTCGATAGAATGTCGGAGGGTTTCAAATCAAACCTGTCTTAAGGCAACCCAAAAATCTGGCTATTTCCTCAAAAAACAAAAACATTGATCCCTGATCAATGTATCTAACTGTGGAAACCTTCCTTAAAACATAAAAAACGATGTCATATCTGCTATACTTTCTCTTGTTTTTGACCAGCTTTGCAATCCTCAGCCAATGCTGCATTTATTAATATCCTGTGCATTTGTAACGCTACATAATCAAACGAGCTAAACAGACGAAACCTGACGGTACGCGTGCTTTGAATAAATGTAGTGAAAGCTACTGTTCAACAGACAAAAGAATCAAGATTTCAAAGCTGGCACACGAAAAAGGAAAATACGACGCATTATGCTTTCAAGTTGCAACACTATCCGCCTTGCCTCGCTACTTTTGCTTCGATATTCGTTGATCGTGTTATTTTTGACAATATTCATAATCGCAGCGAACCGATAATCGTTAACCACATTCAAATTTGGGCCAAATTCGCGTTATTGCGAAACTATAAGGTTGTCTATAAAAAAGTAGTAAAGGTATGAGAAAGAAAGACCCTCCTCCGTAGAGCCCCGTCAGCTTACTTTTTACGCATATTTTTTTTGTCTTGCGAGCAAGGGTTGGGAAAATCTAGAGAGATTTCAAGGGTATAGCCCCCCTTAACAAGCGAGCACATTTCACATCCGCGGATGAGCTTTTTCCTAGCAGTCCTGCGAGTCTGTAAATAGTTTAAATGAGTCATGAAAAAGAATCCATTACACAAATGCAAGCATATTGGGTGTGTTCATGGGCGTGGTCATGGGCGTGGTCGTATGAGTGGTTTTTTAGTAAAAGTTACCTAGTGCAGTGCCCATCCTAACTTTTAAGAACGGCAACCATACTTAAGACTTCTTCTTAGCAGTTTTTTCACCAGCTTTGTTCTTTTTAAGGCAGCTGTAGGCTAGTCACAAAATGTTAAATTTTAGTATACAGGAAAGATACGCCCCATTCAGGAAAAAAAAGTACTCAACCAGAATTTTTATATTGACATCCAGGTCAAACTTTACATCTATGTTTTCTATGCAAATCCTGCGCACACTTTTAGAAACAAAATGCATTGAATGTCTTCAGAGCAACTAAGACTAAAATGAAAATCACCTGACTGTTATGAAACGAAAAAACTAACTTGCATAAAATCATCTAAGTTTGACAGAAAACGGAAAAGGAAGACCGCTAGCCCCTTTAAACATGCTACATGGGATGCCCTAATATTATGAGAGAAATTAACCTCCGAAAAACAAGAATGCTCGTCAACATATAAAGGTGTAGGCCAGGCCAGTTCGCCATCCACCCCTTATAGAACCTCAAGAGACTTTGTTTCAAAACATCGCTTGGCACAGCACCAGAGCACAGAACTTGAGGCTTTGAATTCCACGTGTCTTAATATTTGCCTATAGTTCAAAGATCGTACACATTAAAAGATTTTGTGCGCCACTGCTACAATTAACGTTTGTTTCAGTGGTCGAAAAAAGATGGGCACGTCACATAATCTTCTGTGCACGATGACGGTTTTGAACCACAGTGCAAATTTACCCACCATTCAACTCATCAAGGCCAAATTCAGGTTTGCTTTTTGCAGGCTCAGCAAGGACATATTTACCTTCCACAAAACAGTATCACTTTATTAACTATAGAAATGTACTCCGGTAGTTGAGGTGGATTCGCCTTTGGCAAAATCATTCTGGGAGGTGTAGAATTGAAGCTATGCTACTCCTTGTGTTGTGGAATGCTTAAAGCATTGTCCTGGCCTCCATGAAATACGAGACTAGGCGAGAAGGTCATTCCATTCCTATTTCTCAACGTTCAGTTCTTTAGTTTGTACACAAAATCTCAACAATCAAGGAGTTAAATGTGTCTGAACAAATAATGCCTCCAGTTTTTTATACAAACAATTAAGAAAAAATTGAATAAACTTGCATGCCTGTCTTTTCATGTGTTGGAGGGTAGATCGTCAGTTGGTTTACAAAACCCTTAATATGTCGAAAAATCACCTAAATATTTTTCCATCTTTGCCTCTATCGATATATTTTACTATTCAACCCCCATTACCGCATTGATAAATGCTTAATAATCCCGTTAAGCGCATCACAGGGGCGGAAATTATGGGGTTTTGGGGGGCTCAGGCCCCCCAATCAGCGATGTCGTCGGAAAATTCAAGCTTTCTTCGGATAATTGACAACCGTTCAACGTGTTGAAATTACTTCTGAAGAAATCGTTCTGAAAGGGAATTTTAAGCTAATCTAAGAGGCGTAATTGCCAAATTATCTGCTCATTTCGCTCCCAGGTGATCTGCATGTTCCCTTTTTACCCCAGGGGCCTCTATAACCTTTCTGTGCCCTTTTGCAAAATTTGAACATAGCATAGCTGATAAAATATTAGCCAGTACTAAGTAATCAAACAAACAATATATGACCAAAATCAAAACTGCTTGTGTGTTGCGAATTGTATATTTAATTTCAATTCCGTAAAGATTAGTCGAAATTTCCATCGGATTCTTTCGAAGAAAAGTTATTTTCAAACGTATTTCCCACTGACGAAAACAAGATAAAATGCATAACACGAATGTACGACTTGTCAAAAGCGTAATCGGTCGACCTCTTGTATCATCAATTATCTTAGATGAGATATCGATCTTGATATCAAAGATTCTAAATGGATTGTTCTTCTTGCTACTTAATTATGGCGTGGTCAGCAAAGAATTCTTAGGGTTCCGTCAAAAAATCACCTGTTTTCATCAAAATGTGCAGTTTCTCTAAAATTAGACATAATCAAAGATGTTATCTTGTCGGGAAATTGTAGGCCTGGGCCTCCCCAAATTAAAGCTTGAATTTTCGTTACTGGCGCATCATGTGTGAGCCTCGAAAACGCACAAGCAATTACATTTACAACAAATAACAGAATTACATCAGTTATCACAAGTTCAGGTAGCGCAAACTTTAAGGCCAGAATAACTTATAATTTAAATTAAACGAAAAACGCCATTAAAAACATTCAAAATAGCTGAAAAATTTCTGCATTTTTAGGTATAATAAATAAAAACTTCAAATACGAAAATATAAATGTTATTACCAATGCATATGTGTGTTTCTTGTTGATTTAACCCAGAATAAAGTAATGTTGTTTATAATAAACTATCAATTAAAGTTAAAACAGATTTAAAACTTTAAAATAAAGAAGCTAGTATTTATTCAACATCTATCTATTTAACATGCTAGATGTAGCATAGGAATTTTTTATTGCAGTTTAATAATTTACACAATTGTTGTAACCGATGATCTTATAGTAAACGATAGAATGAAGCAATCAGAAAAACGGCAAATTTTCTATGTTCAGCTCAAGCTTATAGAAATTGGAATACTATATAATTGGCAAAAGCTAGCATGATAGCCTTTGCAATATTACAAAATTAACTTAATGAACACTTTCAGTTCAGAAAATAGCAACAAGATTGGGTTTTATTTCCCTCTTTTTATGAAGATTTAGTCATAGAAAGAATGGGTATGAAATAAAAGAAATGAGAAGTAGAATTAAAAATGTTATTCATGATAATCCTTCAGTTACAGACTTACTACAAATAAATAGAGTTAGTTACATATGAAACAAAAAAACTTTTAACAAACTTTAAACTGGTCTACCAGGAGGTTCTTCTAGGGATCTCTTATTTTTGTATATATTTTTTTTATTGGCCTAAGAAGTTTTCATCTGGTGCTTAAAATGGTCAATAGATTCCAGTAAATAAACGTAGCTAAATGTGAATACATGTTCCTCGGTAATGATGAACAACTAATCGGAATCTCTGAAATTAGTAACATCAAAAGTGATCTGAAATTAGTAACATCAAAAGTGTTTTGAAAAAATAGAATCAAATGAAAGCGAACTGGGATAAAACGTAGAAGAATAAAATTTGATATGATACAATTTAATGAAACATAGTTTGATTTAATGTAAAATTATATTTCATGACTTGATAAAATATAATTCAAAATAATTTGATCTATATTATACATTACATTTCATTTACTTTTATTATATTGTGTAATGTTATACTATTTTATATTATAACATCTTATTAAATTATATTAAATTATGATATTACATTATTAAATTATGATATCTTATCATATCATAATATATTTTTAGCATTAGGCATGATTTCATAAATTATTAGTATACTTAACTACCAATTTATTAGCTAGCTTCAGTTTAAATTGCATGACAATTCGAAAGGTAAAATTAGAAATTCGAAAGGAATTATAGGGTTATTGATGTCCATAATATTCAAAAGTGACGTCATTTCGACCGTAAATGTGATGAGTGGGAGGCAAAAATACGAACTTTGAATAAATATTTGGTCAAGACCAACCGACTCAGAGCTGCTATTTGCAGCGAAATTTCACGAATTATTGGCATCTTAGCAGCGTTTGTATCTCCAAAAATATGCATACAATATCGGCATATTTGTATAAAATACACACTGTTTTTATTGGAATACAATTTTTGCCGTGTCTGCATATTCTGAAAAATTTGTGTTTCTAAGCCTAATATTGTTCTTGAACATTACCAAATTTACAAGCTATACTGCGTGTAAACTTGGAAAAATTTAAAAAGAAACAATCTTTGCTCGTGTATCTTTTTAATATGAAAATATTTTCGGAAAAGAAACATACTAGCACAGTAAAAGCTTAGCTGGTGTTGTGTGTGCCTCATCTCAAAAATGTTATGTGTAAGCCATGCATGTCTTGACTCCCAAAGATACTTAGATAGATAAAAAGCCGAAATGTCGATGAAACTTCAATAGTTTTGAGCTTCAATTATCTTATAACATTTAATCTTGTTGATAGAAACTATATCAGCTTTTGGTGACGCAAAACTTGAAGATATAATCCGAAAAGCGGGATTACAGCAACTTGAGCATATTTAGGTACCTGCGCTTGGCACTCTATAGAGTACTATCATCAGTTAACGAAAAATGTGTACATGGCATAATCAAATTCATATACAAATGGGACGACTTCATACCGTACCGGCTTTACGTTAACAAGAAAACATTGACGAATACGCCGTGAAATAAAGGCGTAGAAGACCGTACGTAATGAAAAAGGTATCGAGTAAACACCTGTATCCGATACGACTCAACAATAATCGACAATTAGGCTAGTAATGCAAAGAAATCATCCTCGAAGAGTAGTATCTTATCGAATTCAGTCGTTCACACGCTTCTGTTTTCATTTCAAACTTGTTTGTTCGAGTCTCCATTTTATATCGTTGTTATCAGCGTTTCTGTGAAAACGCAAGGCCGAAACGGTATGCGTGTGGCATTCACTGAAAACTGCGGTCATTTAAACTTTTGAAGGCAGAGTCGACCTAGATTCATGGTGCTTTGCAATTTCTATGCCTTGTCAAGGCGAGCATCGTTGATGTTGTCGAATATCGCTTCACTCATTATCATTTAGTATCAGCTGTTTTCGCGAGCCGTTATGTAATTGAACACAACCAAGTCAATTCCAAGTTTCCTATTTTTAATTTAATCTCTTAATTTGTTTTTTTTCTTTAAATACATATTATCAAGGAAGGAATAGTTGGATATAAGTGTCGTAATATATTAGTAATATATCGTTGGATATAAGTAATAAAGAACGGCTGAGTTTCTTTAGCTAAAAATTTATCAATGAAATGATATCATTCTTAGCAAAACAATATTTATGTTCAATTCACAGGCATCTTTTTGACTTTACAATAAGCTTTAAATAGTTAATTTGACAAGAGTAGCCTGTAAATAGAGTTCTATCTGCCAAGATATTTTTAAAGCAGATAGAGATGATTATAATGTAATTATTGCAGAGGGTCGGTGAAACATATACACTTTTCACCGTAAATACGTATTTTGAGTGCAAGGAGCAATGTACTGGCAGATAGGGAGAACCTTTCAAAAACTGACACGTTTATCCTTTAAGCACTTTTCAAATGAGCAGCTTCAGAATATAATTAACTTTAGAATGTCTTAGTTCATAAATTCATGACATAGGGTGGTGCATCTTGGTGTGGCATTTGGTATTTTTCGTACTATTTTAAATAAAACTGCTTCCAATTTTCAAATTTTTAAGGCTTAAAAGTTTTCTCTACAGAAAGCAAAACAGAAGTCTATTCATGAGCTTGGCAAGATCAATTGAACAGAATGAGAATATGGGTGAGTTACTCATCATACTTGGGTGAGGTATCTGACCTTGGAGTAATTAAAACAACCTGGTTATGTTATACCTTACATTGCTTAAAAATAATCTGAGAATTATGTTAGGCAGAAAATCAAAGAACATTGAGGCTGAGCAAGAATTAGGTATTCTTATAAAGGAAAGTGTGCAGGGTAACAATGAAAGGCCAACTCATTGGTTTTGTTTGCACTTAAATGAACAAGTGTTCACGCAGCATAGCACTATCCAACCTAGGAAAGGCATCCGCTACTGCATATATGCAACAACGCTGTTCTCTCTTATTGGAAGCAGAGGAACATCTGAACAGTGGAATGCCGCTAACATGCGCCTTTGGAATTTTCATTGCAAAACACGAGCATAATCTGACTTTTTATCGTCAACAAAAAGATTGGACTACAGATACGCGGGAATTGCGATTTTGGTCTGCAATTTACTAAGACCATCTGCCAATAACGAACATTACAAGTTAAAAATTTCGTTTGTTTCGCAATTTATTCACCGACTAACCTCCATAATAGAATAAAAATCATGTAGGATACGATTTTTCATCATGAAATAAGGTTGTTCCATGTTTAATTTCGAGTACATTCTGTCAAAATCGCGAATATTTTAGCTCTAAAAGTATATAAGAAAACTTTATAGCTTTGGTTCTACAGATAGCCCAAAATGATTTCAATCTAAATAATTTGAGCCAGGATACGTCTTCAAGAAAATCTTAATAGCTTTCCTTTTACAAATAATGTGAAAGAATGTTTTTCCGTGTGATAACCGTGCTATATCGTATAAAGATATCTTAAGGACCTTTGGAAAACCTTGAAGGTATCATTATGCAATGGAGATACTCTTCAAAAAACAATGGGGCAATCAATCAAAAATGGGAGCCAAACAAAGAGTAGTTTTCTAATTTTTTGCTTTTTTGAAATCGCGAATTCTGCGTCGATTGATTTCAGTTGTGCTTCCATTTTACAATTTTCTGAATTCAAGTGCGTCAAGCAAAACGAATCTTTGTGTTTTTGAGTATAAACAGCAGAGTATTGACTTTTTAATTCATTTTCGAAGTATTTAGTAACCCATTCAACGCCATCCAAAGCATCAGTGTCCTTGAGAGTCCAATGGACGAGGAACGGTTAAGCAAAATTCATTTACTGTCTCTTGATTCGCAACTGCCGAAATTTCTCTATTAAAGACAAACATCCATGGACAAAGTTACCTAAACCTGATTTGTCTTGTAATTTAAACTATGGTGGCAGCCATTCACTGAAATGAATTATTGATCATAATCTTCCACATCGAAGACGCAAAGTGAACAACTAACCTGACAGAACTTGACTGATCATAAGTTACCGCTTGCTTAAGAGAATTTGAAACAGTAAGTTGCAGCTGGCAGTGGGCTTTGCGGCGACATTGCAACGAATCAGATTGCGAGTAAGCTGTAGTCCCTCTGGCGAACTGTAGACAGAGTTTCATGACTTTTAAGCATGCGCGTGAAAAGTGTGTTTTGTAAAAGAATACGTGATACGAATAGAACGCTGGATCACTGCTCAAGGCTACGTCGCCTTGATAGGTGCGACATTAAGAATGACAGATGATCATGATCGGAGAAAGGCAAGCAAGGTTGTGGGACAGAGGTCATTCTCATCAACACTACAAATCCAATCAATGTAGCTAATTAATTATAACGGATCACATAAACCGTTCGTTGAATGTGAAGTATTTCTTCGAAATATTACTGGGGCTCATTTCCTTGTGATGTGACGTTGATCATGGACATCTGGCGGGCTTTCAGAGAATGACTTAAGAAGTAACAGGCCTGATAGTAACCGCCCAGAAATACTGAACAAAGTTCGTCTCTTTGCATAGCTGACAGTGCATAAAGATTGATTTAGAAATCCGAGCTCTAATTACAAGGTTTTATAAACCGTTTGCTTCCTCTGAAAAACATAAAAATCTACATGTATTGGTTTGCAAATAAACCATTGCTAGTTTCATGATATCTGTAAAAACCTTATAACTATTCTGTTCTCTCTGGGCAGATTAACCCTTAGTGTAGCTTCCTAACATTCTAATCGTTAGAGAATTGTTTGTTTTTGCCAAGACATTATCAATGTTTCATTATGATACTCTTCAGACAACAAAATTCGAGGTCCGCGCCACTAATCCTAAACTGGAGAGGCAAGCAATGTAAAGAAAGTTTTCTCTCACCCCCTCCCCCCCTCCCCCCACTAGCTTCAATTTGCGCAAACATTTTGCTGGCGCTATTTTATTTGAGTACTTTGGATCAATTTATTTCTTGTAATCTAAAGGTTTGTCTATAAAAGCAAATTTAGTCCCCTGCCCCTATCTGAATAGGCCTTCTTATCATGCAATGCTTTGCTACAACATCATGGTACAAAAGTAAGAAACTTTCTTCTTTAAGTGGTGCAGTGACTTTTCAAACGGCTATGCTTCTCCTAGATTCACTGCATTGCAAACAAACTTCGTATCATGGGTTACTCTAATGATTGAATAGAAGATATAAAAAATGTTCTTCTTGACACTGCAATTGGTTGTGACATTGCACAACTTGTGCAATGGAGGCAACAAGCTGTTCCATTTATAAACCATATCATTGCATTCTGTTTGTCTCTTTTTATAGAACTAATCAATCTCAGCTTTCAAAGAGTACTCTCAAAGAGTACAATCCACAGTCTATGATGCACATGAATTCTTGATAATTCTAGGCGATTCTTTGTGAAAAATAAGTTGCTACATAACAACAGCTATTTGCCAATCCTGCGGCACAAGTCAAAGCGAAGAAGTACATAGTTTCTTATTTCTCCATTCAAATATTGGAACTTGTTCTCGTTGACGGTAGCGTCTATTTGACATTCTGGATACCGATAAAATTTATTGATACAATTTACATAGACTTAGGAATGCAAATCATAGATTGAAAATAAACACTGGTGTGTTAATAGAATAGAATGCTTCTCTTCAGTTTGAAAACAATGTTTATAAGAACAGTACTCATTTGCGTCACAAGTATACCGTCAAGTAAAGGAAATAGCCTTTCTAGCCGGTGCATAAGATGAACTTACGGATGGCCGTATCTAATGCACAAAGCAAATATATGTGAATAAAACCATGCTCGGTGCATTCCAAGTTACAGGGACTAAAAGCGCATCGTTTACGATACTTGAAATTACTGTTTTACCGATCTGTCATATAGTGATCGATGCCGTAATGTGGACCTCCACACACTTCGGTGTAAAGAAAATAATGGTAGTTGTCCAATATCTTAAAATAAACCAATATCTTAAACTTATTTTTCTTGTATATTTTTGAGTGTCCTCTTAGCACCCGGTTTTTGGGATCCCTACGACGATTGCAAGAACTTAAAGATAAAGTATATATACATTGCTTCAAATGTCTGGATTTTAGGAAGAAAGTATGGGTGTGTTGCTATGTAAGGAACAAGGGCACTAGAAGAAAGGTGTAAAGGGCTACTTTTGGCATTTAGAAAGAGAGCATACCTCCCACCCAACCCCCCCCCCCTCCCCTCCTGGAAGTTACTCTACATCTCTGGCAGCAACCTAAACAAGGCGGAGAAGTTTAATTGCATGCACACGTGCTTTTTTCGTTGAATTTCTTTAATATGCATAGTGTAGGAAGAGTCAAAAGCATCTGCAAATTAAATTTGCCATTTACAAAACTTCTAGGAAACAATCATGAGTGAAGACGGCCATGCAGTTTAAGTTTAAAACAGCTAGGCCCAACTTTCAACTATTGATACAACCTTTTCATTATAGAGGTTGAATTAATAAAGAGTCATATGTAGAAGTTAGCTTGAATAACAGGCGAAACAGCTGAACATCACGCCATGCACAAATCGACTGACCGATCACGCACATTGCTCAACTAAAAGCAAACAGTATCAACCGTTGCTGCGAGATGGCTTGCTTACAAAAAGGAATCCCTGTCTGTGTAATATACAAACAAATCGTACCATCCCCTCATTTTGTGTACAATTTAACACGCTCATTGAATTGACCAAGCATGGTAGAAAACAAATATCCACCACTCGGCACAAACGCGAACCATTCCAAATACCCTGTTTTAATTCGTAAAAAAGTATGCTGAAAATCTGCCGGTCGAAGGTGCGTGCGAAAGGAATTGGTGAGAAACAAACCACCACCGGGTTCTGGCTATGGGAACAATTGATAAAAGGAAGGGAAAGGGCCTAGATTTTCTGTTGAGATACATTTCGACTATTTAGTTTATGTTATCATTTTTTGTTCTTTCCATCTACACGAGAAATGGTTATAGAAGAAAAATTCAATACCTGAATACGGGAATATTTTGTGTATTTTAGGGACAAACTACCCTAAGGTAACATACTTGATTAACCAAAATGATGACAAAAATTTTGAAATATACTTAAAAATGCAAGGAATAGAGCGATAGAACACGCAGAAGGCCCCCCCCCCATATTTTTGCGTGATGCGTTATTGGCCATATTTTCGTGCGTGAAATCGTAAAATTCGTGCGTATTATCTCGATTTTTTATGCGTGATTTCTTGAATAAAGATTCCTACGTAAAGCGTGGAACATGAGTTTTTCTTGCTTTATGTCGTGAAACGGCTTTAACTATCCGTGAATTTGTGAATGAAACTTTGAATGATAATTTTAAAAATTGTCTCAATTTGGTGCGTAATGAACCAATAATAGTTAAATCTCAAATTAGCATTCAAAGTTTGAAAGTTGTGTTGTAGTCCTTCAAACAAGGCTCTGATGAGCAATAGTTGATATTACATTTATTGTTTGCGCGAGAGTGAAAATCCAATTTTTGCAATGCATGAATGCGTGAAAAGTAAAAAAATTGTGCGCGAATGCGTGAATCACAACAACTATGAGGGAGCCCCGCAGAAGTGACATAATTTGAGCACTAAAGCTGGATTGTTTAAAATAAGAAGGCTAGCGTTTGTGAAAACGCTGTAGA